CAGTTGATTATTATTATTGTTATTTCAATCAAACAATGTTTCGGTGCTTATGGAACCTGTGTCATCTACCAGAATTAATTACGACATTTTTATATCATTTCCAATGCAAGAATTCAGAATATCTTACGTACTAGATATAGATTCTTAAAAATTTCAGATAATTCCTTTGAAAAACATTTTATTTCCTTTGATAAACTTTTAGCATCAGGTCCATTTTGAATTTTGGTAAGACATAAAAAGAATCTAATCATTTTGTCAACATATGCACATAAAAACTTATGTTTATCTGGTCATTTGATTTAAATTACATAGACACAACACTCCACCATGTCTACACACTTCAATATGTTTAGTCTATGAAGTGTCGACCACATTCCCACATATGTACCATATTCTTTTCCTTTTCATGCATTGAACTGAAAGTTTTTTCAACTCAATGTAAACATGCTTTGATAGCCTTTTCACTATTTATATGAAAATTATGCATAAAAAGAAAAGAGCAGATAAGAGAAAATATGTAGTGGATATAGAGAAAAAGCTGAATATAAAGCATCTAGAGATAGATTTACACATAAAAAGCTACTTTATACTCATAATATTATTGAGGTTTTATGTAATGTTTTCTCCCATTCATCTTTTTATCTTGGACTATATTTCGAAATGTTGCAGCTTCACATTGACTTCTTTTATCACTCCTTTTCTAATTCTGATAATGTAGTCGTTCAAACCAGATGATATGGTGTCTCTTTAATAGAACGTACCTTACAAGGGAAGTCTCTAATAAAATCAATGTTTTTTTTTAATTATTCCTTAATTTTAGATGTATGACAAGGCTTCCTATAAATTTTGTGCCAAGGAAGCATATTTTCGATTTGTTCACTGTCACAAAAACCCTAGTAAGATAATTGTTTGGCTGTGACTAGTGTTCATGATTTTTTTTATCAAAGCGCTTTTTACCACAGCATTCCAATGCTGCTGATCAACTTCCTTAATAAATTTCTATTCGTTATTATTCAACGTTCCACAGTTTCAAGCACTATTTATTCGATTTCTTGTCTATTGGTTCGACGGTAATAAAAAGCACCATAAATTTTATACATCTGGATGATGTTTTTATGCTATATAATAGTGTATGTATATGCCTTCATCTTTCCTCTTCATTTTCATTCACATGCATATATAGTGCATACATAAAAAATCAGTTTCTCAATTCACTACCGCGTGCTCTCAATAGAAAGGAAAATAACGATGTACAGATAGAAAGTGAGTGTGAGGAAAAGAAAAGAGCAAAAGAAGAGCTGTGGAAGCAGCAATATTCGATTTGATTCCTCTAGAGATTTCTATCGTTAAATATCGTATTTCAATGCAAATTTCTCGACTCTCTGCTATGCTCTGGATTTTTATTATTTTTTTTTTTTTGCATATTGCAAAAGTCTAGTACCGGTAACCGATGAACAAAAACATATAATAAAAAATGGAAAAAGAAATGTGAAAGGAGGAAAACACAAAACCGGAGGAGTGAAAATATGAAAAAAGTTTGAAAATTTATGAACTTCCTTTTTTCTTTTATTTCATTTCTTGGCGCATAGAACACAAAAAAAAATCTCTAAAGAGAATGAGGAAAAAAGGCTTTGATTAAAAACCTCACTTGCATTCCCGACTTTTTCACTCTTTTAAGGCATACAAACATAAAGACTTTATTGGATAGGAGCAGAACAACGACGTCTTTTAAATCTCTCATCTCATTTTATGAACATTCTCTACTTCAACTCGAAAAATGTAAAGATTCTTATCAAGGTCCGCCTGGATCATAGGACACAATATCACATATATGTTTTGATACCTTAGTTTAAGGATCAAATAAGAAATTTTTGAATAAAATTAATTGCGCTTTTGCATTCTTCGATTATGCTCCATTTTTATGCTGGTCCTCATTTTCATATATTTTCCTTTCTAAAGAAGACAGAACTTTATGTTAAAAGTTTTATTCCCTCCTTTACAGTCTTTTTTGAACGATGAGAAAATTTACCCACAAATTTCATGTAAAAAGTTATTTAAATGAACTGAAAAGACAGAAGATGTAAATGAAATGAAAACCATGGAATTTCAACCATTCAGAAGTAAATTAAGTAAAGGGTATTTGATTATGAACATTTTTTTTTTTGATACAGGAAATGAAGATCAAAACCAGACCTAAGAAAGATGCATTTAACTTTTTTAACAGAGCCTTTATGTGAAAGAATCACTCTTGTCATGATGCTTTTTCGCCTTTTTGTCATTCGGGACTATACATCAGTGATGTACCAGGAAGACCTATACATTGAAGCGCTTTATTTTTTTGGCTGATTTAAATAACATTTTAGAAAAAAATGTGATTTTAAATTCATTAAATAGAAGTAAGTTCGTTACAAGCTTTACATGGCTTTACCTGGCTTTACCTGATTAAAGCTATCAAGTTCATTTCTTAAGTTTACATATGTTATGGATAAAAATAATAATTTTATAGGACAGCAACTCATAAAACATTTAAATCATCCATTCTCTGATGTCTCTGATCTCTAAAAAGTACGAATGAATAATCATAGGGGCCATTCACTTATTACGTAACGCTTTTAGGGGGAGGGGGGGTCTAAAATTTTGTTACGGTTCAAACAAGGAAATTTTTTTTTCATACAAATTTTGTTACGAGGGGGGGGGGGGGGGGTCTAAGAAGTCATTTTTTCGCGTTACGTAATAAGTGAACAGTCCCATAGTGGAAGTTCATTTTTATTTCAATTTGACTTGATGAATAGAGGAAATTCAGACATGTGATAAAACAATGAAGAGTAAATTGGTTATACAAAAAAAAAATCATTTTTTTATTATATTTTATGTCTTCGTTTGTGATTTGTTTTATTTTCATTCTCTCGTGTCAAATATCCACATGAAACAACAATCAATAAGACAATAATATGATAGAAATTTTTCTCAGAGCTTGTTGCTGTAATCTTATCAAATTAAAAGGATGTATAAAAAAATGTATGACGATATGACATGTGAGAAAAAAGGAATTTATAGAACGCGCTTTATTTGCCTTTTTAAACAGCTCCCCGAAGCATCACAACCAACCATACATGATGAGCGAAAAATGTCATAAAGTCATACAAACAGTACAAGTAAACATTCATACATTCATCTGATATGAAAACAGAATGGGAAAGGGAGGAAAAAAATGAATGAATGAATGAAAAAGAAGAGCGAATAAAATGAAGAATACTGGAAATAAAATAAAAAATAAAAAAGCGATGTAGCTTTAAGCTCATTTCCCTCATTTTTATTTGTTTCCTACTTTATTTTTATTGTATACACATATACATGTAATATGGATGTTATATCATATACCGAATGTGTTTATCGAATTAAAAAGTTTTATACGTCGCGCTTTTCTTTATTCTTATTTTGCCTTTTCACCTTCTCCTCACCTCCTGTGTCTCTTTTTCTTTTATAGTATTATTATTATTCATTCATTCGTATATTATACAAAAGGTATTCTTGCATGTGCACATAAAAGTAACTAAGATGTCACAGACGTTTTGTTTGAACTCTTCATATTCATCCATTCATTCTAACTGCCATTTGATTTTTACATTATCTTTGAGATTGATTTTTGCCTCGAGAATCAGCAACTGACACTTTTCATTTTATATACCTACATTTAGAACTTAACAAATAATGCCTTTTCTCTTTCCTTTCCATTTCAGTGATTTTTGACGTGTTTTTCGCGGAAAAATCATTCATATTGATAATCAATAGCAATAAATAAGGAGGAGAATTTAATGCTCTTAGCAGTTTGATAAACTGGAAAATCCAAAGCCCAAAAGCGGAACGAAAAAAAATATAAGGTATTGAGTGATCAAATATTGGTATGAGATATTGCAGGGTTAGATGGGTTTTTAACATATTTGCGCTTAAATGATTTATTATCCATTTCAAAGTATCTATGGACATGATTTTGAGCTTAAATTAAAGTGAATTGAGATGAAACAGATTCGATACAATATTTAGATACTGGAAGTAAACATAAATTCATTTATGATTTTTTGAAATTTTATATCCATATCAAGTTAAAATTTCTTTTTGTTTCATTCCTCAATGGTGTCGCTTTCACAGATAGAGACAACGTGATTTACAATTCAATATGAGTTAACGAGCAATCTTTCCGTACTCAAAGTTTTATTGGAAACTTTACAATAAAGCGATGTATCAGAAAAGTTTATTTTCAATTGTTAATACCATGAGAAGATCGCTCAAAGCAGAAAAAAAGATACATTTAAAGTTTTCAACCATTTTTGCTTTATTTCTTTTATTTTGGATTCACATATGCTTTGTACTGCACTTTTATATTAGTTGCTATAACAATGTTGAAAGTAGAAATTGAGTTTGTTCCTTACTTTTATATTTTGTTTTTTAAGGTTTTATTCTTCTTTTGAATTTAAGTATTTTACTTTTCGGAAGTACGAATTTCTAAAGCAATTGAACTTTTATTTTATCTCAATGCACCATTGAATGAATTGTACCATCAAGCATGTGCTGAAACCACTAGAGTATTTTCAGAATGAATTTCATTAAGCTAAACCAGTGACTATCCACTTCCTCAGTTTTGATGAAAACCCAAATTTAGTTTGACAGCTATAAAAAGAAGCATATCACAGGCAAGAGTTTTCATAAATATTTTCATGTTGCATGCTTGTAAAGCAAAAATTTCTGCACATTAAAGTGAAAGCAAAGAGTTGATCAGAAATAAGTTAAAAGCTCATAAAGCGACATTTTTTACTTTGATTTTTAAGGTATGCATATAATATGTTATGTTCTCAACATAGAAACTGCATAATTATTTAAAAAAAATTATTAAACATGTGTTGAAAAAATAAACGGATAAAATAATTTTAAATTTTGGCGCAAATTCTAGTGGATTTTCAAGATTCTTTTTTGTGTTATTTTAAAAAGATAAAAATTTAATTATGTCAATAAAACTACAATTAACGAATGATCAATTAAATAGTGAGGAAGAATTAAAAGTACATTATGTTCCTGCAGCAGTCAACAATAATGGAGTTATAAAGATTGATGAATATTTCAATAACTATACAATTGAAGAGAATGGCGTGTCTATAAATGCACTTCGTGGATTTCCTTTAAAAGGCAAGTTCCTTGTATATTTTTTATTATCTATGCAAATCGTCTAAGCATCAATATTTATAGGCATTGAGAATAAAGTACCGGAAAATATGCAAGGATTGATATTCCGAGAAAATGAAAAATTGCAAATTGATGATGCTGAAAGATTATTAAAATTGAATGGAAAGTTTGAAAAATTTATGTACTGGAATTACGATAAGAATCCATCAGAGAACGATGCTTTTAGAAAAGCTTTTCATTATTTAAAACTCGCTGAAGAAGTAAGTACTTCATACAACTTTAGTCAATGCCTTTATTAATTTTTTAATTAATTTTACAGCTCCATTCAGAAGTAAAATCTCTAGACGAAACATAAATAAGTTTAACCGTACCATTCTTTTTAAATCTGTTGTTTGTTCTTTTTCTACAAAAATCATCTGTTCTGTTTGGTTAAAAAAAGTATCAATTTGGACTCATAAAAAGTTAAAAATAATAAGATTAAGAAACATGCCAAATATTCAAGTTGAAATTTCTAGTAAAACTGAAGGAAGTAAAAAGATTACAACAGAAATTCAGTCAAATTCATTGCCAGATCTCTTAGCATCGTTGAAAAAATCCAAAGCCGAAACAAATTCTGTGTTGACAGAAATCGTAGAGAATAGAAAATCACTAAATATACGAGATGATATCAAGCGATCAACAAATGAGGATGAAGAAAGTGACGAAAATGATGAGCATGATGATGATTTAGATGCAACAAATAAGAAGCAAAAGACATGAATTGAAAGGTTGAGTTTTTATTGTATTATCATTAAAAAAATCATATAATTTAGATTTATCTTTCATTTACATTAAATCGACGTCTATCAATAAAGTCGAGAAGCATTTCCTTTGTAACAGGCTCTTTAATTGATTTACAAACAGCTGAAAATTAATGACGGATTAGAAAGTAATTTCAGATATTACTTCATATTGTTAAACTTACCCATTGCCGTAGTGTATGCATTTGGATATGACTTGTCGGTTCTTTCTCGCATAAACTTCCACTCGTTGTTCTCAAATTTGCACTCAATAATTTTCCCATTCAAATCTTTAAGTTCTTTAGTATATTTCATTTGACTAAACGGTGTTTTCATTCCACCAACAAATAAAAAACCTCGCTTCGTTGTCAACATTCTAGAGCAGATAATATTAATTGAATATGCAGGACCTAGTAAATAACATATGAACCTTACCCGACACCTCCATCTTCAGCAATTTTAAGCATAAAATCGACAGAGTTTTGCTCACTTGGTTTCCATTTAAGAACTTCATCACATCGACCACAAACGTATGGCTCCTGTTCAGGCTGGAAAATTAATCCATCAGGTTCATGTGACAATTGTCTGGCAAACTTTTCACTCAACAACGACTTTGCTTGTGTCACATCCCAAAAATCTTTCATACGGATACTGAACGGCTCGTGTTCACGAACAATAACGCCTCGTCGCATTAATTCAATTCGAGGCTTAATGATATGTTCTGAAATGAGCTTCATTCTCTCAGAAAAGGACTTTCTTCCAACATTTGTGCTGTCCAAGCAAACTATATCATAAACCAAATAACGTGCCGTACTCTGTCCATTATATTTATCTATCACCATTTCGCCATCAACCAATGTATTTTGTAAATGATCATTAAGATCTCTTCGAAAGAACTTTAGATTCTCAACCTTAAAGCATGAATTGTCACGATCAAAAAAGTAAATTTCATTTTGATCCTTAATTAGCATCATATAGCGCGTTCCGTCAGCTTTCCATGAAACTTTGTACGGTTTCACGTGCAATAAATTTAAATTCTGACGATCCATTGAAATTGGTTGGCAACCTGGAAATCCACTTCCACTGAATTCGCACATATCCTGAATCATATTTCTTAATGGATTTACTACTTGGATATCAGTCATTAGAGAAACACCAGAAACGCCAGGCATAAAAGTCGCTTCAAATTTGATATTTTCTGTCCTTCTTTTCTTAACTTTGGCTGTCGTACTTCCTTCATTATCGTCATTCTCATCATCATTATTATTTCTTCGTTTATTTGATGTGTCTGGTTGTTGTTGTTGCTGATATTCTTGTTGTGGATAATAGTCATCTGGTGTTTCTTCTTCTTCATAGCACCAATCTGGCAATTGTGGTGCATGTAATGGATCATCATCTTCGTCACCATATTTCTTAAACAATTCATTTATATAATCCTGCTTGTAAATTCCTGGTGGACGAGCATTTGCGAATTCCTGAATAGCAGCTGCGACATCATAATCATGTTTTTCAACCAAATATGATACAATTAAAAATCCAGTTCTATTAAATCCGTGTGTACAATGAACTCCAATAATATCAAGAGGATGATTAGCAAGAAAGTCATCGACTAGCTCAATAAATGATCTAACTTGCTCTGGAGAAGGAGTTTCACTGAATCCTCTACATTGAAGCTTAACATATTGACAGTCCTTGTTCTCAACATCGCTTCTGGTATAAAATCGATTTGTATTTGTCAAATCTATCCACATTCCCAATTTTTTCTGTAACATCAACAGTACAAAGAGAAAGTTACAGATTGATCGCGAAGCAGAAAAAAAAATATTTTAGGCACAAAAAACATTAAGGATATTCTTACCTTATAGATATTTTTCACCAGATCAAACAGCATATTAGGATAAAATGAGTAAGCATCACCAGTTTGAGGGTCAAATTTTTTATCCAAAGGAGTCTTAAACGCTATAAATTTTTCTCCAATAAATGAGTCTGATCTAATTGGACACTTCAGCCATCGATTTGGTATCGGACCTGGATAATTGTCTTTTCGATTGCTCATGATTAAAACTATATTACAATTAGAATTACAAAATAAAAATAAATCTTTAACACGGAGAAAAATATCAATCAAGTTATTTCTCGCAAATAAATAAATTAAGTTTGAAACTTTTTTCAGACGGAATATTTAAAAGCGCTTTTGGTGCAGTTCTTTAATACATGTATGTCTGTTCCTTGATTCATAGCAGTCAGACAAAATATAATAGATATTTTACTGCAAATTCTTCGCTTCAAATTCAATCATCTCGGTATACAAAAAATGTAAATATTTTTTGACGTCAATAAAGAATTAATTATACTATGAATCGCTTTGAATTCTGTACAGCAACATTAATTGATGGAGAAACGGTAGTGACGAAGCATGATTCAGTCAAAATATATGATGGACATGAAAAGGTATGGAATTTAATAGTGAATAATAATTTTAAAAGTTTTCAATAAATATTTCTTTAACTTAGACAATATTTGAGGATGGAGAATTGACATTAACAACTCATAGGATATTTTGGGGAAAGTCCGGAGAGTTTTCAAAAGGATCGAATATAATTCAATTGAGATTACTGTATGTAAAATCACTTGATGAAGAAATCGGATCTTCAATGTTTTTTGGTAAGAAGAAGAGATTAATTGTGCGATTAAATGAAACTACACCTGGCAAAAATCCTGGTCCAATGGAATACAGTAAATTCTCGTTCATAAAATTTTCTGGTGCAAACGGAATATCTTTAAATTTTATTCAGGCACTAAATGAGACTCTCTTAGCGAAAGTATTTGAAATTAATGAAACAGTTTTGTCACCATCAAATACACCACGAATAAAACAACGATCTGGAATTGTTGGAATTGAGAAGAGTATTCAAGAAAAGCAGAAACAAACAGATAAGAATATTTCAGCTGCCTTTCAAGACTTAAATAAATTAATGGGATATGCAAAGGAAATGGTTAATATATCGAAAAGTATAAGTCAAAAAATTCGTGATAGACAATCAGAAGCCTCAGAAGATGAAACATTAAAATTTAAGAGCTTATTGATGAGTTTGGGAATCGATGATCCAGTTACTAAAGAAAATTTTACAAATAATACAGATTATTTAAAGAGTTTAGGGAATGAAATATGTCAATCATTATTGGATATAATGACTGTGAGTACTTTCAAACTAATGTTTTATATAATAAGATAGTCATTTTCAATTTTATTCTATTGATATCAATTTGAAGGAACAAGGAGGTATGATGACAATCACGGAAGTTTATTGTCGGATAAATCGAGCACGAGGATTTGAGCTAGTCTCTCCTGATGATGTTTTAAATGCATGTAAACTGTTGAACGGTCCAATGAAATTACGACAGTATCCATCAGGTGCTATGATTTTGCAACTTGAGAATCATAATGATGAACAAGTTGCTGAAGAAATTGCAAAGCTTCTAGAACAAAAAGGATCATTGTCAATTGAAGAATGTGCCAGAGAGAATAATTTAAGCGTATTTTTAACGCACGAACGATTTCTTATTGCTGAGCGTGCTGGAAGAGTGTGTCGAGATGAGTCTGTTGAAGGTCTTCGCTTTTATCCAAATTTGTTCTTAATAAAATAATAATAAAATGCATATTGTCAATGATTCTATTAATAATCAAAATTAAGCATGTGTATAGCATTGTCTGTTGAAATGTAAAGATGTCTTTCGTCCGATTTTACATTTCTACATATAGCTGGTGTATCCAGATGAAACACTTTTTCAAATGTCCGCGGCATCCTTATATCACATAAAATTATCATTCCAAGCAGGGTCCCATAAATCAAGCCATTATTTCCATCATAGTCCACAGATGTTGCACTAAAGTTTCCACATGAAAATTCTTGCCTCTTAAAGTCTCTTGTGTCGATTAAACAGAGTGGATTAGTATTAGAAGTGAATACAAAGCTATTATTGTTTAACCATTTTGTATTATATATTTGTGCTCTGTTAAGATAGCTGTTTGAAACTAATGCCTTAACTGGTTCGATTATATGCAAAGAATCTGATTTAGCGCCCAAAATCTTGTCACATAATGGATTTATATCAATCGAATTGAATCCTATATTCAAGTTTTTTGAGAAATCAAATGTGTACATGCCTAATTCGCAACTCAATTTATGAAAAATTGTATCTCTTCTGGACGTTGTTACAAAAAAGTCACCAACGAAGTCTAAATCTAATAAAGGATCAATCGAATCTCTCACAAATTCTTCATTGTACTCGTTTTCTTCATCGTACGTGAATATTGTTCCACTTAATCTACAGCCTGCAATCATATAATCTCTTCGCTTAAGACTAGCTATTTTTGAATCATTTTTATCTCCAATAGATAAAATTGGGTCAGTGTCGATACCATCCTTACGTCTCCTTTTAAATAAATTGAATTGTCCTAAAGCTGTCGTATAGAGATAGTTGCTGTCTAGTTCCAAAAGAGATTCATAATTTTCACGGTGTTGAAAAAATACAATTTGACGGCAAGTTCCATACATCCAGTTCTGATGTGTCTTAATTCTTTCAGAATACTTCATATAGCCATTCAAAGTTCGTTCAAAAACTTCAGGATGAGCTTTCATGTGACTAACCATTAGAAAAGGTCGGCATTTCCTTTCAAAAAAATTATCCTCTATGAGTTTTTCAAACAAATTACAGGTTCTCACTAGCTGTTTATGGTCACTTTCCGTACAATACGAAAATATAATTATTAACTCGTCGTCATTTAAATCTGTTATCAACATTTTCTATCCACAAATTATATTTTTTAAATGTTTCAATAAAAATTCTAAAATAGGTCAAAATTTCTGATGTTTATAACAAATACACAGCTATTTTTTTCAATCATAATTTCTATATTATACATACTTCACTAACACATTTACATTCGTTTATCCATTTTCATGAAAATTTAGAGGTTCAGAGTCAATGATGTCACTTCCTTAGTTTCCTTACTTTAAGTCAATCAAGTTTCAGATGACTCTTCTTGATATGAAGCAAAATAATCTGATTCCTTTTTTTGCTAAGCATGTAATTTCGTAAAAAATTATTATTTTGATCAATTTTGATTCTTATTTTTTTTTGAAATTATATACTTCGCAAATTATTTCAGAAATTTTTTTTAACGAACTCAGGTTGAATTGAAACCGATTGACTAAAGCTGACTGTTTCAGCAACTTCGACCTCCGATTAATAAGACGTGTATTTAATTATTTTTCAGGCTCATAAATGATACTTGGTTCGTTAAATTTATGAATGGAGTCTTCGTAAATGTCCTCTGGAAGTGCTGATTCGTCTCCCAAAAATGTTGGCAAAGGAAGAGGTTCTTTAGGTTGTCTAAGTGGCAGAATTGTGTCATAAACGTAGACAAGATCGCCTGGATTTCCAGCAATAGAATATCCAGAAACCCACATAGTATTTGTTTTTGTATTAATACGCCAAATCTTTAATCCTTTTAATATTCTCCAGCTATTTCCCATGTCACCAGGCATTTTTTTCCCCTTCCAAATTCTTGACTTTACGCCTGACGAAAGAGATCCTGGACGTCTATGCGTTTTGGTATTTCCGTGTGTAGCTGGACCTCCTTTAAATCCCCATCGTTTTACAACACCTTGGAAACCACGATGAACACTATAAACAACTTAATTAACAATTGTTCCTTTTAAATTAACTTTGAAAACAGTAACTTACGTTTTTCCACGAACATCTACGTGATCTCCAACTCGAAAGTGTGAGACATTTAAAGGTGTGCCAGGAGGAAGTGCAGCAACATCATCTACTACAAATCTAAATATATGTTTTGTAGGCATAACGCCACTTCCTTTAAACATGCCCATATAATTTGCAGTCAAAATGTTCGGATCGACAGATTCGGCACCAACTAATATACAGCCTTTTCTATCATACTTTTTTAAAGGCCTTCGTTCTTTTGGCTCAAATTCGTTTGGTGGTATATATTTAATTACATGATTATCAACTATTTGAAGGACTGTTGTGCAAATTCTAGTTCCATCTTTTTTCCAAAGAGGATAGTGTCCTAATTTCTTAGCTATGACACCGCATCTTATAGTTCCTTTCTTCCATGTTTTTGGCTCTATTTCCGGTACTTTCAATAGTGTTTTACTTTCATATGTTTCTACACCTTTATGGATAACTTGCTTTCCAAAATCACGCTCAACGACTTCCTTAATAAATTTTTGATTTTCTGATGTCAAATTATCATCCTTAATTTTCCTCTCTACTCTAAAGCGCCATTCAGGAATTCTTAGTTTTGGGACACTACGAAATCGATGAAAACAAACTTGTGTGTATCTATAAACATATTAATTTTTTTGGTTAATCACTTAAAATGATATATTGCCCTAATTATGGTGTAATTCTCTTTACCTTATATCATTTATTACAGGCTGATTCAGCAATGACTTAAATGCTCTACTCAAAAGCATTTCTATTGGTTAATTAAGGTAGAAAATAATAAATTTCAATTCTTTAAATTTTCTTTTATTATTCTCAGGGTTTTAAAATAGGTTTTATTGTTTGATTTTGTTTTTTAAAATTTTTGTGAACGTTATACAATTTCAAGGTTTACAAATCTTATGTTACTATAACTTTATAAGTTATCAATTCCTGATTAATGTCGGTTAATATCGATCGTTAAATGCTGTTCGTGATTCATGCACGCTGTTGAATGTTCCATCTTCACGTTGCTGTAATGTAATATTTGCATTATATTTAGAGTTTGCCTCTGTACGCCAATTAAATTCTTCGCTTACATCAATTACAGAGTCTCTAGAAACTCTACGAACGTTGCTAACATGGAGATAAATGAGACAGTGATTTATTAGTTTAAAATAGATAAAAAGACACAATCTAAATGCGACGATGGATATCGTCTTGCACAAAACTCACTTTGGTTTCATTGAATCCTTGTTTACTTTACGCTTCATACTTCGATCATCTTGTCTAGTTATTTCGAGCGATTGAAGCGATTGAGGCTCGGGAGTATGCATTGTATATCGTCTACTTAATTCGTCATCAACTTCCACTGCATTATTAATAATTCCGCTTTCATATTTTCTGCATCATACCCCAAAAATTTTATAAAATAATTAATGATAGAAGAAAAAGCGTGTAAAAACAAAAGATGACACAACAAGGCTATTAATTGCCACAATATCTACCTGAGATAAGAATTTTCATTGCGTTCTTCGGAAACTTTCTTGTAAAGTTTTATCACATAATAAATTAATAAGGAATTGGAGAGAACTAATGCAGCAATAAAGAATGATCCAATTCCTAAAATCAAATATATTTGAAGTTGTAGTTCCATAATATATTTTTTCCTGTCTCAATGCACGTCTTGACTCAAACAAAAATAATTATCAACTAATGTATTGTATTAAGGTATATTGCTAATTGTAAGTATTTCATATTACTTTTTTTTATCTTCTACTGATAACGATAAAATTATAGCAGAGCATAATTGTGTCCAGCCGTTATTTGCCATGTGACTAATATTATTTGAATTCTGAAAATTAAGTCATCTAGGAAATTTTTTAATAACGATGGTTTACTTTTTGAAGACTGTTGAAATTTCCGAACGCAAATTATCTGAACATAAAAAATTACAAAAACCCTCGTGCTTTGTTGAGTGACTTCAGCGCATTTTGAGTAACTTCAGCGATCAGTACAAGTAAACTCGAGTAAATCAAATTGCAAAATATTGCCTTAACCTACCCTTAGAAAGATATTACTACACTACATGCCGTATTTTAGGCTTCATCATTTTCATTTCCAATGAAAATTTGTACCTTGAAAGAATGGCAGTTTAAGGTTTTCTTTGAAATTCAAATTTTATAACGGCTGAAAATATTAAAATTCTGAACTCGTCACGTGTTTGTTTTATAAAATATGATGAAATCAAAAAAAAAAAATCCTGAATTATAGCAATATAAATTCTGTTTCAAGAATTTTAACTATTCCATGACCGATAAATGAGTAGGAAGGGAGTTAAAACGAATCCCGAGCGCTGTACGATTTCAAGTTCAGGAGATCCCAGTTTTCAGCTGAGCAGTCGATCAAAGTGCATCATTAAGCTACCTATTAGAAAAAAGTTTTCCAAAATGCGCTAAGAAGTATTAAAATGTAAAATATAGTCAGTCAAAATGATGTTAACTAGTCTTTGGATAAGTCTTGCATAAAGTAGATGTTAAAAAATGTTACTGTTGAATATTGTTAGTGCTTTAAAAGCAGAACATACCAAGTTTTGAGATGAATCTCACATAAAGTGTCAATAATTAATAAAACGATAAAATCGGAAAAAAGAAAAAGCAAAAAGAGTGAAAGAACTGAAAATTCGTGATTTTTTTTTTTTCATATAACAATAACATTCTTATCAGTGCTTAGAATTTGAACATTTCGTAATAGAACGTGATACCTTCTAATCAGGTAATTAAAAGTTTGATGTAAAAATTGGCGAATTAATGCAGTTTATGTAAAGAGCGTAATTTAACTTTTTATTTTTTCATGAAAAATGAAAACTTTCTCTTGGCTGATTACGAAAATTTTAGGGTCAAAGACGTAAATTCGGAATACGCAGCATATAAAAGTGCTTTGAAAAATTAAGCACAAAATTTTTATTAGCTCTGGATTAGAGAGAAGAAAGAAAATGAATTAATTTGTTGATAACAATAGATGACGAGAAAATAATGTAGCACAGCACAATATCATCTATCCTATATTGCGGATTTTCCTTGGGTTCATTAATAAAAAAAAAAATCATCGTCCGTTGAGCTTAAAATATTTCACAAGTTACAAATTAATTGCATATACTTTGGTTGACTATCTTTAAATTGATATGGTTAAAAACGCAAGTTATTGGTTTACGTTGTAAATTCTTGTGGTTTTATGATGCGGACAAGAAAAAGTCTGAATGAAATAAATAGTCGTAGCTAGTTTATGTTACACGTCTCGTATGTGAATTAAATTGAATTGCTTGAAATGTAGGTAAACAGTTTTGTTTTCTTCTCTGCCTTACGGTTTTCACTTCTTTTGCATTTTACCATCCCATTATTTTTCTTCTCGCTCATTCAGTCTCCCATCCATCCAATTAAATCTCAGCTTTCGGTTAGACTTTGTGTACAAAATTGTTCATTTACGACTATACCAGACTTTTGAAGCTAGAAAATGAACATATGATTATATGCTCACCTAAACACATTTTCAACGTAAATACAAAAATTCATGTTAAGTTGTCATTCCTTCCTTGACTTCCCCAACTGAACTAAGCTGTTAACATAAAATCTCATTCATATTGTCTTACAAGTGTTCCGATCAAATTCCTATTGCAAAATATTGTCTTGGCTCCATTTGAAAAAGCTAAAGAAATATTTTTTAATTTGTTTGACATTGTATGATAGCTGTTGTCGACGACAAAAGAAGGATAGTATCAAATGCGATTTTCTAAATTTATATTTTTTTTATCCAGTTTAAAATTTCCTTCGAGTGATGCCTACGTATGATTAACATAAACGTATGATTTTGAAACTGTGATAATTTAATTAAATATTCAAAAACCCAACAAATTTTCAGCATTTGATTGCGGCAATACTAATTTCCATATTTACTCTCTTGCGTATGACAAAATAACTTTGTGTTGATGAGTATATGAAGATTTTGAAGGACGGACTCATGCGTTGAAGTTCAATCACACGATTACATATGATGACATTGTTTCTTTACCGGATTTAAACGCATCATTCCCAAGGTGACTATATAAAGTTATTATTATTAAAGGAAGAGATGTAAATCGCCTGAAAATATGAAGAAATTCCAAGAGAAATTTCTTCCTAAAAGTGTTTTTAACAATGAACGAAGTGAAATTTCTTTATTTAATTTGCTCGTACGTATTTCTTTCTTTCGTTTTCTTCATTTTTTAAACGATAGTATTGAATGATCGCAGCAAAGAGAAATGAAATGAGTAAAAATTCGCTAAATTCCAATCAAACTCGCAAGTATTGCTATCTATATCAATTTCATAAAATAGTTTTTAAACTTATAAAATATGTAAAGTTCAACTTTATATTATTACAAGAGATGGACTCTTCATCCTTCAGATCCTTAAGTTTTATAAGTTAAAGACATCAAAAAAACGAGTCAAAAGTTTAAAATTCTGTTTCTATTACCACGTTTATTTTTATTATGAAATTAAAAAAGCAATAAGAGTTTGTAAAGTTGAAGCAGCCAGCCAAAGTATTTCGAGTACAGACATTGGATGTGCAAAAAATGCTAAAACTTTTTCTTTCATTCCAAAAAATTGGGATTGTTTTTCATTTAATTCATTAATTTCTTTTTCCTCTTTCGTTTTTTTACATGTATGTTTTACACATTTACACGATTATATATTATATATGTGAAATTGATGAGTATTATAAGTGTTATGTAATCTTGACTTACCCTTTTTTATGCATAAATTTAGTATAAAAAATGCACAGCTTAGCCAAAAAGCTAGTCATATTGATTGACTCAATATAATATGTTAATTTGACTCAAGACTTTTTGCGCATCATTTATTCAATCCAATCCTTAAAAGGATTTTTTTTTGACCCAAAATGTAGACTTGACTGATTCATTTATGGAAACACATCCGCAGATTTTGTATTTCCTCTTCATATTTAGATTTTGTTGATTTGCACTAAAAACTAATAGATATGATAATAGACCTTAAAAAGATCGATAAAATTGCATCCGCAGTTTTTTTTAAAAAGTCACGTGTGTATCTTTAGTTCTTATTAATAGTTTTAGACGTCTGACTATTGTTGTGCATAAATGTCAAGAACATTAAAAGAACTTACCGTTAATTTTCAAATATATTAATAGACTCATTTTGAAGGATGAAAAGCAGTACTCAATCAGTTTTACGAACATACGGCAGTAGCAATCAACTGAATGAAGCAAGAGTATACTCTTTTGCAAGAGGTATCAGGTTTTACCAACGATCTTATTGTTGTTATTATTACTTAACTGCCTCACTAGATGTTAACTTTCAAGGATGTCAACACACGATTTCGTGGTTTTTTTTTATCGACATTCGTATATTCCATAATAGCATCATCTTTTTTATCTTCTTATTGATTTTACTAATGATGCTTTTCTGCTTCACACACGGGTCGTATTATAATTGTGACGATAATAACTGATAGATTTCTTCAATGAATTCCTATGAATGGGTAAAGCTTACTATTTATTTCATTGTGTGCATACATGTATGTACTTAGCAATACAGCTTATGTAGGCAAGTAGGAAGGGAACATTGATCATCTCTGTATGCAGAGTGATTGAATGGCAAATGTAAAAATCAATTGATATTTGCTTAATTTTTATCTCATCTGTTTAAATATACTAATTGACGGAACAATCTTCATCGCCCGTGACTGTTGCTGTCTATGAAATAATTATTGATTTAATTATTCTCTGTGCTTAAAAATAAAACTTTGAGAATGATTGCAATATGAATAACGAAATATGATTTAAGTCAACAACATTTCCACTTCTTTTTTCGCTAGCTTTTAAATAAAATCACATTCATACTACATTAAGACTGATTATACAATCATACATTCGGTAGAGATGAATGGAACATATATGAGTCGTTTTGAAGACACCTGCGCATATAAAAGAATATGATGATCTCTGATCTGTTCTGACTAGATAAATAAATTAATAAAAAGCAAATCTTAATTTTTTTGGTTCTACGACTTATTTGCAAAATTCAGTATTGGCTAGATAGAACCAATTATATTCTTAAGCCAAAATCCCACCACAAAAATAAGCTCAGATATTGAACTGTTTCTTTGTTTAAATCAACAGAAAATCTTGACAATTAATTATAACCATTTAATGGTCATCGACTTTTTGATAGTTTATGCGAAAACCCAATAGTTTTATTTTCGACTTTGCAATTCCTCAAATGCGGAATTAATAAATGAAATATAAGAAGTTAGATAAAAAAAAGAACTTGGGATTATTTTTGTGTGTCAATAACGTGAGACATCTTGTATAATAAAATAAATGTGAATGTCTGTTGAATAAAGAAACGTGATTATATCTTTAAATAAAAATCTTAAAAATTCTTTTTGGATGCTTTAAGAAATGAAAGGGAAAATTTTATTCAAAATTTAAAATCAAATATTTGAGATATATCATCGATGATGGATTTTCTTCCTTTCTAAACCGTCCATTCCTCTATATAAATACTGCAGAAATTCAAATAAATGTTTATTATTTAAGTTGTTGAGCTGTTCTAAATGAGAATCAAGATTTTTTTTTTGTTGTAAAAAACGTAGAGCGATTTTGTGAATATTTTATCTAGCGTTTTACTTTTCTGCTATAAGACACGTGTTAAAGATTCCTGAGGAATGGTAAAATATGTCGCGTGATGCGAAATGCTCAGTATTAATCGCAGTTTCTTGTATCTTCTCGTTAAACTGGAATATAAAAATCACAAGAATTTTATGGGCATATGGTTGAGAAGCTTTCTACTCTGGGATTTTTTCAGCATAAAGTTATTTACCTTATTCAAATATTTGAGAAATTCCATCATGAGCATTTTCATTTTACGCGAGTGTCAAAATTTTTATTTCTCTCAATATTCTCACATGTTTCTCAATTTTAATTAAATATTCAATGTTTAAGGCCAAGAAACGAGTTGAGTAAGGAAGAAGAACTGATTAGAGTGCCATCAGCTTCATGGCCTCAGAATGTCTAACTTGAAAATTAGTCGTTGAATCCCACCGATGCGGATCGGACTTAAAACAAAAAAAATTCGTCTTCAAATTCTTTATTTTATAAAAAACAATAAGTTTTAAGTCTTAGTAAATTTCTACAAGAGTTTTCTATGTTAAATTTGTAAAAAATACACTAAACGAAGGTGCTGATTTTTTTTATTGTGCGTGCATACGTAAAGAGCATTGTATAATTCGTACAATTATTGCATAATACATACAATTATGGACTAGCTAATAATAGTGATTTTATAATTTATTGTTTCATTACAGAAAGAAGCAACAAATAAAGTGAAAGAGAACTAAAACAGATAATTGTATTTGAATTAAGAAAATAATAATTTTGTATCAAAATGGTGAGAACAGGACATTTGTTTAGAGCACATGGAGAATTTTGTGCATCACATCCATGGGAAGTAATTGTTGCATTAATTACTTTTACCGCATGTATGTTTAGTGTTGATAAAGGAAGTTCAAATACAAATGATCCTCTCATATCAAATGATCCAAATGTAAAGCCTATTCACTTACGACAACAGTGTCATGGCTGGAGAGATTCATGTGATGGATTTGAAGCTCAATATATTGCTGCAGATGTTATTCTGATGACTATTGTAAGGTGCTCAGCAGTTCTTTACTGCTATTATCAATTTTGTAATCTACATAAACTTGGATCAAAATATATACTTGGTGAGTACATGACACATTGTGAAATTCATGAATGAACAACGTAAATAACTTGAGAAACTACTTATTCGTCATAATAATTATTTAAACTTATTATCAAATGTTTAATAATAAATTTCCATAAACAATGATTTTGTGCGAATTTAATTTAAAATTTCCTTTAAATGTTTTGATATTGGAAAAGTTTTCGGGGAATGAGCTATAGAGAAATTTTAAAGATCATCGCTTATTCATTCGCTAAGCCGGAAAAGTCTTCCAGAAATAAACATTTCCATCGATGATTAGTGAAATTGCACGAAAAATAGATGATGATTCCTCCTACCGTCATCCTTATTATTTTCGGAGTGATAATTTATCTTTACAAGCGTAATTATTTTTTCCACAAATAAACATTTTGCAAAAACAGACAGCTGGGTAAAATCTTTCAACAAGCCCCCTTACTCCGGATTAATAAGAGATTTATGATGCGATTTTCTTGTAAACAGAACAAATTTTATTTTTTTTTTTTCGTTTCAAACGAGTGCAGTTTGTGTAGTTTTAGTCAATTTAAAATTTGATTCAAAGCTCCTAAACATCTTATTACAATTTTTTTTCCCGTTATGTGCTTACTCTGCTCATCAATTTGTTTTGATGCTTTTTTGGCTTACAGCACAAACCAGTGTCCCATGTCTTACTGCTTAAAAAACACTTAATTAGAGATAGAACCACTAAAATATATTTAATATTTATCGTTGAAATGCTCAACTCTATTTGATATGCAAGAACTTGACCAGAACAGGAAGTTTTACAGTATTTGAAGATGAGATTCATTATTGTTTTATTCTCGATTGCCAAAATAAATTGTTGAATATATTTTTGAAAACTATTTTTAAAGTACAAATAAATCATTTGCAATGATAAATCTTAGATACTTCTAAAGTCTATTCATTTCCGTGATTATTTATCTCACTTGTAATTTTTGCGCTGTTAAGTTCTTCAGATGTTGAAAAGAACTTGAGATGATAGAATTGGCATAAAAAAGCTTAACAAAAATATTTTTGATATTCCAAAGAATTAATGCGACATACTAAAAATGAAATATATTAAGAGTGAGGAAGTGCTGTGAGATTCCTGTGAAGATTTTTTTTTTTTGGTTATAAATATAAAGTTCATAATTTTTGGAAACTTAATTAAATGATGCAATGGACAAGGTCGAACTGATCGTGATTTTGAAATTATTTTGTACATCCATTATAAAAATAGATTTATACTGAATGCATTAAAAAAGTCACGTTTAAAATCATTCTCTTTTAGGAAATTTTAGTATCTTTTATCACTTAGCACAAGCTTATTCTTAAATTTTCTGTACACATGAATGAAACTTATTATCATTCATTTTGTTATTGAACTTGAACTTTTGTGATGAGAATAAGCTGAACGCGTCTGTATATAAATTGGGATTTTACTGAATAATTTCGTAAATAGCAAAACAACTCGTCCGAAAATGCTTGGTATTTATAAATATGTACACAGAGCATAAACATAAACCCTGCATTCTTTATTAAAAAGTAAGAAAAAATAATAATGAATATCTTCTTCACATCCATCTTAATTGCGTCATTAACACTTTCTCACTTCTTTGAAAAACTTGTGTTTACTTTTAACTAAACACAGCCTGTGTGGCTTGTCAATGACGTTTTCTATAATCATATTTGGACATAATTTTTTTCTCCTTTTCGCACAGCGATCGTTAAGTCTTTGATAAAGCTATATATGTTAAAACAAACAGGATATGACAATATCCACAGCTGTAAGCTTAAATGCTTTTGTTAGTCAACGTAAAAAAGATCAGACTTCAAAAATAAATAATCAGAGATCACAAGTCTTTGATTCCAAAAAAAGAATCTTAACAATGGAATTCACATACTTCCTTTGCTGAACTAAACGAAACAAGATTAAAAAAATTTAGAAAGTTTTTCAACAACTTCTCACTTTGTGATTTTTTTATTGTTATTAGGCTTCTACTTTTTGCTGTTTTCATCTTGATGTATTAACACTTGCGAATATTGAAATTGTTTTTTAAATTAATGAAATTCAAACGAATTAACTTTATCCAGTACTTCTAAGGCTTTATTGCTACATGAGACACCAACAACATTCGAATTTGACCTCATTCTTATTTTACCAGTAAAGCCGTTTGTATCTATTAGGTACATAACAGTTTAAAGTGTAATTCTTGACATAGAAAATTGTTAAAACACCTGTAAAATTCTTATAATGAATTAATTTTTGATTATCTTTCTCAAAAAATGTCTCAAAGCAAAACTGCACAAAAGAATTTTCATACATCGACGGTGATAAATGATATGGATATGTAAACAAAATGTTAGTCATTCAATGATTGGGCAAAAACTGGTGTTTATCCAGAGAAATTTGTTAAAAATAACTTTTGAGATGTTATTTTGTTTGTTAATATCTCAGCAAATTAAATGTCGAAACTTGTTCCAAAAATATTTTAGGGAAATCCAAAGGTTTTTTTTTAATAAAAGCAAACAAAGTTTGCACTCTGCTACAAAAAAAAACAATCCTATTAGCTTTAATGGAAAGATACTTAGTAACAAATAGTACCCGGTTAATTTGGACCATCACATACTTTTCTATATTGTTACCTAATGCATAGCAAAGATACACATAACAAAGTCCATTCATAATAATCGGTAGAGCCAAAGTAAATGTATGAAACAAAAGGAAAATAAAATCGAAAGCTCAACCCGTGATGACATAACTCATAAAATTAAAATAAAAGGTTTTTTTGAATCAAAATTTATAACTCTTTAAACTGACAGCATTTAAAAGAGTGAGAAAACAGAATCTCATGAAGTAACTACTGTAAATGGAATTCCTTTGTAATTAAATTAATGGAAATTTTCTTAAATATTCATAAATGCATAATTTTTGATTTGGTCAAAAAGACATAAAAAGTATAATCTTTCGAAAATAATATCCATAAAGCGATATTGAAAGTGAAAATCTTGCCAAACTCTTGCCTCAGAGTTTTGTTGCCAATTTATCATAAAATTCAGGAAATGTAAATTCACATATTGTTGTAATAATCACCAGTTTTATTAATGCAATTAAGCTTTACTTTAATTTGTCTTCAATCTTCAATCAGCTCATATTGGAATTAATCGTTAAGGCTTAATTAATTTATAATTGATCCAAAGCTCAATACTAACAACTGGATTTATTCAATAACTTATAATTCGGCTTCTTATAGTTTTGTCTATCCTATGTTTGTTCCTAAGTTACACAAATTAGTTTGTAGGCACTAAATCCATATCAGCGCCTAGACTCAGCTTACTGTAGTTATAAAAGTAGAGCAATTGCCCAAAAAGTTTCAATTTTTCCAATTCTATTGGTTTCATCAATTTAGCTCTTAATATCATTCCTTGAAAATCACTTATGATTTTGTCGCATTGAAACATCTTAATTTAATTTATGGCTAATAAAAGCTTATAATGAATTCATGCAAGTCAGCAAAAATGTCAGAAACCGTTAATTATTTTAAGAAAAAAAAAATGAAGCGAATAGAAAAAATAATAATTTTTACCAGATGTAAATTGGATTTACTTTTTTTTCTCAAATTTAGTTGAATTTAGGAAGTACTTCACTTCCATGTTTCATGCAGTCAATAATTGAATTTTAGCTGCGCGATTTTATTGCTCTGAATTCTCATTTTTACTTGCGATTATATTAAGCATTGGCAATGAGTTCCGAATGAAGCATTACATTAGAAAACCGTTCACTTACCTACAAAATTGTCTGTATGGAAAAATAAAATTAACAAAAGTATGTCAATTGACATTAGTCGGCAGGCCACTTCAGCGTTAATGAATAGCATACACAAGACACATTTTTATTGAAAAAATTCAGGAATTAATTTTTTTTTTTTGCAATACATCTTTTAATGTGCATTTGAATTATGCATTCTTAAAACACGATTTAAATCATGATAGGAATCAATAAATGAATATATAAAAGGAGGAAGTTTTAAATCAAACAAAAAATCAACGGGGCAATATTAATTCAGCATTGAAAAAGCATTCAGTGTTCTAATTTAATTTAACCAATGGCCAAATTACTTTAATGATATATTTTTCTCCACTAAATCACTCTTGCAAATTGATATTCTTCAAGCTTGTCCATTAAAACATTTTAGATAAATTGTGCTGAAAACAAAAATCTAAGCCAAGGACCATTTAAATATTTTTCGGTGAATTATTATAAGACGCCAGTTGTTTATGATGTTCAACATTTGAGGAAAACTCTGTTAAAATTGATTGAATTTTGATTTTATATAGATTTTTTTAAAATTGTGACTGGATTTGAAATTTTCAATTTTTCATTATCATATTGGCCGAGCCATAACTTCATTCCTATTTTTCTATAAGTTTTAATTGTACGAATTTCACATAGAAGAATTTTGGCTCAGTCTTTCAAAATGTGATAATCATCTGATGGCTATGAAATTTCAAAGTGTGAAGTTTTTGAAGAATTTAAAAAAAAAATCGTCACTAGTTCTTAACTATATTGTCAATTTAATGATCTTTTTAGAAAAATTTCCAAGAAATAATAATATGATAAGACATAAGGAACTTTAATGAAAGTGAAATGAACTTGAAATTGACTATAATGCGGTAGCATTTTATGAAATAAAACACTCAATTTGATTTGATTGAAATGTTTGAAAAACAGCACTACAAATTATGATGATCACAATGATGATGATGATTATGAATTTATACAAAACATGCATTATTTCTGCTAGGGTTTGACAACCTTGGACATATTTTTTTTTTGCGAGACATTGAAAAAAGTTTACCATTGAGTTGAGTAAATTAAGGCATTAAATAATATTACAACCTCTGGAGTGAGATGTTGTGTGGGTGTGAAATACGGTCAAGACCCATATCTACACGATTCAAAAGTTATACCTAATTGATGTCATAATTATGTAAGTTATAAAAACACTTAGTTTGAATTTTGTCACCCTCGGGAACAATATGAACCAGTATAGCTGATTTTGATACAAATCTCGGCCATACTTCACACTTGTTTGAACCATATTTTCTCGTAAATGTTAAAATATTATTAAAAAGTAAACTATTCTGAATTTTGTCTGATTTGTCAAGTGTTTTAAGATAAAGAAATTTTTTTTTGGTTTCCACAGTGAAGAGTATGAACAAAATTCAGGTTGGGTAGTCAAAATTTTAGCTTTCGATTTTTTTTAAGCTATGCATTATAAAAAATAATATTGGTATGTGATTTATTTTAGGATTATGTCAATTCAAAAAATACATCCAAAAAAATTTTTTAACGGGAGAACATCATAGAAAATCAATTTTCAATTTTGGACTAAAGGCGACCCTTGTCAAAATTAATTTTGTCACTTTTTTCTTCGAGGGTTTATCTAAATGGATTGAAACTTTGCATAAATATTCGAATGCTTAAAACCAATACAAATAAAACATCCTAAAATTTTTTTGACCAAAGAACCAAGTAGAAAATACATTTTTTATTGTGAACTAGGGACAAGCCTAGTCAAAATTTTGTTTTTCGCTTTTTTTTCTTCGAGGATAAATCAAAATACAGTGAAACTTTGTATGAGCATTTTAATACACAGGTCACACATTTCTGAATACATAAAAATCATTTTACTCGTACAATGGACAAAATTTTAAGTTATGTTGTTTTTGAATGAACAACCAAATTTATAAAATTTTGGTTTGACGACTTATAGAATACAATTTTTGTTTTAGATATTTAAAACTGTTTGACATAAATATTAGTATACTCACACAAAGTTTCACTGTAATTGGATAAAGAATGCAATTAAAAAAAGCGAGAAATTAGATTTTGACTAAACTTGTCCCTAGTTCATAATAAAAAATGTATTTCCTCTTTGGTTCTTTGGTCAAAAAAATTTTAGAATGTTTTATTTCTATTTGTTTTTAGCACTGAAATATTTTTGCAAAGTTTCAATCCATTTGGATAAACCCTCGAAGAAAAAAGTGAGAAAATTGATTTTGACTAGGGTCGCCCCTAGTCCAAAATTGAAAATTGATTTTCTATGGTGTTCTCCCGTTAAAAATTTTTTTTTGGATGTATTATTTGAATTGACATAATCCTGAAATAAATCACATGCCAATATTATTTTTTATAATGCATAGCTTAAAAAAAAATCGAAAGCTAAAATTTCGACTACCCCGTCTGAATTTTGTTCATACTCTTCACTGTGGAAACCAAAAAAAAAAATTTCTTTATCTTAAAACACTTGACAAAACAGCGACAAAATTCAGAATAGTTTACTTTTTAATAATATTTTAACATTTACGAGAAAATGTGGTTCAAACAAGTGTGAAGTATGGCCGAGATTTGGACCAAAATCAGCTATACTGGTTCATAGTGTTCCCGAGGGTGACAAAATTCAAACTAAGAGTTTTTGTAACTGACATAATTATGACATAAATTAGATATAACTTTTGAACTGTGTAGATATGGGTCTCGGCCGTACTTCACACCCACAGATGTTGTAGACTTATCCTAAAATCAATTAATATGTTGAAAATATGACGTTTGTCAATAAATACATTTTACGTCAAAAACTTGTATTAAATCTATAGACAATGCTTTTCATTCATTGCTGTATTTGACATAAAAATGTCTTATCGCTTACGCGTAATCGACATTGTTCAATACAAATTCAAATAATATTAAAAAGTAAGCAATTTAAAAAATAAATCTTATTAATAATTTGCATGCTTTTGAGTATTAAATATAAATCTTTCGCAATTTTTTGATCTTATGCTTAAAAATCCAGTATTTATAATGAAATAAATATATTTGCAAGTAAATTGTTTGATTACGAGGAAGACAATTATATTGTGCACAAATTTATTCAAGTGAGGAATTTTTCAGTAATTGTGTGATTTTAAAGAATCGAAAAATTTAAAAAGATGTATTGAAAAATTATTAAAAATATTCACGTATTTGTGAATGGATGAAACTGACATGCCAATATTTGTCTGTCCTTCAAAAACATTTTACAGTCGGTTAAAATATTCCGTCTATGTATTTACGTCTATGTAAAACTATGTGAACTTCAACATTATGTCAAAAAAATGCATTTTCTATGCCCTTCGTTTATTTTCTTGAGTTTATCTTAAAATATGCTCAAAGCCAGACATTAATAGATAGTAGCAAACAATACTTACTTCCTTGGCTGGTGCGCACTTGGATTTATTGCCGCGCTTAGAGATCATCTGAAGTCAGCTCTATCCTTAGAAACCTTCTGCCAGTTCGAGATATTTTCGACTCTAGCGTCCTTTTCAACACATCCAATAAACGAGTTCTTTGGTCTTCCTCGTGATCTCTTGCCATCCATAAATAATTATGGATGAATTGGATTTCTTTGTTTTTATTAAATATAAATATTGGAACAATATCACATGACTTGTTCCAAAGCATGGTTTGTTCTTGAGTGATTCAACCTGTTCGTCGCAGAAAATTATGAATAAGAAATAAATTCGGACCGATTAAGAAAAAAAATATTTGCATATGTTTCTTGCTAATTTAAGCATTTTTCGTGTTGAGAGATGTCCGGGTTGTTTGGTGAACGTGATTTTCAAGGATATCAGCTTTATTGCATGCATGAAACAATATTGTGAAAATGCTTTATTTACACTTAGGTGTAAAAAAACATGATGCATTGAAGAAGTACAGTTCGAAACTTTGCATCATCAGACATAAGTTGTAGTAAGTGGACCTTTCCACAAAGACAACAGTAATTATATCATACATAAGTATGTAAGTTTTGTAGTGAAACTAAAAAAAACTTGCCCAACTTGCTCAATACTTGAACGATTTGGTTATTTCAGCTTGTTGACTGGTCATGTAACAAGAAGAGATAAAATGTCGCAAAAAAGTATTTGAACTTCATTCATAGTTTCCATTCATTCATGTGTGATACGCACAGTCGTCAGCGCTTCTGATTTACTATTTTACCGACACAAATGTGATTTTTTTTAACTTCATCTCGTTTTGGTCTATCGTAATGTCATTTATGACGCGTGTTCGCATTTTCATACTATTTATGCTGATATATTTGACACCAAAAAAACTTGTTTTAATTTTACTAGAGCGCTAAAAATTATGAAAAAGACTTAGGGGTCATTCACAAATAAAGTCTATATGAAATTGTTATGTTTTCCTACCTCTATATATTCTCTAAGCTTGGATATTTTTTATGGAGTGTCATTCAGCTTAAGACCTTTTCAATAACTCAAATTATTGGACTTCATGAGTGAATAACTTTTAAAACTAAATTGTGAGATTTAAATTTCTACATGAAAACTTACTGCTATAAAGCATTGCTTAAAAACTAGAAATTTCTTAATTCTTCCGACAAATGTTAAGTATTCTCAACGTGTGAAAGAACTAAAAAACACCATAAATGTTTGGTCAGCAACAGCTGTAAAACTTTTATAAGAAAAAAACACGTGTGTGAATAAATTTGCAATGACTTTGAATCACTCAATGAATATTTTTTCTTCTTCTTTCTGATTATCAATGTTATAGTATGTGACTTCTATCGCATATCACACACTATTTCGGTTTCAAAATACTACAATATTAAAATCTGCGCGGCTTATTAGAAATGTCTTACGAAAACATCAGAATTAAGTTTTATCACTTTTTTCACCTTGACCAATTGTGTTACGTTACTCAATTTTATTGGCTATTTAAATGACCAACAGTGACAAATTTCATTTTTATTTTTTGCAAATATTGTTAAATGAAAATTAATGAATCAAATTTTTGACATTTAAAGCGGTAAACTTATTTGCTCTTAGCATACCATCAAGTTGTTGAAAGATTTTTTTTTGTCAAAACTAGGTCGAAAACATCATTTTAACATTTGACTAGGTAAGAAAGAAGCCAGTACTAATCGCAATGTTTTATCATTGAAAATTTTTAAGTAAGCGACATTGAACGATTCTTTATATCTCAATGACAATATGCTTATCTTCACCTGGAAGCATTGTAGAGAATGATTATGAATGTTTAGTTGCCGTGAACCTAAATATGACCACTGATTTATTCAATCGCGTGAGAGACATTCAAAAAATGCGTAATAAACGAAGATCAAATTTTTACGCTAGATTCTTGTCAGATTTCTTCTTGAATTTATTCAAAACATATGTTGCTTTAGACATAAATTTGCATTCCTTAAATTTTACGACCATTAATAAGCAGGTATTGAATAGACAAAAAGATGATGCCATTGATCTATCCATGGATTCTTTAAGTATATAACAATTTTGTATATAAGATCACTTTCGTATCTTTTTTCTCTGTCCGTCTCATACATTTGCTTTAATGACCTATTTATTATGCATTTCATTTCACTTTATGTATACAAATATTTTCATATGAAGGAAAAGAAGTTTCTCAAGCGTAAAGTTAAGTAGGAAATGTTAACACAATTTTCTCTTTCTACAGGCATTGCTGGTTTATTTACGGTGTTTTCAAGCTTCATTTTTACATCGAGTATAATGAATTTTTTGGAAAGTGACATATCTGATTTAAAGTAAGTTGTAATTATTATCGGATCTCTTTTGTGATTTAAGGAAGTTACATAACACCAGCTCTTTTTTTTTCTTTTGTATTACATAGGGACGCACTATTCTTCTTTTTATTATTAATTGACTTGTCAAAAGCCGGAATACTTGCAAAACTAGCACTAAGTGGATCGAATTCAGATGAAGTTACACAAAATATTGCACGTGGCATGGAAATACTTGGACCGGCAATATCATGTGAGTTGCTTTTTGATTCAAATCTCGTCTAAATTATGATTTAAACATTTAATTACAGTGGATACAATGGTTGAAGCATTAGTAATTGGTGTTGGAACTCTTTCGGGTGTTCAACGTTTAGAAGTACTTAGTGGCTTTGCAGTAATGTCAGTAATAGTTAATTATGTAGTCTTCATGACCTTCTACCCAGCCTGCTTGTCATTAACATTGGATTTGTCACGCAACTGTACTGGAAATATAAACAATTCAATTAGCACATCAACAAGTACAAGCAATATCAACAATAATAACAGTAGTAGTAACAACAATAATAATAATAATAATAATAATATCACTGGAGAGGGAGGACAAAAAATTAGAGATCCATCGCTTATTCGAGCATTAAGCGAAGAGGACCAGAAACAAAATCCAATAATTCAACGTGTCAAATTAATCATGTCAAGTGGTCTAATGATTGTTCATGCTCACAGCCGTTTAACTTTTTCTGAGAACGATGATGTTGAGGATCCACATGTTAATGGCAATGCAAATCCCGGAGCTGATGCTAAAAATCTTAATATGGCACAGCAAATGAACAAGACAGAGTCTAGTGATATATCTGACTACATAATGAAATGGCTTTCAATTAGCACAGAACAAATCTTCATTTTAATTTTGCTGCTTACGCTTTGCATCAAATTCATCTTCTTTGACCGTGATGATCTCACAAACCAAATTCAACAGGATCTGGCCAGACAAATTGAAGAGGAAGAGCGCAAGAAGCGTGAAAAAGAAAAAGAAATGCAATTACAAGAAGTTAGAAAAATGATGGCACCACCACCGACTATTCAATTGCCACCAAGAGAACCATCACCTCCACGTCGTCATGCTTTGTTTTCAATTTGCGAAGAAGATCCAATGACAAGAGATATTGAAGTGCAAACAGATCTTACAGCTTTTGATGTTTTTGGAGATTCTGATGAAGACAATCCTGAATTTATTGAGTCTGCATTAGTTCCAGTTCGTCCACCACGATCAATCGAAGATTGTATCAAAATCATGATGTCAGACGTAGGTGCTAAATCATTGACTGACGAAGAACTTATTCTACTTGTTAATGCTGGTGGAAATTATCTACCACTCCACAAAATTGAAACAATAATTGAAGATGCTGAACGTGGTGTTAAAATCCGTCGTCAAATCATTTCTCAACGTCTAGGAATTAAAAATAATAGTGAACCATTCTCAACTTTAAGTTATCGCACTTATGATTATAGCAAAGTAATGAATGCATGTTGTGAGAATGTTCTTGGATTTGTAGAAATTCCTGTTGGATATGCTGGTCCATTGACACTTGATGGAAAGAAATATTATGTTCCAATGGCAACAACAGAAGGTGCTTTAGTTGCCTCAACAAATCGTGGATGTAAAGCATTGTCTTATTATGGAGTACGCAGTATTGTTGAAGATGTAGGAATGACTCGTGCACCATGCGTTAAATTCCCAGATGTTATTAGTGCAGCACAAGCAAAACGCTGGATGGAAACGGCTGAAAATTTTACAACAATTAAGCAAGCATTCGATTCTACAAGTCGTTTTGCTCGACTACAGGAACTTCTCATTACAATTGATGGTCCACAGCTTTATATTCGATTTAGAGCATTTACAGGCGATGCTATGGGTATGAATATGGTCTCAAAAGGTGCCGAGAATGCATTAAGAATTGTTGCGCATGCATTTCCACAAATGCAAATTATAAGTTTGAGTGGAAACTTTTGTTCAGATAAAAAACCAGCTGCTATTAACTGGATTAAAGGACGTGGAAAGCGTGTAGTGTGTGAATCAAGAGTTAGTGAAGAAGTGTTAAGGACATTACTAAAAACAGATGCAAAGACATTAATACAGTGTAATAAACTTAAAAATATGGCAGGATCAGCAATGGCTGGAAGTATAGGTGGTAATAATGCACATGCGGCAAATATGGTGACGGCAATTTTCATTGCCACTGGCCAAGATCCAGCTCAAAATATTACAAGTAGTAACTGTTCAACAAATATGGAATTTCATGGTGAAAATCAAAATGATTTATACATTACATGCACAATGCCTTCACTTGAAGTCGGGACAGTAGGAGGCGGAACAGTTTTGCCTGGACAAAGTGCCTGTTTAGAAATTCTCGGAGTAAGGGGAGCACATCAGACTCATCCTGCTGAAAATAGTAAACAATTAGCAAGAGTGATTTGTGCCACAGTAATGGCCGGTGAGCTCTCATTAATGGCAGCCTTAGTCAATAGTGATCTAGTCAAAAGTCACATGAAACATAATAGGTAAGAGATTCGAATTCTAAATAAATCAAGGGCATAATATTAATTTAATGTCCATTTTTCAGATCTTCCGTGGTTGTCAATTCATTTTCTACCTCAAGTCGTCCATCGATGGCATCAATTCCAAAAATTTAACATCAACTTAACAGCAGTAATAAAATTCTTATGCGTCGTTATTTAAAAAATATGTCGACATCATTTCCTTAGAAGCAGATAAAGTGAAATAATTTACATGCGAATGTCCAAATTCATGTCTACATATATTTTACTTTTTTGTCAGACAAAGTAAAAAGGATTCCTCTATTATCATTAATTGTACTTTTAAATTGTGTGAGATAATGAAACGTATTTCCTCTTATCTCACAACTTCTTATGACATTTGCGCATTGATAATTTAATGTATTGAGTTAATTAACCTTTAAGAGTGAAAAGAAAATTTAAGTTTTTAGTTTTTTTCTTTTTCTAAAATTGTCGAGTAAAGGATTCTTAATTAATGTATGAAATGATTTTATATACTTTCTTTGAATTTTATGACAAGTTGTGATGGGAAATTGTTGTTTTAATTTTGTAATTTTAGAAAAAGAAAGGAAATGAAACGATCAAAATGTGTAAATAAATGGAAATCGAAGAAGATTTGTCAGTTTTAATATAGTTTGAAATTGAACACTTAATTAAGATGAATTCGATCAAGCTTTTAATTTTTCATTTCATAATTTCCTTAAAACCGAATGCTTCGTTTCTGTGATAATTTTGATCGGTTCTTCCTAATGCGCTAATACTTTTTTTTTCGCTATTTATATTTAATTGTGTTGTTCATGTATGTACAGTATTTTGTGATGCTGTAAAAAGGAACTGTGTCAGACACTCGAGAAACAATTGACAAGCACCAAAGGAATTTATCTCATTATAAAATATTCGACCAATGACTTATTCCGAGATGTACGATGTCGAGCTAGACAAATATTGATTGGAAATTAATTTCCACTGCTGTAGTAGGACTGATGAAGAGAGTAATATAATTAATTAGTGAACTTCATTCTAGTTTCAAGGTATAAATAAATTATAGAAATCAAAAAATTAGAAGGAAAGAAAATCACAGTCTTGCGAGGATAAGAATAATACTTGTGCATTAAATCTTGTCACCCGTTATTAAAAGAAATTTTTTATTCATTTATTATTATTTTATTTTATTATTTTTATTATTATGATGTTTTTTTAAAAAAAGAAATGTTTCTTAGTGAGTAGGAACTCGAAGCAAATTTTAACATTCGAAGTTTTCAAAGATTTAAATATGATGATAAAAACTAATTCTCAGATGAAATATTTTATTATAAAAATTGTTTTCATATAAAATCAAATAAAAAATAATTTGAGTAAGAGAAATTTATAAATAGAAAGGACACACATCTTTTACTTTATAATATCAAATATTATTTTTCAGCAAAAATAGGTTCAGATAGGTTCAGAGAACAATGAACAGTTTTTTAACCTCGTTAAAATATCTTACACTTAATAACATCCATTATTTTGAAAGAGGGGTTATAAAAACGACCATAAAAGCAATTATTGAAATCCATTGAACTTTTTAGTGAACACAGAAACAGACCTCCATGAAAAAAGAGAAACGTATGTGAATGGGTAACTTATTATGTCTTGAGATTATTAAAGCATGTTACATTAGGAATCAATCAAAAATTAACTTCATTTCCTTTAAAGTCTATACTTATTACTTAAATTCTGTATAATTAATGAATGTATGGCCTTTTTGATGTTTTCATATACAAATGGATTGAGAACTTCCTGAACTTTCAACAAACTATGAATTCCTTGGGGCATTGAAGTAAAAATTTTCGAAGGACGTGTTGGAAAGTTCTTGGCTATTGAAAAATCTTCAAAGACTCGTTCTCGTATGAATATGAATGGTCGAATTATTCTCAAATCGCCGTCACTGAAAATGGACATGATTAATGAGCCAGCAATTTTTATTATAATGCAATACATTACCTTGATTTGACGAATGACAAATTAGCATTAACTTTTCCTTTGTAGAATATGGAAGTTAAAAATTCATCTGCAATTTTGTCAAGTGTACTTCCCATTGCCATCACATTGAAGCATTTTCTTTTAGCTATTAACGACAATTTTTGTCTCATTTCAGTATCAAGATTATTATCACTTTCATATATGAATTTAATATCCAAGTCTCGCAAATAGAGCATCAAAATACGCGGATCAACAGCAATATTTTCGTCAGAAACAGTCAACACTGACAGATCAACATGTAGGCCTCGTGCTCGACTAAACTGTCTAATTAAATGTATCAGACAAACAGAACTGCTACTTCCGGAAATACACACTAATATTTTATCGCCATCACGAATAAGATCAAATTCGTCAATTGTCTGTGAATACAGTTAATTAATGAGCTTATTAATATTTCATTATTAACTTAATTAATCAAATAAGCTGAACAAAAATAGGTGCACAAGTACAAAGAAAAAGAGTACAAAAAAAAATTGTGACTCGATATGTGGACAATGAGGTTTTATTTTTTGAAATACCGCGAAAGGGAAAATTCCAATACGTCATAATCCACATCTTGGCCAATGAATTTATTTACAATTTTTGTTTATTTCAATTTGTTAATTCTTACTTGCTATTTAAAGATGTAAGATAATAAAAAAATTAAGATTTCAAGAACCACTATGGGATCTTTTGGAGATGACTTATCCTTAAATTATAAATCATCCTTGTATTAATAATAAAAATAAAATAGCTCAAATGTTAATCTTTAAAGCAGTTTCCAATGCCTGTATGGTTTTATCCAATTTTCATCCATTTCCTGAAATACATTTTTGCATGGACTGCCATCACCTATCTTTTTCAATTAAGTGCAAACTTTCAAACCATATTTGTGCAGCTTTCAAAGTTTATGAATTTTTGAAAAAAATTTATAAATTAAAAGATTATTTCCAAGTTCTTAAAAACTCTTGTTAAATATATTCGTTCATTTTATTTACAGCCTTTAATTTCATTCTTTGTCAGATTTAATGGCCCACAGTTTACTCTTAACTAATGCTCTACGACCTGTGTCACCAAAGGAAACATAACTCATTCGGAATTTTCTTCTTAACTCTCGAACTTTTTCATACATGGAATTCATGATGTACCTTAAGCTTTATGATTAATAAAAGTTTTACAATTTTTCCTTGAAGTTTACTTCACTGAGACAGGTCACGAAAAAACCAATGAATGCAAATAAGTCAGTACTTTTGTAAAGCAACAAATTTTAAGCAGCACTTGATAACTCTACACATTTTAAAAGATTCTTAACTGTTTTATTGTTATTGTTATTGCATTTTCCACTATATCTATATGGTTTTAACTTGTAAGGTGATTAATTTACTGCTACAAACCAGGAAAATGCACTTAAAGTTTTCTATTCTATAAACTCTTTAAAATGCTCAAAATTTCGAAGTTTTCTTTGAAATCAATCACTAAAATTTCAATTTCTCTGCCACAATATTTTTAAGGACTCAAAATCTTCAAAATTGAGACATTATTTGGTTGGTGACTACGAAAACTTGATACTAACATTCGTAATTTGACATTCAAACCATTAATTTACCAAATTCATTCTTTCATTTAATAATTGTTAAATAATTCTTATCTTAAATCTATTTCATATCAATCAATCACCAGCAAATGTTTCATCATTACATCATCACATAAGTCATTAATAAAATAGATCTTAGGATATTTATTAATGTATCAAACCGTGCAGTAATTAATAAGTTTATAAAAATAAATTTTCATTGTTCACATGTATAAAAATAAATCATTTCTATCAAAATACCATGACTCTTATTTATCCATTCTTTGTTTATCATTTCCCCCGTTCTATTGTTTTAAAAACAAAATGATTAAGGAACTAAAAATAAATCTTTGGATTAAATCATTAAAAGAAAAGACAAATCACACGAATCTTGGTAAAATGATTTAAGTATTGTATCGTTATCATTATAATCTTAGTCATCACATATAGTATATATTTACTTAGATATTTGGGATAAATATGTATAGGTATATAAAGGGTCCGTTCACTTATTACGTTACGCAATAAAACGAATTTTTTCACCCCCCCTCTCCCCCTTGCTACAATATGTTACAACTCACCCCCCCCCCCCCTGAACGTTCATAATTTATTTTATTTTGATAATTTTTTATTCTAAAAAGACGGTTAAATTTCTTTTGTATTTTTTTTCTTAAACATCAAAATACTGTACAGCTAAATAGGTCATGTTTTGATTGATACTGTTAGTCTCTATTAGTATTCTCATGAATTATTGGATTGAGATATAAAACAAAAATATGTTTTTTTTTTGAAGAAAATTCAAAAATATTATGCCCGATCGAATTTTGGAAAATTCAATCTACTTTGAATGTTGAATCATCATATGAATCACAGATTCAGAGAGATTTATTTTTAAACTTATGATTGATTTAATTTTGAAAATTTCCACAAATTATGATTGTATTTTAAAGTCTTGTAAACCAGTTTTCTATTGATTTGTTACTTTATATAACAAAAACTATGTATTGCTATCAAAAGAGATCTGGACATTTATAAATCATTAAAAAAATGGAAAATTTAAAAAAATGTTTTTGGTAAACAAATTTTTTTCGTGAACTTTTTTTTAAAAGACAGACGACAGTATGAACGTTACATTTTTCTTGACACCCCCTCCCCCTTATGTTACATTTGGTTACAATTTTTCAAACCCCCCTTCCCCCTAAAATGCGAACGTAATAAGTGCGTGCCCCTAAAGATGTAATTTATATTAATCAATCAATCAATCAATCAACAACATTCATGCAATTTCCAAAAAAAAAAAATAAAAGAAAAGCTTCTCCTTATTTGTTGGTGTATAGAAAGAGAATAAATTTGAAACTTCCAAAAATAAAATTGCTTACAATAAGTAAATTGAGTTTGAAAGTAGTAAAGTTAATTATGGAATAATAATATAGAGAAATGTTTCCACAAAACCATTAATTTTGATTATTAACCTCGGCAGCTTGTTTCCAAATTTCCTTCGGCAGGTTCTGCCATGTTACTTGCTCATCTATTTCACTTGAAGGTGCTTGTATTAAATGCGCCTGACGCCTCAACATTTTTGGACTCGAACTTATCATATCATCACTCGATTGCTGCCGAGAAACTGATGAAGATGATTCCGATTTATTGTCATCGTTTTCATCAAATGTGAATTTATTGTTCCTATAAAATAATTTATTTTAAAACTTTGTGTCAAATATTAATCATTTTGAAATAACATCAATTAAACTCATTTCACATTTTTCAAAATAAAATACGTTTTTAATAACCTTATAATAAATAACTCACTTTTCAATAGAATTTCTATTTCGCCTTCGTTCATCCTCATGAAAACTTAAATTAATTCCTGAATCTGTTGAGGATAAAACATCAAAAGTTCTAATTTTGGAAATTGCACCAGTGTATTTTATTTGTTCTGGATCCGGAAGTGATTCCGATCGTTGTTTCTGCTGTTGTTTGTCATTTGAATTTGTTCTTTTAACTGCATCATATGAGGTATCGCTATATCGTTGTCTCATATTTCTACAAAAATGCAAAATAAATCAAATTAGAACCTCAAATGAATTGTTGTTTGAAATCTTTAACAATTGTACAATTTCGTATTCCTCTTATCGGCACATTCTTTCATAGCTCCAGCATTTTCTGGCGTAGCGATGAATTCATCAACTGCATTTGCTGCCTCTCGGATTTCGGTAGTCACTTCACTTGTCAAATCTTTTGAAAATTCTTTGAGAAATTCAACAATATCGCCTGCCGAAACTGAATCATTCTTAATATCCTCTGCACTGTAATTTTATTTTGAAAAAAATTATTAGTAACATGTAGATTTATTTTTTTTTAAAAAAAAAACAGAACTTACCAATTAATATTAGCCATAACTGAATGAAGATCGACAGCTTCAGAGTTTTCTAAAACGTCCTCAACCTGCGAGATGACTTCACGAATTTCCGATTTAATTTCAGCTGTTATTTCTTTCGTGACTTCCTTTACATAAGCTTGAATATCCTGCTCTGTATCACTGCAACTGCTAGACATCATCATGGAGATTATCATAATAAAAAGTAAATAAACGTATTATAATTAAAATATCTGATGAATGTTTTAAACTTATACACTACATTAAACGTAGCAACACAACCAAGGGGAGTATCCCAGTTTTGGGGTGGGGTGTGATGGTTAAGATTTTAATTAATTCGCCTTATAGTGATAGATAACTTGATACGCCCCTGGTTAAGACTCGAAATATTAATAAGAACTGTTTGTGCATCGCAGTTTGAGAACATAGAGAAACAAAAGAAATATTCCAATTGATGCAAAATGTTACACTGTCAAAAATCATTAACGAGCATTTTTAAGATGAGCGGGAGCAATGAACATTCATGTTAAGCTCTAAAATAACTAATAAATTGAGATGAATGATTTAATGACTATGAATGATGGTGTTTAATGCAACATGTGTTTAATATTGATATCTTGTTCTTCATCTAACCTCCCAAATCGAATTCTAATTTCAGGAGTCTCCACAGGACTTATTCGCAAATCAGTTTGACTGCTTACACTATGCGATACTACTCTCTTTGGTTTCAATTTCGGGTTAAATAATTTCATTGGAGCTGTGTAAGATGAAATTTGTGATGAGCTCCAACTATAGCATCTAGTTTGATGAATTTGATTGATTTGATTAATTTAATTAAATGTCATTTGGTCGAAATAAAAATAAGTATTAGAATTTAGGAAAGGAATTTTGAAAATAAAATTATTAAATGAAATACTAATGAAGGGGGAAAGGAAGTAGGTATCAAAAATTATAAAACAAATTACCTATTACGACTAGGAATCGAATCGTTAGCTCCCAAGCTATTTGGCGAGAAACTCGTCATGGCACATTTTACTTCTCCACCTTATTAAATAAACATTTAGATCCAATTGCAATAAAAAAAGACATATGGGAAATTGATCATGTTACTAACCTAATGTAAATCTCACAATTGGCGATGGTGGAGATGAATATTCAACAGAAGCTCGCAATGGAATTGGACTTGAGCATTTTGGAGGAGAAATCGATATTTTTGTAAGTTGCGGTGTGTCTGGAAGACTTCGACTTTTCTGATATCGTTTAACATCAAGAGCAGATAAGCTGTTTGTGCGATGATATAAGAGATTCATGAATGATGGTGGATCACATAATTTATCAGGGTCAAATGGAACTGTATGCTTCACATTTTGTGAATGTCCTAGTAATAATTCATGTGCTTCTCTCTGTAGCATATACCATCTTAATTTTTCGGCATTTTCATTTGGTAACTTCATGTACAGGTTTTCATCAACATTCGACCTTTGTGCTGTTTTGCGTGCACGATTGAAAAGATTGCGTGCAGTTTGAAGACAATCAGGAAAGTTTTGAGGAAAACCACCTGGAGCTGAAATACGCCGATCATTAAACAGCATTTTTCCATCATTATATCGAATTGAATGCAGCCATTTTCGTTCCTTTGCGAGAGAATTTGATAAGTGCCTCCATTCTCCTGTTTTAAAATCGACTTCATACTGCGGTAAAAGCTTCCACGCTTCAGTTGCAACCATTTTTAATGCTTCTAAGATATACGCAATTTCATTGTCATTCATAAAAAATGGAAGAGTTATTCGAACAAAACCAGGACGAAGATTTTCCACACATTCCTCGTCCAAAAGTTTTTCATATTCAATTTGGAGCAGATTATTGATTCCTAAAGCTTGATGAATTAGATTATTAGCTGTTGATTGAATTCCAAAAACATCATTTAAGACAGCAACAACGAATCGATGATGTAAAAATGCCCCACGTTGATGTCTAATTAGAAAACTCATTGTTGGAATTCTTCTTGATGTTGTTGATGCCGGACTTAATAGAATAATTTCCGGAATTGTACGAATGTGTGAAAGCATCTGCTTACAAATTTTTTCATGCCGATTCATTATATGACTGCCCAAAGCTTCTTTTAATTGCATGACAAGACCACATCGAACAACACTTACAGTATCAACCATTTCCATTTGAATGGAAGTGAAATTTTCGATAAATGATTTTTTTATCACAAGAACTGAAGGAGCTTGAAGTCCTCCAATCATTTTGTTACAGCTAAAGAATAACGCATCTTTTGATGAACCTTGTATCGCTGAATTCATATTCACTTGGGCGCTTGAAATTGCAGCTGTAAAGTCCCATATTGAAATTGCATTATATTGATGCAAAAGGATTGTAGTTGCTACGTCATCTGCTTGAATTCCTGATAATCTAGAAACGCCCGAGAATAGTCCAATTAGTTTGTAATCTGTATCCGCATACTTGCTCAATTTCTTTTCTAGATCAACAAGATCTAAAAATCCATCTCTATTCTTTGCAATTCTTTCAATCTGTGCACCCGCATCAATCCAAGATTTAATATTGTCGATCGGTTCAAGCTGACTCACAAATAGAATGACTTGCCGCTCATTATTTTCATCTTGATATAAGTGTACTGATGAAACAGACGAGATATCACTCTCTGTTAAATCCTTTGTCTGATTAGTATTTAATTTATGTGCGACTCGTGTTCGCACTAAATTACTCGCAAACAAGTGAGCAAGACGATCTGATGGATTATTGCAAAATATTATTTCATCCTCTGATGATGCATTTATAGCTTGCTTTATTATATCTCTGCTTTCAGTTCTAGACATTAAAATTAAACATGTTTTTATTTTATGACTTTTAGAAATATTAATATTCAGGAGGAAAAGCGATAAAAACTTTAAATATTGGCGTCTGGCAGATTGAAATTTTTTTTCTGGAAAAGCTAGTTGCATTTTTAAAACTATTTTTTAAATCATCTAATCTAAGAATCAGAGATCGAAGCCTATTTTTACGGCTTAACTCAATTTTTGATTTTATGATCGAAAAAAGCAATTTAACAACCATTTCAAGTAGCTAAATTGAACTTTACATGTTTTACTATGATTCTGCGTAATATTTTTTCAGCATGTAGCTATAGTTACTTTAAGAATACTTTATTTTTAAACAATTTAGAAAAGATATTGCAATCATTTAAAGACCCAAAAATCTGTAAGTGAACTCACTCGTATAAATGTGTTTGAAGGCCAGTTACAGCCGAACTGCAGCTAGTGTCTCCAAATGCAGGAAGTACTTCCTTATTAATATAGTCCTCCAAAAATTGAAGCGATCTTCCAGAAGATGCATAGTCTGCGTAAACAACTAGAAAGAAATAAATATAAAAAAATAAAAAGATGAGAAGAAAGTCACAAATTGTAATCAATTGCAAATAATTGGAACTTTATCAATTTAATTATACGGAAATTAAATTCATTATCATAAGCAATCATAAGCCGCATTTTGTATAAATACACAACTGATTATAAATTGCAATATTTTTTGCTCACATTTGCTAAATCAGGTCAATATTTATATGAAGAATAATAAAAGCAATTGCATTCACGAGGACATAATGTCTATCATGTGTCTCCATAATGGACAATATAATTTTACAGCTGATGCTGAGCAAAATTTCAAAGTGTAAATCACTTGAAATGACACAAAATTGTATATTAATGAGGAAATGATTGACGAGCGTTTGTCAAAATATCAGACCAAGAAAGCTAAATGAATTACAGCATCATATAATTGAAACAAGTAATTTCAAGTTATAACATGTGGGTGGATATGCAAATTGAAAAGTTTCAAGCACATCAATTACATGTGCTTAGTAAATCAAACAAAGAGGAAAAACAACAATACTCCACGTGCGAGTAAAGTGCAGTATTGCGAGTACTTTATAAATAATGCATTAAGGAAAGAAGTATTCACATATTATTAATAATTAGTTTTATTCTTTCCATTTTTTCACCTAATATTTGAATTATTGATTCAAAAATATAAACAACTTGCGAATAAACATCTGAGATTTATTACATTACGTTTCAAATGCATGCTAGGTTCTTCTCGTCAATAATTTTTTTTTTTCATATTATAAACTCAATCGTACAAAATAATTCAAGTGTAATGAAGTGCACTGAAATTACGTGCTCAACTGCATTTCTCATTCACAGACATTTAATCACAATTTAAATGCTTAATTAAATATTACAAGAGAGATTTGACATTTTCACTTGATTAGGTTACTAATATTCAATTTTGTAATAACTGCATGACGTGCACATTAGTTTATTTAAACAATGCATTCAAGCACTTGTTCTCATGTAATAGCAAACCACTCTATTATTACTTTAATAGAATTGTATTCCAACCAATCAATCCAATTATCACCCATATATAATTTTGATATGTATAAATGTACACTACTCAATTTCTCTTTGCTTAAAAAAAATAGAATCGTCATTGAAACTTTTCCGCTTCTAGTCTTACAGACTAATTAATATGTCATAATTTGCGGGAGGAGAAATGAAATAAATATGAGAATGCTAACAACATTCTAAAGTAATTGTGGCATGCTGATTCATACTTGCTTTAGCATATACATATTGTTGTGTCTTTTTTGGAAAGGGGCCGTTCACTTATTACGTTCGCATTTTAGGGGGGAGGGGGTTGAAAAATTGTAACAAAATGTAACATAGGGGGGGGGGGGAGGGTGAAGAAGAATTATTTATTTTTAACATTAATTGCAACTGTAAAAATTACAAATATTTTTGAAGGAACTCTCCGACCAAAAAATTAAATTTAAAAACATTTTTTTACAATTTTCCACCTTTTTAATGATTTATGAATTGATGGTTTTGTTAAAAGATCATGTTGACTGGATCGAATCTGAGCATATGGATGTGGTACATGAAGAAACAGTTCAAAATTTAGAGTTTGATAATTTAATTTCGATTGATAATCACTTAAAACAAATTTGGGAAAATGTTTAATTATTTAAAAGATTGAATTCAATATCTAAATGTGTCCAATAATAATAACAATATGAATAAAGAAAAACTATGATGAATTATGAGTAAAATTTATATGTTTTTAATAACTACCTATAAAAAATTATCAAAATAAAATAAATTATGAACGGCCTGGGGGGGGGGGGGGGGTAGGTTGAGTTGTAACATATTGTAACAAGGGGGGGGGGGGGGGGGGGGGTTTGAAAAAAGTCGTTTTGCGTAACGTAATAAGTGAACGGTCCCAAAGACATTTTCATTGATTTATAAGATATGAAAAGGTTTTTTTTATTTTGTCGAACATTTAGGAACGGGACCAATAGCGTTGTTGAGACCCTTAATTTATCTCCCGAAGATTACAGGAGGATTCTTTTTACGTCTTTAAATTTTTTCCAGAGTTTAATGCTCGCATATCAGGTTTCACATAGCATGTTACAGATCCATAGTTTTGGAAAAAAAAATTATTTCATTGATAGACGTCACCTGTTAATTTCCCTTCAAGCAGTAATATTTATTTATGTCATTGCATTCAGGGGTCAGAAGACTTTATTATGGGTGACGAAGAAATGAGGATCAAAACGATTTAATTTCAAATGAAAAGAAGATATAGTAAATAGGAAGCATTTTTGTATTCAAACAAAAATATCGTCGTTTTATTTTACGATAGAAAACAAGAATAAAACAACAACAACATCCATTAATAGATTTGTTACTGAGCGCTAAAATGATCATGAACTTAATGAATCAAAGACGACGAATAAATAATATGCAAGCAAAAAAATCTAAAAATAAGACAGGAATGAGCGATGATGAACTATATCTGGCACTACCGCTATGTCTTGTTAAATATTTCTGTTTGTCATTTTATGAAATAATTAAGTGAGAATAGTGTTTTGACACAATGTTAAATTAGCTATAATATATGAAAAAGCTACTTCTTCCTCTTGTTTTAAATTTCATTTACGATCATGTAAAATGAATGAAGTGAGATTTCTGTGCCAATAGAAGCATCACACAACTATTTTTTCGACATCTGACGACCAAAAGAAAAACAAAAAAAAATCTCAAATGACTCTTTTAGGAATAGATTAGTCTCTGACACTTAGCACTCAAATTTCTGAATTTCATTAAGTTAAATGAGTCCGGAAAGCACATAAGGCCTGCTAATGAAATTCGATACTTCAACTGATACTGAATCATTGCCTTCAAGTTTTTTTTTCCTAAAAAGCATTTCAATGCAAAATTTCTAGATTATTAAATCACAAAGCTTTATTTGCATTGAAAAGTAAATTAGGGGCATAGCAAATGCTTATTAATTCATCAAGAAGCTTATTAACATTTAGCAGTATTTAACAATTAATCATTGAGGTCTATACATGTTATATTGTTAGACATTAAGTCGCCGTTCCTAGCTTTCCTCTCACGAACGAATAATTGTTTGGTATGTGCGAAAATAAATACTCAGAAATTTCCCGATGAGCAACTAGCAGTGATGTAAAGAAATGAATCTCAGAAGTAAGTTGCAAGAAAAGAAAAACAAAACCATTTTTTTTTCTTAGAATTTCAATTTTTAAAGAGAAAAAGTAGAGCGCAAGTAGGACAAGTTTACAGCACTTGGCACACAAACAGCTTTTTTAATTGGATTTTACGCAATATTACATACAGAGAAATAATTTTGAATAATGAAAAGTGCGATTAGGAAATGACCTGCAAATTACTCACTCACTTGAGTGAATGTCATTGACTTTAAATTATGCAAAATTAAAAAAAAATTGTGTCATTTTCATTAGATTGTGTGCATTTTCTTTTCTTTTTACATCAAACGATTAAGAAAAGCAATAAATTATTTGTCATTTAACAAGCTACCAATTTATTATTATTAACGGTACCTTAAATTTTTTAATGATTATTGCTTAATGAACTAGCATCTGAATTTCATCATTTGATGAATAATTGTCTTTACAATCATCACTCAAAATAATGAGGAACTAAATTTATGGAATGAAACATACGACGTGCCTACACATGAAAACGGGATTATTTTCAGGTACTTTTAAGTGTAGAACTTGAACTTGAAGGTTGATAAACACTTAATACTTTCTATCATGGAAACTAAGGATCTTAAGAATTAAAGTTTGTTGTTCCTTAATTCTACCCAATAGATGCATATTTTACTTTAATTCTATAATTTTATTAATAGGTTTTGATGCCTTATACATTTGATGCTTATTCACTATTTAAAGTAATTTTGAGATAATGACTCTATTTTTGGGGCGTATGTCATTTTCAAATCTACCTGTTCTGCTTGATTAATTATATTTTTTATATAAAAAAGGTATACGTGAAAAAAATTGAATTAAAAATGTATCCAAAATATTAAATGTTGACAAATATTATTGAAAGAGAATATTGGCACCAAAAACAATAAAATTCTTATAAAATATTCGAAAACAAAGCCAACAAACTTCTACAAAAGTGATTAGTTAACGCTTTAAATTAACATTCATTTAATAATCGAGTTTTTTGTTTTAAATGTTTTTTTTTGTTGCAAAGTTTTTCTGTTTAACAAACATTTTTTTCTGTGCCTGTCAACCAAATGTTGTGACTGACATTTGTCATATTTTTAGCACTCGATTCAAAGAAAAGAAAAGAAAAAGAATGATTAAATGACAATAGAAATGAGATATATTCATGTTTGTGACCACTTTATGGTATTTACATTTGCCTTCAACTTGAAACATGATTCGATTCAGAACAAATATTTCACTTCTGTCCACAATATGTCTAGCGAGAGTAAAATATCAAAATATTATTGCTTCAAATGTCAAAATAGAATATTTCCAATATAAATACAGCAAAATGATTCAAAACTAACTTGTGGTAAGCGGTTGCATTACAGCGAATTGGTATTTACAAAATGATTGATGACTGTTAATGAACAATCTTTAGTAGAGTCACCTTGAGTGTTAAAAATTACATCTTAGTGTAAAACATTTAAGAAGGCGGATTTATTAAGCAGAGTGTGTTAATGAACCTAGTAATGAAAATTCTCAGACACTTTAATATTCTCATTCGAGCTCTCAGAATCATGGTGTATGAAAAATTATTAATTTATAAGTATAAAAATACATTAGGGTAAGCATGCATACGTAATAAAATTATGGGAACCATGTGTGTAATTGTAAGTTTTACAGATAATTAATTGAACTGAATATTAATCACGTGTGTACAAATGTGTACAATTCACCGACACAATCAAACATAATCTTTAAAACGTGGTAATTAAATGTGAAAGCAATCGCCAGCATGTCTAGCACGAAAAAGAATAGCATAACATTGATTTATAAATAAATTATATTACTCCGTACGCATTGATGTATTTAAAATTATATTTTTGAGCTTAAAAAATTATTGAAGCATTTTAAATTTCTTAAATGACAGCCTTTCTTTCCTTAAATTTCATAAATGTAAGTGAATGTAAGTGAAATGGTTTTGAAAATTCATAGGAAGTACTAAATTTTGTCATATTTATTTTCAGTTTATAAAATACAGTAGACACTGTACTTGCTTGAGTAAATGTAACGATATGAGTATATTACATCCACGAAGTTCTATACACTCGAAGATGGGAAGAGCTAATCTACGTTATATGCTTCTTGATTACAAAATATATTTCAAAAACACTTTCATTTTATTGTCGAGTTACAAATTGAAGTTCATCATAAAATATATTTTGTAATTTCAATTTAAAGTAATGCTCATTTATGAATTGGAGTAATTTTCAGTGCTACTTATGAGAGGATTCTTCAAAAGGTTAGCTACTGACCTATAAAAATTTTTTGACATCAATCCATCTGACTGAAAGTTTTTATGGTAAAATAAATTTCTTATAGTGTCATATAGCTTCTTACTTTTCACGTCATATTTACGTTCTTAAATTTAAAATAATCAGAAAAGTTTAAACTAAGTTTCAGATAATTTGAAAATGTGATCAGGTCTGAAACATGAATGTAAAATCTTTTAATCAAAATTTCAATAAGAATTAATCGAAAAACTTTTTCCTTTTAATTCAATGTTTACAGATTTTATATATGTTGGAGGAATTGTGTGTACCTTGAATTGTGATTTTCCTTATCTTTTCGGTTAGATAAAAATCATTATACCCATTTGATGGAGAAAGAAGTTTTAGTCATTGCACAAAGTCTTGAAAGAAAAAAATACTTCCATTATCTCTGTTCAATTTCTCGCTTATAAAATTGTTTGCAGCACCACTTTGAACTTGACTGCATTTTTTATATCGATGACGTAATTCATATAAATATTGTTGTAAGCTTTTCAGCATTTACATTTAAAAACCAAAACAAAAGTCGAGGAATTGTTTTTGTATTTCTTTTTAACTTGTACAAGTGTTTTATGAGATTTTTAGCAGACTTGTCACAGCACCGAAGCTATAAATGTATAAAACAAAAGAAAATGCACTTTACGCTCATTAAATTTTTCTATTCCTTTAATTGACCACAATCCAATATATTTTAGTGACCAGCTACATAACAAGACTAGCCTGCTTATTTTTATATTCATACTTAGATATGGAGAAATGATTCTTTAATGGTGAACGTTGCTAGTAATAGTAATATATCCGGAAACCAAAAAAGCACTGCACTTTATTAGAAAACAGCCTTTCATGTAACTTATTCATCCTACAGTTGGTCACATGTAAATAAAGAGCCTTTATTGTTAGAGCATGTGGATAAATAAATAAAATTTATTCTAATCGATCGAATGATTTGTTTATCCAACACATTCTGAAATGCTAATTTACTTTTAGCACGAGAACTGAATTTAAATTTTACAAAGGAAAATCTTTGAAATGTGAATTAAATATGGAATATGTGTGATCTGAAGGTCTTGAATCTAATAACATTACGTCATATAAACAGAATGCATATCAATCAGCAGTTTACTGCATTTCACACTTTGTTCTCTCGAATTAGAACTCTGCTTAACAAGAAAAACAAGTCAAACTGGCTGATGACAAACTGAATGTTTATATTCAATTTTCACAATGATATTTTTGTAAGGCGTTAAAGTAATAAAAGTTTCCATTTCAGTTTATTGGCAATAATTTTTTAATTTTTAAAATATTTCATTTTATTTTATTAAATTAATTAAAGTCATTTTAAGTCTTTAAACTTTAAATGTTACTCTAGGTTTTTTTCGTGTTTTTAGTCTGGGTGATAACGCTGATGTAAGAAAAGATAAATTTATTATTATTCAGGATATGAAACACACTCTTGACTTACATTCAGTAGATAATCATAGAATTAATTTCGCGACAAAATATAAACATTTTTCTTCAAAGCATTGATAAGATTATTACTTCAAATGATAAATTCATACTTATCGAGTAAACAACTCCCATAGTAAAAATGCTTAAAAAGTTATTATTTAATATTATTATCTATGCATGAATTTTTGCATCACAATTTATAGTTTATAGAGCTACGACAAGTCTTCTTTTTGCAATTTTCATAAAATGCGCAGTTATGCAATTTTTAAGAACTTGAACTTGAAATTTGAAATAGAGAACAACTTACCCTTCCTTCGTCCATAAGGACCTAGAAACAAGACTCCTTTTCCAATTATATTGTCGTCAATGTACTTGAAAATCTTTTGTGTATCTTCTAATTTTTGCGTTTTTCTTATTCTTGGTGCCCGTGGAAATATAAAATCATCTTGGCTTAAAGATAATGATTTCGTTTTACTAGCTTTCTTTAATGCACTGTTGCTTGTCATCATATATTTTAAGAACTGAATGATGCAACAAAGAATTATAAATTTTATTCACTCTATTAGGTTGTATATTGTATTTTTCATGAGCAAATTCATACAATAAAAAGTCTAGTTTTTATTTGATTTAGGGATATTAGTAGAGATTTATTTTTATTGCACTTTTTAAGTGATCATCAAGAAAATCTTTCCTTTTTTAAACTTTTGAATTTTCACTCTTTTGTTATTTTTCCCATAAAAATTTTCCGCTTTAATTTATCAATGTAAAACTATAAACATCGAATTTCAAAGTAAGACTGGGTGAACAGTACAAAGTGTTCACAGAAAATGTGCAGAGAGAAAAGTGATCAGAAATGGGAGAGTAAGTTTAGAGAATAAATCTCTATTTCAAAAAGAGAATTCGATTACGTTTCTTTCTCATTTTTGTGCGACACTATTCAATTTATGAAAAAAAATTCCCTTCAGCACTTGAATGGACACGCGAAATGTTAGGCACAACTTGGAAATCCGAGATTATCTTATTTGTTACTCAAATGTTTACTGAATTTGTCATTTTGTTGATATAATTAATTTAATTTTGTAGTTAATGTCGCTCATGCAAAACAATGGAATTGGAAATAATAACTTTATAACATACATCCTTAAATTGTGGAATTATTTCCTACAAATCCTGCTCCATTTACGTAAATCATATGCAATAATTATTAACTTATAAGTTGGCATATTGTATGCATATCATGTAAGTAAACTTGTGTAAGCACTTAATTTTGAGACAAGTACTTGATTTGTTGATGTCCCTCAGATGTAAATTCTTTGACAATTATTGTAATGCAATTCATTTATATCGCAATATTTAGCTATTCCTTTTATCTATTCCGAATCATTCACATGCAATTGATACCCTTTCTTAATCGTTAAATGCATTCTGTAAATTTTGATTAATTACTTTCAATGAAATATTTTGAAACATTTTCCTTATTTCTTGTCTCAAGTACAGAAAGTGCTTGATATACTTTTCATATTTCATTAACAGACTCAAAGTTGTTTTTAACCGATATCAAATTGTTTCTTGATCCTGTTTGTCACTATCTTTTCGGATAGAATTTGATAAATTTTCTATTTATATCGCTGTCTTGTTTTTCTTTTCGGCTCTGTCAATTTTCATGTTCAAAATGTTTTATTGGATTCATAAATTGAAAATATTGATAAGTGAGGTAACTCTGTAATAAGAATGGACTTTTAAAGAACTGAATGTATTAGACATGGGTCCAGGAAATATAATTTTGAGAACTAATGTATAGACTTTCCCACATTGTTTACAGTCCGAGAATTTTCTTTTAATTTATTCTTTAATTATAAAAACAAATCTACGATTAATGCAATTAATTTCTAATAAACGTTTCCTTGAGAGATGAGAATCAACAGAAAATGATACAGCGTTTCAAACAAGAGATTAATTTTCTACCCTGAAAGATTATGATGCATGCTTGCATGCTCAATTTCTTTCATAAATTAAATAATAAAATGATTTACAAACGTTTTAAGAATAAATAAATGAATGAAAATGTAAGTGAATGCAAATTAGACTCAGCTTTGATCGAAACCTCGAAAGAAGTAAAGCAGAAAAGGAAATTAAGAAAATTTTCCTTTCGTTTGGCAAAAGTTGGTAAATTTATAATGAGAGAAGATAAATAGATGTTTTATTATCGGAATGTTCTCGAAAACAACTTTTTGACACAATTATGTCTATACAAAAGACATGATGACGCTTTCATAAACACATGTGGTGATACTGAAGCTTCAAATTTCGCATTTCAAATGGTTTTTTTTTCGCTGAAACGTGAGTAGAACTTCCTCAATTCTTACCTACGACTTGATTGACTTGTGAAATATTTTAAATAGAAATTTTAAAGTTAAAAATTCACACACATTTCTAAAAATACTTAAGGGCAAAGATTAAAATAAAAGAAGTAAGTTCAATGAACGAATGTAATCACAACAGTCAAGAGTATGAGTAAAGTAAATGATTGAAAAGGACATGCAATGAAGTAATGGGAAAGATCGCATTTATCATCCGTTTTTGAAATATAAATCATTGAAGGTCTTCTCATATTATTGTTCTATGCATTCGAATGAATGATGATGATGATTTCGTGTATGAACAGCTCAGAAAGAAATTAAAAAACAATCATGTGAATGAGATCATTGCAAAAATTTCGTAAGACTCTTCCACAAGACTTCCAAACATTGAATGTCTTCTTATATGTGGCAAAATGTTCAAAAGAAAGCATAAAATAATGATCAAAAATTTTGAGGATTTGGTCTGTCATGTTTGACATCATTGAAAGTGATTTGAACTGATGGTCTAAAGAGTTTCTAATTATTTATTTAGCCAGCACATTCAAAATTAAGATTATAGAAGAAAGTTTTGGGAATCGTTCATAAATTACGTTAAAAAAATCAATTCGAGAAAAATAAAGTTCCTCTTAACCAAAACTTTTAAATGAGTGACAATCAAAATTTCTAATAGCAATATCTTACTTTGGACATCATAAGTGAATAACCATATTTAAAATTAATGGAATATTAAACTTTTGCCTCATCGTTAATCTTGGTCTGTTTTCATTTAGACATTCGTACCTTGTGACCTTCAATTAAACATTAAAGATTTTTCATAAAATATTAAGTGCCGATGAAAATAAAATTAGACATAAGTTTTGTAAACACGTGAAGCATGCGTCTGTACAAATAATAAAATGCCAAATTGTAAAAGTTATTTTTTTCAAACGAGAGAAGTCTCATCATTTTTTATTTCATGTTATATACGTATGATCAAAATGTAGAAATTTAAAGACTTCTTGCTAAGTTTTATCGCATGACACATGTAGCATTTATTTTTAGATTTCCATAAAAAGACGACCATATTTACACTTGAAAGTATTCTGCTCTTAAATAATATCTATACATACACTCAAAAGCGAAATACTTGTGCTTGCATAATTACAGTAATTTTGCTTTGACAACATTACAACTTGTTGAGATGAAAGAATGCTTTAAAAAGCACTTCCGTCTCAAAGTGTTATTAATCGCAAAATTTTGGATTCTATTCAAAAATCTTTCTATTCAGTATTTATCATGCATCGTCAGCACTCAGTCAATGATGAAATTTTAAATCAATAAACTATTTACATCAAGTCGTTTATTAAAGAAATTAGAATGGGATGTTACTAATTCTCTGTTGTGTTTAAAAACAAATTTATTCAAATTTCTTCGCCCACTTTTACAACAAAAATCATCTAATTCAGACATACATGAGATTTGCGTCGCTCCGTAAAAGAAAAATATGAACCTCATGACTGAGAAAGCAAGAAGACTAATGATTTGCTGAAAATTTAATATAATAAACTTTATTCTTATTAAAAACATCATGAAACAGCGCCAACAATCTTAAATATTGAATAAAGTATGAATTCACGTGTGGAAAGTGGTACTTCAAATCCTTTCTGATATCTCTGATCAAGAGTTATCACACAATTTTATCATTAAAAGCAGCATTTTTCTAAAGAAAATTAAGTTAAATTAAGGACAACACGGAACATATTCAAAAATGCGACTTGGACAGTCTAATGAATAATTTTCTACACTTTCCATTGTGTAAATTAAATTAAATCTACGTTGTGCTATGAGTGCATCGATGTAGTCCCGCTTTGACTTTATAATATATTTTTCATCAAGTGAGAAATATATTCTTATTTGTTCCTAAAATACCAGAAAATTTTCGAATAAAATGTACGAAAATAGTTACAGTAAATTGTTCTAATCAAGAGATTTTTTTTGCGTCATTTAAATTAATACAAATTGATTTCAATCGAGACTCAAAACAGGCTGATCAAATATCATTTTTTATTCATTAACATTCATTAGAAAACAGCACATATGTCCATAATCAACATAGTGCCTTAGATATAAAATTATGCAAATTTGCTAGACTTGAGAATTATGCACATCGAGTACACTTATGAATGGGAGAAAGTAAGATGGGTTGAGACAGGTCAGTGTACTTATCAAAGACAACAGTAAGAATGTATACGGTTTATGATGCTTTTTTAAAGCGTGCTTAATACAACGCATTCATAGTTTATAGGATTTTTTTTAATTAAGAAATAAAGAAATCGTGATATGAGATGAAGAAAAGCATGAAGGTAGCGTCTCTTTTTGCTTATTCGTCATCTATGGGAGGTCATTTGAAATAGGCTACACGGATTATAAATAACATAAATATGATCACTCAAAATTATATCTTAAGCATTTTGTGTCAAATTAATTGGACAATTGTGAATGCTTAGTTTTTGTAGCTCTCAAATTACTCAAATAATATCATTTTTGAGATAGAAAGGTTTTTAAACATGTCATTAGATATATTTTCATGAAAGTTGACATAAATCGTATGTTGTGATAAATGCCGAGCAAAACTAACATTCGAAATAAAATCGCCAATAAGTCTAGCTATAAAGTATTTTCACTAAGACTAATCTGGGTCAACAATGAGAAGAAGAAATGAATTAGCGTGCATAGTAAAATACAATAATTATGTGCGTATGTGGCATTTTATCTCCTATCATAGCTACAAATCATTGATATGACCAAATATGACAAATTGATTCACGTGGAATGATAAAGATTATGGAGGAAAGTAAACATCGTTTATGACTCCATAAAAGCATATTAATTAAGCACATTCTACAAAACAGACATGTGAGACTGATAATTTCTTACAAAAGGATTATAAAATGCTAGACTCAAATGATAACGGATGCTTTTATATATATTTTGATTCTTAAAGTGCTGAATATTTGATCATTGTGCATACCTAATAGGAAAATTAAAATTATGGTAATGACAAATAATTTTCGCGAACGAACTGGCAATTATTTAAATTTTAAATAGATCTATAAGATTTTTGACAAAGTTATGCGCAAATTCAAGGACGGAAAACGTTTCAAATTGGAGTAAATTATGTGATATATGCGACTTGCTGACACCAGAGATTTGCATTTTATGGCAGTTTTTAGTGTCGAAAGTCATCGTAAAAAGTTATTTTGGACAGTCATAAGAATGTTATTAATCTATACGATCAAGAATCTCTTGTGCTTGAAAATTTATGGAATTGCTCACTCCTCATTTTAATTTAAATAATTAATTTAATAGCTTACCCTTTCTTCGTCCATATGGACCAAGAAACAAGACTCCTTTTCCAATTATATTGTCGTCAATGTACTTGAAAATCTTTTGTGTATCTTCTAATTTTTGCGTTTTTCTTATTCTTGGTGCCCGTGGAAATATAAAATCATCTTGGCTTAAAGATAATGATTTCGTTTTACTTGCTTTCTTTAATGCACTATTACTTGAATTCATTATAATTATTCAAACTATGAAATCACACAAATAATCAAAGGTCCAAAACTATATTCTTAGTTATAATTCTGGAATGGAATTAAATTCCTTGAAGTAAATCACTAGTAAAAATTAATCGAATATGTTTTATAATATTTTTTTGTAGTCTTTTTAAATTACATTCTTACACTCTGAAGTCTGAAAACAAACTAAAATCACTAGCAAAATGATAGCAGTGAGAGACAAAACTCAGAGAGAGTATTCGTACTCATGTGAAGTTGCTTTGAATCTATAGACATTAAAAATGTGGTAGCAAGAATTTTTTTTCTTTATTATAAAATGCTGCGTTTAACAATTAGAATTTTTTTCATGTTAATTAATTAATCAAGGATTCAGTTTTCTGATTCTCACATTTAAAATCATTTAATTACAGTTTAAAGAGCTTTTGTAGATTTTATTGACAGCTTCTCACAAAAACGGTATGAGAAGGAAAATTACGAGAGTACTGTAACTCTCGAGAGAATTCAACTGAAAGCTCTTTGGAAAGTAAAAAAGCTCTTGCCTGATCACAGGGTTTTTGTACGTGCTAGAGCATGCATGGAGTCATTGAAAATAGAGTCTGAAACGTGAAGCATGAATTAATCCTTTATTTATTAAATAAAACCTTGTATGAGTTTATTTTTGAATTATAAATAATGATTAAGGAACTAAAAAGCTATAATTTTCGACGACTTGTTGAATTTCTGTTGGCATTAGAAGAGAAGAGACTATCGTAAGGTTTATAGTCAGTTCTTCTGTTTTTAAATATCTTTGGCGAAATAGAGAGTAATCTTCTTTTGGCAGGACCTTTTTGTAATGCTTTATCAATTGTGCTATGCTTATTATTGTTATCATCTTCGTCGTCATCTATCACATGAATTGTTTCGACATTAATGAAGTTTGAGACACTTTCCGGAGAATTTCCTGTTATTCGATGACCAGAAGGTGAATCGTAAGGTACTATGCTTTCTACACGATTTTGAAAAATGTGCATCATATTTGGTTTAGCTTGTTGTTTAAGCATTTTTGAATCTTTTGAGTTGTGGATGGATGGACGAGGACTTGGACCGTTATATGATTTTCTGGGAATTTTATAGTCCTTGTCTAAGCACGCTGTCAAGTTTTTATAATCTTTACTTGTAGATAACATCAATTTGCTCATATCTTCAGTTCCCTTTGATTTTTCCCATTTTACAACTTCTTCATCATTAAACAGATTGCTCTTTACCTTTGTAGTTGCTCGATTTATGCTGTTATAATTTCCTAAAGACATTCTTGTTGTTGCTGGATGTTGTACCTTTCCATTGTTTCTTTGTCTTAGTTTCCATTTTCCTGTATTTCTTCCTAAAGAGTCTGAAGTAGATGTAACACAAACAATTTGTAAATCATCTTCACTTTTTGAACGTTTTAGTTTTTCAACTACAACCGGTTCTTGAGGCTTTGAATCCCATATTGGTATAGGTTTTTCATTTTTATCATGAAGCAGACAATCCAAAAATGTAGACATTATTTCTTCATCGTATGAAAAATTTATGTATCTATCATCATCAACAGTTTCATCCCAACCTTCTTTAAGTCCTTTTATGTCTGGATCATAAAAGTGACTAAGTGGAAAATCAATCTCCATTATATCGCTTGTATTAATATCATAGAATGTTTCATCATCAGGATTTTTATGATATTTCTGGTCTTCTTCAATCAATCCTTTTGTTAAATCAATTAAACCTATCTTCATACATTCAAAACTGTCTTCAGAAAGATTTTGCTGACTAGTAAGTTCCAGTAAGTTTCGTACGACGACATCAACAATCTTTTTCAATCTTTGATGATCAGAATTCTTGATTTTTCCAAGAAAGGATACATTTTCAAAATGTTCGGAAGCATTTATCATTTCTATATATAAAGAATTAACCGAAGCTGAATTGAATGAACCTGATGTAATTAAAAGTCTCGATGAACTTTCATCCAGATTTGCAGGTCTAACAAAAAAGTATATTTCTGCTTCAAATATCGGCATGAGCAACTCAAAAATCATAGTTTTCTTTAATCCAGTATATTCAGAGACTTTTGCATAAAATGTATCGCAGCTACAAAGGTTTAGTAATGATTACAGTACAAATAATTTAAATGAATAGCAGTTTTTACCTTTTAGTTTCATATAAAGGACGTTCGGAAGAAAGCTGACAATCACAGACTTTGATAGAGGCATGGATATTGAGCAATGAAAACTTTTTAATACTGTTAATTAAATCTTGTAAAAAGTCATTTTTGGATTCAAAATATTCCTTTTCAATTAAAATTGTAGATTTATCTCTGCAAGAAGTTTAATTCACTATAGAGTATATAAAAAGGATAGAATAACTTACGAATTGTATTCAATTATCACAGCACCACCTTCATCCCAGTCTATTGTTATTGTTGTTAAATTTTCCGACGAATAATTATCTTGAATCAGAACTGTTTTTAGCTTATCGAGAATTTCGTCAACAGTACCAAGATTCATCATTATTCTAGATATGCATATGTCATTATATTCTTATTAATTGTACTAATAAAACGAGAATTTTATAATCTTATTTTTGACCAAATTATTTTTTCCAAATTGCTTTTTTTACCGAGATGACTGAAATAAGGAATATAAAGAATTCAAAAAATGACAGTTTAATTGCATTTAATAATTTTTATTTGTTATTTTAATGATCACGCAATGAACGTTATGAATAATACAATTAATTTTAATTAATTACTTAACATTTTCTTTTAAAAAACGAACTATTTCATGAACAAACAAACAAGTAAATGTGATATGGACATGCATAACTTTTTATCTATTATTTGTTGTAATCCTGTATGTAACAATAGAATCGTGTAAAAAGAGACTGGTTAATTGTATCTAGAATTTAATGCTGCACAAACTGCTAACATTCAGTAATTTTTCAGAATTCTGTTTTCTTTTTGTGACAATCGATTCTTAATTACTTGCGAAAATTTCTTAAGTTCTATCTAGCCAACATATTTAATGCTTTTCGGTTATCGTTTTTTGGGTGCTTTTTGTTGGGGATCAAAACAAAAGTTTGAGCATTAAAAATAATAATTTTATTAAGAATGGATATCATACCATTTAAAATTGGATAGTCAATCTTCATAAATCTTAAGTTTACTTTCACAAAAGCAGTTTATAGCTGTAGTAGAATAGAATTAGACACACGATTAAAAATTATTTATGAATCTTGGGGATATCATATAAAACTTGAAGAATGATTATTTAAGTAGGTATATTTTTAATAAAGCAATATCATTTAGTTCCTTTCTTTTGTGTGTGTATCAATATGGAATGAGAAGGAATGTATGAAAAATGAACATGGATACATCATCAGTTTTCTTTTTTATATCATTAATAAATGACTTAAACCATTAAACATAATATTTATGAGTAATAGTCAATAGTTATGTACTGTAAGATTTATTCATGAGCTTCAGACTCTTGTTGTACGAGCTTAAATCTTCTTGGAGATTTGATGCTGCCACTATTGAGTTTTCCCAATCGTCCTTGTTGTGCAAGGCGCTTCTTAATGAAACGTGATACGAGTATTTGTGGACGTTTTTGCCATTCCATCATTACTTCTTTTGGAGCGCATACTTGGTCGCCATTTAAACGATTAAGCAATGCAACGCAAACAATTGCTGCTTTAATACCGGCGTGATGAGTCAAAGCACTAAATATCGTAGATTCCATTTCGATATTAACAACACCAAAATCTCTGCACTTTTCTAAATAATCCATTTTGTCTTTTTCCGAAAAATCACAAAAGGCTCCATCAAGTCGACCTTGTCCTGAAACAAAACAGCAATAACATTCTATGAGTATCTATATTACTTCCAAAACAGTTGCGCAATATACCTTCATAAAAATCATTTGTGCACATGGTTTTGCCACAGACTGTTTCATAAGCATCTTGTGTTGGATCAACTAAAGACACGAACTCTCTTACCAATTTCTGATCTAATTTTGCTGGTCTATAAACCTGTTTTCCGAGGATGGTCTACAATTTTTTTTCTTAATTTTACCTTTTCATTTCTCACAAGAAATGTTTATTTTCCTTACCATCTCATGGACACTTCTGAGTTGTCCATCAACGCCTTCATTTGAGACAATAACGGTTCCTCCTTCAATTCCAATTCCTCCACATGTTCCGATTCGAATAAATACTGGATCTTTACATTTGGCATGATACATGAGCTTGATAATCTCATGCAATAAGATACCAAGAGAGGGTACACCCATTCCATGGGAAATGGATAATACAGGACCAACCTATTGATTTTTATTTAATATTAGAATTCATTGATATCTCATAGAGCATTTTATTGTACCTTATACATAGAATAACGATAAGAAAAAGCACTTATGTCTTGCAATTGTGTCCCTGGAGGTATTTTGTATCCAATTTCATCCATAATAAAATGTGCGAAATCTTCCATTCTATGTTATGTAATCAAAATCAAGAAAAGTGTAAGGAATGAGCTTATTTTATGAGATCACATGTCTTACCTTTTTGGAGTTCCACCCATGCAAACAAACTGTAATTAAGAATTTACTAAACATCAAATTGCTTTGCGTAACAAGAGAATCATCATACCTTAACGTCACCAAACATTTCCTCCAAATCATGGCTTCCGCTACCTAAAGCTAGATGATAAAGTATATCCTGTAAATGAAAAGCACTTGTTTAGCATTTTGAATGTTCTTAATAATTATTTATACAAACCTGGTCCATTAATTCAATATTAGGATTACGCAATTTGACGGTTCCATCGTTATATCTATTTTAAGGAAATAAAATAAATTAATTCAAGTGTGTTAACACGCGACAAAAATATTACTGAACCAAAATTATGCAGAATTTTCAGGATATCATAACTTGAGGCATATCATATAATTTTAAAAAAGTGTGTGCTTGCTCTTCTTCTTCCTTTTGTTTACCAGCTTTTTAATTAACTTGTATGTATGCTCAATTCAAAATAATGTCATTATTGTCACAATAAATCTCATTTTGTTATATTTAAATTTGTTCTTTATGGAAGTAAAGAGAGTACGAAACTCAATAATGAGCTATTTACGTAATATTAAGATCTTTTCAGATGACCAATTTGCAAATTTATTTACGCTAAATGTAAAAAACGAGAAGACATAAACGAAATATACGCATTCGAGAAATTAGACTACTAAAGTACATGCTATGAATAATGTACTCAAGGAATATTCTGAGGTGTTTACATTGACAAAGAAATTAAATAAGAAAGATTAAATGTTTAAGTGATAAGATTTAATTAATGTGTTAATAAAAAATAATAGTTGATTTATTAGATGAAATGCCAAAGAGCATTTTGCAGGGCATTTTGAATGTATTTGAAATACGTAATTTCTAGAAAGTCCAAGCATGATAAGATTATTAAAGTGTTATCTTCCATGGATTTATAAACGATCATGTTTTATGTGTAGCCCTTGTTAGAAAAGCTCCGTAAAGTATTACATTACCTTGTCTTTAACTCTAAAATATCACGAACTTCAGAATCCTCATTTTCATCAGTTTTAGATTCACTGGTGGAGATTATATCCTCGTCGCCACTTGATGTGGATGCAAAAGATGAGGTACTTCCATTTTGTGCTTTTTGTAATAAATTTCCATTTGCATCGATTTTCTTTATTTTAATTGATTCAGTCAAGTCTTCAGTGATTCCATTATTATTAAGTTGTGTAATATAAATAGATGACATTTTCCTTAATTCTTTGGAATACTTTTATATTCTAAATTATCAAACAAAAAAAAAGTTAAGATTTCTGTCGGCTATTTTTGTCTTTGTTCTGTTCTCTTTTAAAAGGTCAAATCAAAAACTAGTCTTTACTTCTTATCGATATTCAAATGATGAGAAAAAACAGCAAAAGAAGGTATTATGTAAATCCATAAAAATTACTTCCTAATTCACAGACTGGTTTAGCTTGGTTTTGCAGAATCTACCTTTCTTTATCTGTTCAGAGTGGAAACTGAAGTATCAAACCAGTAATGCATTTGTGGACGAGGTGTTACACAATAGAACTGATATATGCAACTTTCTTTTATGAGGACGTGGGTTCGATTCCCACTAGAGACCGATCTCTAAAACAATTAACTTAGGATGTTTGTCGATATGACAAGGATTCGCACAAGGATAAATACAAGCTTAAGCAAGTCTTCTTAATGATGCAGAACATATAAGTTCAACTATTATTGATGATTGATCACTTTCAAAATTGATCTGTTTATATTGCGCAAAAAGAATGAGCACAATGAAATCAACATCCCGTTAAAAAAATATAATGGAATATTACGCAACAGAGACAACAAAAGCTCAAAATATTTGAATAGTGCAGACACGAGTCACAATCATTTTATTAATAAACTCGTATCATCTCTATTATCTGAATTGGGAAGAAACTGGTAAAAATAATGATTTGTTTACTTTATGAAGATGACATTTCGAATGAATGCTTAAGCTTGAAAAAAATTTAATCAGATTTTTGTGGATCTACAATTTTATAATTAGGAAGATAAGTTAAAAAGGAGGTATATCATATCATATGGAAAAGACTAAGGTTTTAAGTTCGTTATCACTAGTTAAAAACTTGCAAGCTGCTGACTTCAGTGATATCAGCAAGTAAAAATATAAATCGCGTGGCATGATGTTTTACTTTAGGGCCTCGACGTTTTTTTAAGGATTTTTGCTTAACGGAAAAAAATAATTTGAATTTTTCACCAACACTATCATGCGAAACATCAAAAATTAAATTCTCAAAATTCTTGATTATTCAATCATTAATCCCAAATATTATGATTTGAATACGAAAAGTAGATGATACATTAGCTATTCTGCCTATTTTAAGAGCTTTAACATCATTATTGAGTGATTTTTTCATGATTTTTAAATTTCATTTAAATTTTTGTTTGTAAACAAACATCTCACGACAGAAAAAATTCAAAAAATTTAAAACCGTCACTCACGAACAATTTTGTTTCGTCGGGGCCCTTTATAATTACTAATTTTATTTTTCGTCTATAAATGCTTAATTAAGTGTTATGTTCATAGTAATGAGTTAATGCGCATTTAGATCGCAATATGTTAACAAAAATATGGAAACAAATCATTTTATTCTCCTGATTCATTCTTATTTTATTGAGAATTGCATGACGTAAAGATAAGAAGAAAAATTTTTTGGAGGCTCGTCATGTGTTTGACCTTGAATATCGTACGAATACAGAGAATAGGAAAATTACACGTAGCAATAAAAACAAATTTATTAACATCATGTGTCTGTTATTATTAAGTATCATTATCATTTCCTTTCAAGTCAACTTACTTTGGGACACAAATTGTCACGACTAATAATTTTATTAGATACTGCAGTGGGCTCGTGCATTAATGGCGTTTCAAATTCAAGTCTGGATTGATGCATATGACATCATTTGCATGAATTTAAGCTAATGAATGTGTAGATTGCAACAGATTAAAACGACATGATCGGAGAACAAGATACTGACGATATATAAAAGAGGACCAAGGAAGAATTTTTTTAAATATTCAATAGCATGATAAACATCACTTATGAATGACTTTAAAGACATTGTTTTAAAATTTCGATCACGTTATTCTTTTTATAATCAATAATTTACTAATAATAGTAGCAGAAAGGGTTAAAAGGCTATTGAAACATTATTGAACTAATTTCATGCACGAGATAAACATGCATTTTTAAATAACGAATGTTCAATATTATCATTTACGGTCTTATTATTACTTTAATCTTGGCCTTAAGTATATTCATTACCATCTATTATTTATTCAGCTTTCTTTGAAAATGTGACACAGAGGAAATGTGTATTATTTCATGGAATATTTTGTCAGTTGACTCTCGCAAATGTCGCAGAAAAAAAAATTTGATACATTTTCAAGTATAAGAACATTTGTGTCCATAAACTTATTAATTATTGCATCATATAAATAGGATATTTATTTAAGCAACAGTATGGATTTTTTACAATTGCTTTATAAAGAAATGTGACAGTTATTTTGAAATCAATGTAATGCCAAGAATTTATATTTTACTTTTTAACGACTGAATAATTCATTTCAATACAAATTCCAAAAAATATTTCAAAGTGGATAGACTAGTTTTTCTGACAGAATTTAATTAAATTATTATTCAAACTACATATTAACCTCAAATATTTTTACAATAGTTCTTCACTTTTAATTTAAGAAATTAAAAAACTTAAAAACTTCTGGTGAAATAAAAAAACGAAATGAACTTCACGAGACAACACAAAACACTGAATGATTTTTGAGACTTCGTCGAAATTTATTTAAAACATAAGGCACTGTTGAATGTATGTGTTTTAATAAAACGAAAAAATATGAGATAGATGGAAAATATGTATTTGGCTACATGCCATACAGCTCTATGCATACGCATGAGAGAAGAAAATCATTTGTTTCATGAGAGCTTTTTGTTCATCACAATACTCAATTTTATAGTGCATTTTCTCTATTGATATCACAATAAAAGATATTTTACAAACTTTTAGATGGCGTGCCTATAATACTAGAACTATCACATTTTAAATACTATCCGACTAAGTATAATGTTAAATATTCAATCCCCTCGTCGGTATGCAACTGATTATTATGAAACATTTTGAAAAACAATATTTTTCATACCAGCAACGTGATCAAGCAGGAGTAAAACGTGATTAAATATTTTATCCACTGAATCTTTAATTAATTTTGATTTAAACTTAATAAGTAATATTAAAGACAATTAGCTGATTTATAAAAGAGCAAATCAAGGCGTGGAAACTCAGGATTAATCCCGAAAAATACTAAAAATCTCTGAGTTAATAAACGTAGAAATGTAAAATCCCTTTTAAATCCCTGATGCATTTGATGAATAATTTCGGGATTTAAAAGGAATTTTGCATTTCCACGTTTATTGGCTCAGGGATTTTTTTAAGGATTTTTAAATTTTTCAGGATTAATCCTGAGTTTCCACGCGTTGGAGCAAATCTAATTTTTAATTTTGAACAAATCTTTTGATTTTAAGACTATTTTCAACACATTTTTGGATAGTAAAATTGTTGAGTGAGTTTGAGGCTTTTCCAATAGATATTCTTCATCTAAAAGAATGTCTTTAAGAAAAAAATCTAGATTAAATAAAATAAACATTATTCAGCCGAAAATCTTATAGTTTCCAATCCATTTAAAATCAGTGATACTTAAAATGCTTTTAAAAAATAACCAAGGAATGGTTCCCTAATTTTAGAAATAGTTTCATATTGCAAGGAATTCTGAGAAATTATTTTGTTTTAATCTTTTTACCAACGAACTCAAACTCCATTCATCATTTCAAATTTGAGCCTCATTCGAGAATGATTCCTGAATATTCATAATTAATTCACACTTCGCATAGATCCATTGCGTAACATGTTGTGACAAAAATAATTTAATAAACATAAATTGGCATCATCATATTCAATTGATCAAATGAAAAGTAAAATTGTCAACAATTTGTTTAATGAATAAAGTCTTCAATTTCACAGAAGTTAAATCTATCGTTTTATAATTTTTGTTTTTTTGTACAAATGACCAAAAAAAAAAAGCTAATAGTCGTTTAGTAACTTTATTATCATTTACTTCTTGTGTTTCAATGTCAATGAACTCACCTCACGCTTTTGTATTCTTTTTTTTCATGGTAGAAATTGTACATTAAAGACATAATGGAGAAATATAATAAGAGTACATGATTGGCATTCTTCAGCATCCGAAAAAAAAACGATGAAAGAAGAGACGCAAATTCAATTCAGAACAGAACAGAACGAGTTATGAAATTGACATTGCTATGCTACTCTATATAATTATGTTTACGTACTTCATGTAATGTTTGGAGAAGAGAATACACACAAAATATGCTCACGGTTCAGTAATATTTGATGAATTTTTTGTTAATATTAAATCAATTTTTCTCTTGATTCAAAAGGTTCTGACTTAATTTAAGGCACGCATCAAGAATTTTTATGACATAAAATAATATGTACTTACTCATCACGTTCCTCGTCAGATAACGAAGGACTTCCAATTAATGTTGTCATTTTTTCACCAGCAATATATTTAACTTGTCACTTAAACGTTCTAAACTTAGCTATGTGATGCTTTGCTGCCTGTTTGCTTGTTCTCTATTTGAAGAAAGAAATGGCAATAGCATATTAATGTTTGTGCTGCTTCAGTTTTGCGAAGATTTTCGTATTTTTTTTTTCTTTCACATGTTCTTAGACGAAAAGTTTTTAGTTGCTACAAGGAAATGTTGTAAAACTACTCAAAAAACTTTTGATTCAAATTTATAGCTTTTTCAAGAAAAATATGCCGCACTGAAAATTCTAAGGATTCGTGCGTATGAATTATTAATTTATTATCGACTTTTTGGTTTTAATTTATAAACCATGTGAATTTTCACTTACATTATAAATATACTCTTATTTTTTTTACAAAAGGCTAGACGTTCCTTAAAACGTTTATTATTTTAAATTAAGTCTAGATATATCCTTGTTGACTCAGCAGATTTTCTTTGTCAAATATTACAGCTATTGTTGATTCAAATATTGATTTTTACTAAATGTTTGTTCAAACGAGTTATTTATCGAAAATAAATAATGATTATATCCTCACAAAAAGTCAGCAAAATTGCTACACTGATTTGTCACTAAAGTTTAATACTTAAATAATTCCTTTACGATTTGTTTTAGTTTTCACGAGTTCAAACTTAATTTAATATCTATTTAAAACTATTCAGTAAAGAAGGAGACTAATTTTATTAAAAATTTGATAAAACAGCTTTGAAGTCAATTACTGTTTATCGATTGCAAGCATCTAAATGACTAAAAGAATGAAAGCTTGGAATATATTTTTTCCCTTTCATAGACATTAACTTTTTCCCGATTTTGCGCAAAGCTAGTATAATACTTTCCATTCATGTCATGATGTGGTTTGAATCAAGCGTTAACTTTAAGGTTTTTTTCGGTTCAAACTTTTTCATCTTCTCATCGTTTTCCAATCATAAGTGTAAGATATTCTCTGAAAAAATTGTTTTTATTCACGATTGCATAAATAGGAAAATTATGATTTCCTTTTTTGTTCCATAGATGGTTTAATTGTCATGCAAGTGATCCTCTTTAATACGTTTCAAGATAAAGTTTACCTCCTCGAAATCTAATTTTGAATGAAGCTATATACACAAAAACTGAGCTAAATTTTCGACTGACAATAAAGTCCTGAAAGTTAATTAAGTTAAACTTCCATAATACTTTTTTTACATTGAGCTTTTATTACACATTAAACATTTACCATTCATTGACATAATGCTTATTTATAATTACTTTTGAAACCTTAAATAATAAACACATAAATTTGTTAAAAAGCGTACGATAAATGCACAATATGTTCAAATAAATTTGTTAAAAATGAGATATTTCTCAGTTATATTCACGGATTCAAGTAAGTGAATTAAAAAGTGATAAGGAGAATACTTTATGCTAATTTTACGCCAATAAGTTATATTTATCGTCATATTTTATCTTATAGTTGCCAATTATTAAATTTAGAGTTTACTAAGGTTGGAATATACATATTATTATTAAAATATATTTTGTTGGTCTGCATCTAATCTAACACCTAATAAGTCCAGTCCATTTCGTTTATTCCTTGTTCTTTAAATTAATCTCAAAAAATTCTTGCTTTTCAATGATTATTGTTATAGGTTTTTATTAATGTGTAATTTATGCAAATATATGTATGAAGACTAGAGATGAAATAATCATTACATCCTAATATTTGATTAGAAAGAGCATCTTTTGCCATGTACGTATTCGAAGCAGTGAAGGTTTAACCGATAATTCTAAATAGCAGAGATCAATATTAGCTATGGTTTAGATGATTTTCTTTATCACAAATCAAGATCCAGATTAGCATAGATCAATATGAGTTTACGAGTTTCCTTAATCAAATTTTTTGTTCTCTATGATGATAGAAATGAAAAATCTTTTCAGCGATACTCATAATTTACTGTTGGAAAGACAGCACGTATGGGAAGATCAAAAGGATCCCGTTGATTTCGAAATCTTTTTGTAATAATGATAGCGATGAGCTGAGAATTATAATTGGAGATTAATTAATTTAAAAAAGTTTATTGACTTAAATAAAATATAAGGATATTTAAATCATAAAGAAAATGCACGATCAGCACAAAACGTGACAAGCATAGATTATGTATAGCCAAAAGAATACAATTAAAATAGCATTGCAAATAAAAATCATGGAAACATGTGAGATGTGTTAAGGACAAACCTTATTATGGAATTGCTTCGCTTTGTTAGTAGTTTAATATTTATAAAAATGCACTGTTATGTAAGTTCTTTTGATTACGATAGCGAACTGTTAAAACAACTCCCAAAAGCTATATATTCAGGAATCAAATGTTAGTATGACTTATCAAACAACCTTATAGAAAATAAACTTACCTCTGTGAAACTAAAAAATAATCCGATAGAACCACTTACTCTGAATGCAGAGTCTATTATGTCCTTAAGTTTTGGTAAGCATGGAGAACAAGTACAATCATCAGCTAGTTTCGATTGGCAGCAAATTTTGTTAATTGTATCGCATGATGGATGGTCGTTTATAACACTTGAATTGAAGCCACAGCATGTGAATGTTGTCTGAACTTCTTCTTTCAAATTGTCTGGAATATTATTCCAGCCTTGTTCTGCGAATGAAATCTGTTTCTTTTGATCGACAGCCAAACATGAGCATGCAATCGCAAATTGAACAATGAAGAGACAAAAGAGAATAATCATGTAGAAAAATAGTGAAACTTGATGATGCTTAGCTGCGCCATAAAGCCCTAATAACGATAATCCTATCAATACAATTCCACAACCAACAATCGACGGTAAAATCGGCAAATCAGTGTATCGATTTCCATATATTCCACTGGCAATAAGAAGACTTCCGACAACCTGATAAGAAGAGACATAATTAGTATGATGTTAACACATATTTTAAGACCAGACAAAGATAATATACAATATCAATCATCTTGTCAGAATATCCTGATATCAATGATTTATGATTTTTAAGCAATTTTTGTGACAAATTTTATTTGGATTGAAAAAACATCCTGATAAGAACACAAGGAACCATAATTAATTCTTTTTCCTTTATATGACGCAATATTGATCTATTGATTATAATTTTCTTCTGGATTTTTTTTTCAACTTACAATGTACAATAAATTGAGGCATATCAACGAATTCCTTGAGCAATAAAATCCTCCACACATTTTTGACACTTTACTTTTAATTAAAACTCTTTGAAAATTAAAGAAAATTGAATTTGTCTGTGACTTTTTTGAGATTTTCCTTTTTGCTCTTTTGTTTTTATTTTTTTGTAGAAGGAAAATTACTGAGATGACTTAATATATTTTGTTCACAATTTTCCAAAAAGCGCTTTTATGAACATAGCAACGACTTTCATACTTTCTCTTTTTTTGAAACTTGGCACTGCACATTGTTGAATATCGGTAAGTATTAATTTAGGTAGTAATTAAAGAATATTAATCTTAAATTGATAGAAAATCTTATAGAATGACGATTGACGGATGTAAATCTGCTCAAATTAATGTACTGTAGCTTGAATTTGAGTAGAGATATCTATTTTAAATTATTTACGTCAAAGCTGAAATTTCATTAAAAAACTGTACAGTACAATGTAATTAATTGCGTCTCATTTTAAATTTTATTAATAACAGGAAGGACCATGTTGCTTTACACTTATCCAGAGAATTTCCGTGCTTTTAAAGCACTTATTGCAGCTCAATTTTCAGGAGTTAATGTCCAAGTTGCTCCAAATTTCGTCATGGGAGAAACCAATAAAACCGAGGATTTTCTTAAGAAATTTCCACTTGGAAAGGTAAGTTATATATTAATTTAGATGAAAAGTGCTTAGCTTTAAAGTAATTTGCAGTTTACTGATATTTTGCAAAATGAGGTTAGACGTTTTAATTCCTGTATATTTTCTTTTCGAACAAATAATCTTGTGATGACGTTTACAAGCTATTTATAAATCCCCCTCTAAACTAGCATATATCCTATACATAATGTCTTATTTATCTTTTTAATTTATAGTTTTGACTAAAGTTCTATGCTTCGATTTTTACCATTTTAGGTTCCTGCATTAGAAACTGATGACGGTAAATATTTGTTTGAATCGAATTCAATCGCATATTACTTGTCAAATGCACAATTGCGAGGTGGAAGTGATCTTGAGAAAGCCCAAGTATTGCAATGGCTTAGTTTTGCAGACAGCGAACTAGGACCAGCTTCAGCAGCTTGGGTCTTTCCGATTTTAGGAATCATGCAATTCAACAAAATTACAAATGAACGTGCAAAGCAAGATATTGTCAAAGCTCTCGAAACTTTACAAGCGCGTTTAGTCAACAATACTTTCCTAGTTGGCGAGCGTATCACACTTGCTGATATCGTTGTATTTTGTGGTCTTCTTCAACTCTTCCAACATGTTGCAGATCCAGAATTCCGTAAACCATTCTTTGCTGTCAGCCGTTGGTTTAATACCATCTTAAATCAACCACAAACAAAAGCAGTTGTTAAGAACTTTACATTATGTGAAAAGGAAGCCGCTTTTGATCCAAAGAAATATCAAGAATGGCAAGCAAAATTCGGTGGTGCTCAACAACAGCCCAAGAAAGAGAAGAAAAAGGAGGAGAAACCAGCAGCTGAAAAACCAGCGAAGAAGAAGGAAGACAAAATAGAAGAACCACAAGAATTGGATGCTGCCGATGAAGCTTTATTGTTGGAACCAAAATCAAAGGATCCATTCGATTTACTTCCAAAAGGAACATTCAACTTTGATGATTTTAAGAGAGTTTATAGTAACGAAGAAGAGTCAAAGTCTATTCCATACTTTTTCGAGAAATTCGATAAGGAAAACTACTCAATCTGGTTTGGAGAATATAAATATCCAGAGGAACTTACTAAAACGTTCATGAGCTGCAATTTAATCGGTGGTATGTTCCAACGTTTAGATAAGATGAGAAAACAAGCATTTGCATCCTGCTGCTTATTCGGTGAAGACAACAACAGTACCATTTCCGGAGTTTGGGTATGGCGTGGACAAGAGCTCGCATTTCCTCTTTCACCAGATTGGCAAATTGATTATGAAAGTTATGCATGGAAAAAATTGGATGCTGACAGTGAAGAAACAAAGAAATTAGTGACACAATACTTCTCATGGGCTGGAACAGACAAGGACGGACGTAAATTTAATCAAGGCAAAATTTTCAAGTAAATTTTTGCCAGCACATTTAATTTATGTATGCTGTCATCAAGCTTAATGAATGTCCCTTTCTCCTCTCGTACGTTTTATATAATTCTTGAAATTATCTTCATTACATAACATTTGAAGCATTTGTCCAGTGCAGAGACAAGTTCTGTAAAAACAAGCAAATAATGCTGTCACGAAAATAAAGTGAAAAAACTAATTAATAAAAAATATAATACAGGATTTTTATTATTCCTTTTTCTTTTTCATCGCCTGATTTTCAATTCTCGCCTTTTTTCGGTCAATGTACTGCTTCAAGTTATCAAACTTTCCAGTATTCTTAAACAATAAAGACACATCAAATGGCTTTACAATTTTCACACTTGAATTACTTGTATAGTTTAAGATTGTGAGGATGTCTTCTTTTAGTGCTTCAAAGGCTGCAACTTTGTTCTCAATCTGGATTTTGTCAATAAAAACTTTCTTGACGCCATCCACTTCCTCAATATGTTCAATATAAAAATTCCCTTTTAAAATTGCCATCTCTACATCGCTACTATATTGTTTCTCTCCCAATAAATGCAGTTTCAAAGCATTATTGTCTATCAACTGATATTCGTACACTTTAATGCTAAAATCGGAAGTTGAAATACATAGAATGCCTTCACTTGATGTCTGTGGATAATGTTTCAATAAAATTGGAGTGAATGAAAACTTTGTGAAATAGAGTTGATTTCCACTAAGCAAATTCCAAAGCCTCAAAGTTCCATCTCCAGAAATTGAAATTATAGTGCTATTATTTAATGGTGTTAACGAGGATACAAATTCTTTATGTCCAAGACAAAACATTTCAATTTCATGATAATTTGGAGAATTAGTCACACGAATCTTTTCATCACGGTCACTCGTAAAGATGTATTTGGAACTAAAAACAGTAGAAGTAAATCTTATAGACCATTTAAAATATTACTATGTCGACACTTACTCAATAGACACCTTTAAGTCAAGAATTTGGGAGATATGTCCAAAAACCCATTTTCCTGCCGTATTGAAGTTATTTTCATCAGTCATGTACTCAAAAACATCTCCAGTTTTATCAGCAAGATATAATTTCTTTCCACAATTTGAGAATCTAATGCAACTGGATGTTCGTAAAAAGCATCGCCGGCTCAAAGTTTTAACCGATGATTCTTCAATTTTACACAAAAATAATGATTTGTCATTTGATGTGAAGGCAATCAAGTTGTTTGATTCATTGATAGCAATGTTATTGATAGATTTTTCTATATCTTCTTTGCTTTGAATTTGTTTATTTTCCTCGTCATTTGCTATATCTAGAAACATTTTCATTTTTTCATTGTTAACAGGAAAATCCCAATCTATATCAATTGTAAAGCTTTTTTGTACATTTTCTACGGATAAAAATGCAATTTTTGTTTGATAATCGGGTGAAAATACGAGATATTCCTTATAACTTTCCATTTCTGAAAATTAAATGTATATTTATTAGCACGTTTCCTGAAGAGATAAATTTTTTAATTTTAAAAATAATTAAAGCATCTCGGAAACTAGTGTATCGGGTAGAAACCCAATGCGGATTATATTCACACAGTACCATCAAAAGTCTTATCGATAGACCAAGATTTGCCCAGCATAAGTATGAAGAAAGTAGGAGATATAAAGCTAGCGAGTCAGTAGAGCTTCGCTCAGCATAAGCTTAAAGGTATAAAGCTCGCGAGTCAGCTGAGCTTTGCTCAGCATAAGTTTGAAGTGTGACTGAAGTATCCAATCACTTTGAAACTTTGCCAGAATTAAGTCCATATTACGTTCAATTGCAACAAAAAAATAATTGTGTCCTACTTCCTGTGACTGGATATAGCAGGTTCCATTTTTGAGAATAATGCCGTCGTACTGCAGGTTTTAAAACGGCATCATTTCCAAATATCAACTTTATTAGACAGATTATGCATCAAAATTGATCTCTTAATTACGTCTAATTGCGTCCTGCAAAAATTTTTGGAATCGGATACAACCAGCAAGAGTTGTGGACTGTCAAAGTTTTGGACAGTACTACTTGTGGACCAATATTTTTTTGCCCAAATCCTATCATGTTATATATCAAAACACGTCTCCTTTTCCTCAGCAGCTTAAATCTGATGGAATTATGTAAGCTTGAAGGTATAAAGCTAGCGAGTCTGTTTTTTGAAAGTGATGTAAAATTTCAGGCACAAACTTTTCTTCTTGGACCTTTTATAACCAATTTTGCTTCTTTTTCTCACAAAATGCGAAAAACTGATTTCTCAATCTTAACAAAACCCATAGATTCACAAGTGAAAACGGTGTGAATATAATAAATAAGTATATTTACATTCTTTTTTGACAAGTTATTAAAATGACTAGCAGTAAAGAGCCCGAAACAGGATTCAATGTGTTGATACAATTAAAAAACTTTTTTAATTCCACTTTCCCTCATGTACTGTATAACAACTTTTAAAGCATTACAATCAGCATCGAACTAAACTATAGTTGAGATTAATAATTAAGCTTTTAGGCACAACTAAGTGATAGACGGGATTTACTTTAGTAAATTAAGTGAATTATGAGCAATATTTGCAGATTGTGTTTTGAGGAAAAAAGTTCATTAGATTTTATAGTAGAATTAAGTGATACAGCATCATATTATTCTAATCAAACATACAAAGATCTGGTAGAATATTACTCAAGAGTTGAATTGAATCCGTTGCAAACTCAACTTATATGCGAGGATTGCAGACAAACAGTCGATAAATTTGTAGAATTATCTAAGAAGATAGAAGACATTCAAAGTAGATTAGAATCCTTAGAAATATCGAATGAAGATAAAGTCCAATATATTCATGAGACCAAATATAATGTAAGTCAATTCATTAAGAATCATCTCGTTCACGTTGATTTATTATTATGACTTTTAGGATTTGAGAAATCTTGATAATGAGATCCAGTTAAACAGACGGTCAAAGAAAATATGCTCAAAACCATTAATTAAATCGACAGAATTAAAACAGGATGAAGCATTAAAAGTTCAAGAAAACTTAAAATGCAAAGTAATTGAAAGAAAGAATTCAAGTACACAGAGACCACCAAAAAGAAAGATAGAACAGAGTAAAAAATTCAGAGATAAAGTTGACACACTTGAGGAACTCTTTTCAGATGTCATAAATAGAACCTCAATATTTACATCCAAACTTCATGCTAATATTAATCAAGATTTTATTAAAACAACTGGTGAAATTTCAGAAGAAACTGCACTTAGAGAAGGCTTGTCACATTTGAGATGGAAAGATTTACTATCTTGTGGACTATGCTATACAGATTTTTATAATATTAATGACCTCAACACTCATATTCAAAGAATTCATGGAACACGAAATAAAGCATTTGGATGTAAAAACTGTGAGATAAATTATGCTGCCTTATTCGATACCTCTTTAATAAATCATCACATTGAAAGGCATTATAGAGAGCACCTAAAGTTTTGCTGCTTAGTTTGCTCAAAACTGTTTTATGACATTCCATTCTTAGTTAAGCATTATAAAGAGCACTGTAATGTTTATGAGATTATGATTTGTTATATTTGCGGATTTTATGCAAAAAATTTAAATGAATTAAAAGATCATAAAGCATATCATTTCCAAATCAAAGGTTCCAAACCCGAAAATCAAATATTATGTGAAACAGTCTTTAAAAAGTATCAAAGCGGAGAGGAAGCAAATACTTTTAATACAGAAATTGAATTAAATGAACGAAATTCTGATGGAACCGTAGTTAGTGAATGCCAAAAGACTTTTGAAGTAGATTGGAGTTTTTTCAAGCAAGCTTGTCCAATACCTTTATGTTTGTATCAAACATTGAGACCATTTGAATTATTCGTTCATTTGAGATTAACGCATGCAAAAGAATCTAATCGCGTCAAAAAAGTTTATTCCTGCAATATTTGTCCTGAGAAAAAAGAATTTAGCGGGATGCACTATTTTTATAATCACATGGCCGAGCATCATTTTTCTTCCTTAAAGTTTACCTGCATCGTGTGTAATCGTCTTTTTTGGAACCTTTTATCTTTAGCATTTCATTATAAAAACGTTCATACATCATTTACATCAGGTAGCTTTTTTTCTTATCTTAATTCCCATGCTATAGATTTATCAATATTGACTATATTTAACAGTATTTTGCTGCCATTGTGGAAAGATTTATCACTCGATTACATCAGCCGCTATACATTACAAGAAAACTATGATTTTAATGAACGACGAAGAGAAGAAGAAAACGTTTGAAGAAGAAAGAACAGACATCGAGCCCTCTCATATCTGCCACGTTTGCGGAAAAGTGTGCAAAAATCAATACACTTTAGCTAAACATCTGACTACTCACGAAGCTGCTGACCCAACAAAAATGTTGCAGTGTCAAATTTGTAGTAAACTGTATGCATAATTTATTTTATTCATCAGGAATATTATAAACCTAATCTCTCATACGTCATTTTGTTGTAGTTTCAACAGTAAAAATAAGCTTGCTCAGCACATGGTAGGACATAGAAATCAAAGAAAATGGAAATGCTCAGTATGCGGAATGTCATTTAATTTTAAAAAGTTATTACAAATGCACACTCGTGCTGTGCATGAGTTTGAGAGAACTTTCCTTTGCAATTTCTGTGATAAGCGATTTTTCAAAAAATACGATTTAACAGTTCACGGTAAATTCCATTTAATGACCTGGTTCCTTAATTAAATTATATTTAATATTATTACAGTTCGACTTCACACTGGATTTTTCCCGTACTCTTGTCCCGTTGATGACTGTGATGCCAAATATCCAGCATGGAGCAATCTTTTCAAACACTGTCAGTCCCGTCATAAAATGGACATCAGATCTGAAGGATACAAAAAGCTGCGAGCTTTAGCAAAGTGTACATCTGATGAGAGTTTACTTAACTAGACTAAGCTCATGGATGAGATAACTACTCAAATATTTATAAAACAGTATTTTAATAAAGAGGATATTTATAGACATATATATACAGCAAGGTCGTTTATTTTCGAGTTATGGAAATTTATACTAGCTCGTAAAATCCAAATAGCCTGCACACTTTGTTTCGCAAAATGTGAACTTTAATCGTAGTCCATTTGAAATCATTCAAATCATGAGGGGACGATAAATCTACGTGCAGAATGTGGCTGAAAAGAAATTGTGCTAGAAAAGGCCGAAACCTTGAAATATAGAGAATATTATGTGCCGAAATGCGCGTAGAATTGTTTCGTAAAGTTTTCAAAGTAAAGCCTTGACATCAAAATCCGAAATAGTGCGTTCATGAATCATGCGGAGCTGTAAAATAAAGTCAAAACGAACCAAGGCGTGGAAACTATCCCAAAAATATTCAAAATAATCCCTGAGCATGTATGCACGATAATAAAGATATCTCAACGTATCCTTAGTGTTTTGGACGTGTAATTTCAGGATATGATGGGATATCTCAATTCTAATGCATACAGGCTCAGGGATTTTTTGAATATTTTTGGGATATGTGGGATAAATATGATATTTGGGATAGTTTTCACGCCTTGAAACGAACTGAGTAGAAGTAAAATTTTAGGTTTTTGAAATATTTTTGCATTTATTTTTCTCAAAAATTTAACTTGTTTAGGTATATTAATTAATTTAAAAAAATCAGCTAAGTAGCTTTAAATAAAAAAAAAATCCATTCCTTTATCAACAAGAAAATCTTTTCCAATCATTGTATGAAAAAAATTTATTTATTTTTGGCATTTCATTATGTCGAAATGTCAGACGTAAAAAAATATGTTAATTACAATGTCTTCCTAAATGTCTAACCACAAAATCCATTTAATTCAATATGTAAAAGAAATGAAAGAGAACTGAATCTCGCTGATTTATATGTACACAGAAGGAAGTTAGATGGAGATTAAAACAAGAAAGAAAAATATCTTCTAAAAGAAGGATCATGGAGAAAAGTTTTTAATCTTTGTGAAATTGAAAAATCTTAAAATTATTACAATTATCATCATTATAATTCTTATGCTATTTTCATCAATTTATATCATTCTGTAGTGTTTATAATTAATTTTAATGAAAACTTGTATGTATCATGTCTTCATTATTATTATTAATCAGTGATTAGAAATGGCTATCATTCCCCATGAAATCACTACAATTAGATAGATGCTTAAGGAAGAAACGAAAAGAAAATCTACAAAAGTCCATCCAACATTATTTTTTCCAACTCTTTCATCAATTTTTTTTTAACTTTTTTCTATGACCTAGTTTACTAAGCGAGATTTTGAATCTGTCTAAGGGTTGCATATTTGTCATCGATTTTTCTCATAACACTAGCGCATTTTCTAAATAGATGAAATGTATTTTAATTATGACTACTAAATTTTGCCGTTATTTTAATTCCAAAACGTGTACAAAAGAAAATGCGCTTCTCTTACTGGTTGTTCTTGTCTTAAAAGTCTTACTACCGGGAAAACGAAGGAAAGTATGTAAATTATATTATGAATTACTAATCAGTAAAATAAAAAATAATTTAATAATAAACATGTGTTTGAACAATTCCTCCTTAACTACTTTAATAGCTTTTTATGATTTAAAAAAAAAACAAAATTTTTATGCAGAAATAATATAAAATAATAATAATAGTAATAATAGATAAGTTCTTTCTTTTTCTCAAACATAAAGTTATGTAGTTAAAATAAAATATAATAGCATTATCGTATAGTTTTGAAAATTCATATTAAATTCATAAAAATTAAATCAGTTCTAGGTATTTTTCTTCATTTTACATGATTTTCAATTAATTAAAAAGAGGAGGATAATTAACTTAAAAGATCACTTAAGGAAATCTTTGTTTGATTCCAGTTCAAAAGTTTTTGAAGTTTTTTTTTTCCATAACTTATTATGAGTCTACTAATTCAATGTTTGTTGTTTTGTGTATTTATATATATATGCAAATATATGAGCCAAGACTCACATTTCTTCTTATACCTGCTGCTCCTCATTGGGAATCCAGTCTGCTAGTTTTCTAGCACATAATTCTTGATTTATAAACAATACATTCTGTGGAATAAATCAAATGTTAAAAATGATACAAAAGAGATATCATATAATGTTGAGATACTTACATCCTTGGAAATAGAAACAAATAGAAGAACTTCAGGGACATCATCTTGAGTGTAGCCAGCAACCTGTGCTTGTAAGATGACGCCACTTGTGAAGCTAGTGATAGTATCGATTGATTCTTTTGACCATTCAATACTATTATTTGGAGGACGAATGTTACTAAGAATACATTCGATGGCTTGGAAAGGTAGTGTCATAAAGTCAGCATGAATTTGACGGAGTTCTGATGCATTGACATTTGTATAGCCGCCAAAGTCCAAATATTTAATTACACACACCTTTGTTTCGGGATTATGAGAGACGATTTGAACACGATACCAGTTTTCTTGTATAAAATATGCACAAATGGCATTGTCAATAACTTCTGGCAATTCTGGAGCAGCTGTCATGGAATACCAGTGATTCATTCGATGTTGAAGTGGTGCCAACGATGGATATGTTGGATGTAATGGCTGTTGAACAAAAATATGTCCACCAGACACTATAGCACTAACAGATACATCATTATTAAATCCTTCTATTAATTGTAACTGTAATGATGAAATATTAAATGTCGGCACCAGCTTATTATCAGGTGTTATGAAAATTCTCTCCATATTCATACTAAAATTTCTTTTATCTGGCACCAATGTTCGTATCATTTTTAATGCAGCATCGATCTCTGATTGAGTGCCTTCAACTGAGCAAACCTTTTGTCGTTTTGTACCATAAAATCCTTTACGAATAATCACACTAGCACCTGTCTTCTCCTTTATTCTTGCAACAGATTTACCACGATTACCAATTATAAATCCGACACATGAATTTGCTACAAGGAATTCGTAAGTTATTGTTGGCGCTCCAATAGATTGTGGTGGACTTGAGCCCTGTCCAGAATCTCCTGAATGCATACTGCAAATTGACAATGATGGACTTGCGATTTGTGGCTGTGTTGCTGGCGTTGAACTCTTGTTACTAATTACTGCTATATCTGAATTCTTATTTGCTTCTGTAATTTCTACGTCATCGTCTAGCATTATACAACCATTATCATTGCTATTATTTGATTTCGCATCATTTACATGTACTTTTACCATTTTATTTTCCTCTTCTTTATTAATCTTATCGGATTCAGACTCATTTAAGCGACCCGAATCATCACTTTCTGTCTGTGTATATTTTCGTTCGCGAAATGAATTTTCTGGCGATATTTTAGCTTCCATTGTTCCTTTAATGACAATTGGCTCCACAACAGGTTGTTGAGTACGATTAATTTCGAAACGTGAACGATAAGGTGGCGAATCAACAGATAGAGGCGTATCGTCTAAAGAATCTGGGTCTTCAATGTAGCGCAAATTTTTAATATCAGACTCTTGTGGTTTTAATTTTAATATTTCACAGTCAATTTCTTGCTCTGTAATGCGCTTTGGAGGTGAACGCGGATTTGGTGCTATATCGATCGGTGCCGATCGGCTTGACAATGATGATGATGATGAACCGGCACTTCCGGGACTTTGGCTTTGTTGTCTATTGACCTCACGTGAGTTTCCTTCTACCTTTTCCGGTGTTGATGTTAATCCCAACTTTTTCTTTTGAATCTGTTGGGGCGTTCCAATTACGGTGACTGGCAAACTTTGTTGATGAATCAACTGATTTACTGATGAGTATGGATGACTACCGTTGCAACTAATTAAATCTTGTCTATCACCTAATTTTGCTTCATCTAATAATTTACAATTTTTATTTTTAATATTCTGTTGCTCAACGCTATCACTTCCTTTGTCACAATTCTCGCGATCGTTTCTTTTGCGGCGATACCAAATGTAGCCGATGAGGATGACTAAACTGGGAACAATTGTATAATAAATAGGACGCTTTGCAATCATTACGTAGAGCCAGATTGATGATTCTAAAAGGCAACAGAGAAATTCATTTATTTTATTTTCAATACATTAACATTTATAGCTATGATAAAAAGTCGCTAAACAAGTGACCTTTTATCAAAGTCTTTAGTCTACTGAAAACTTATTATAGTGTCATTCAAGTTTTTGGCTTATGCCCATGGAGTTTTCCTGTACATTTCAAGAAGACTCTCGATACTTTAAATATTTTAATATCGGAGATTGGTTAAGCGAAGTCACATTTACAAAATGAATCGCTCCTGAAACCTCCTTTAGAGAATATTTTTTTTGAAAATTAAAATCATCATGTTTTATTTAACATATAGAAGTAATACAACAGTGATCAAGTCAGAAACAGCTGTTTATACAAGAAAACAAATACCTATTACATATATTATGAAATCGACGTCGACAAAGCACATAATACATTCAAATCACAATTCAAAATAATGTGTATAGATGGCATTAGTGATATATAAATATAACAGAGCATTGTCGGCAATGAAAAGACGATAAGAAGAAACCGCATGGAGGAACTTTTTAAAAATGTGTAGTAAGAAAGAAAAAAATTACTTCATATACGCTTTATATAAATATATATATATATTTTTTTCTCGGTTGAAAGTAAAACGAAAATAAGTTTTTGTAGACGTGTTATATACTTCAGGTTGATATATGCTCATATAAAATCTATTTGGACATGATTGATGCTTTCTTGCATTGATTTATACGTGATAATTTCTCGAATGAGTAAATAATCTCATGATAAAAGATAAGTTTTAAGAATATTTTATGATTAGGATAATTAGCAGCTTTATAGTTGGCAAAGAATTGTAACTTAAGTTTCTGGAAAAATGTGCTGTACACGTGTCCTATCAAGTCACATTATTAACTTTATATAATAAATTAGTTCATGCTGTTACTAATACACACATTGATTATCAATCCGACGTTAATAAATCGTTTCATATTAGCAGAACTAGAAGTAACTGATTATTGATAAGCTCGTTTACCGTGTATTCAAATTTTGGGGGTTATCAACAATGCTATAGCCATTCATTTGAGCATGCTTTATGACAAATTAACATGCATAAGATTGCCTTTAAAAAGATTTCATCTCGTGGTTATTGTTGCTGCGGATTTTTTTTTTTTTTTTTCAGGAAGAAATGGCAAGAACCGGTATAATTCCACTAACGAAAATTTCTTTTAGCATGCTCTCTTTTTTAAAATTAATTCTTATGCTCTCTTCACATAACATTCTGAACTTATTTTTACCGCTCAGGTATGTATTAGTAGATTGTTTTTTTCTCGTTCCTTCTTTCTTCCATTTCTAAAGAATATACAGCTCAGAAATTGTACGAGGAAAAAAGTACAAGAAGTGAGAAAGAAATAGTTCCCTTTCTTTTTGCTCTGTGAATCGTCTCGAGCAAGAGCGAGAACCTGTTCTTTTCTTTCAATCATATTCGTAATTCATACATATATATCTATGTATCTTTCTATTTATCCTATGAGCAATCTATCCATACATATTGAAATTTTTCATTTTTCCTCTTTATTCTTCATTTATTTAACACTACTATTTATTGCTTTGACCACTGAATTACAATTAATGTGAATAACAAGATCTTATTTTTTCAGACATTGAACTTCTTCAACACAACTCATGGATTAAAACAAATTTTCTTTTCTTCTATAGTTTTGCGAAATGGCTGAATTACTTACATTTCCGTCTCGAGCACATGGTTGTATGCTCGATTGAAAAAATCACAAAAATCATTAAAGCTCCTGTAATTTCGATAAGAACTCTGATGACTACTACTTGAAATTATCAATTTCCTTTAGAAATCCTTGATAAAATTTTACGAAATCTTTTGATAAAGTCTAAAAGTACACTTTTATTATCATATATATATTCCACCTTCCGCGATTCAAGAATGGAGAGAAAAAACGTGTTAGCTCCGCAAACGACAACTTGTAATTGTTTAACAGAAACGATTATTTCAGTCAATAAAAAAAAAATGTCTCTCAAATATTATCAACTACGTTTTTTCCCACTATCAAAATCTATGTATTTATTAAATTGTTACACTTTTTATTGCTCGATAATAATTTCAGTAATAATTTTTCGACCTGACTTCGACTAATTTTCAATCTATAATGACTATATTCTCTCCACAAACTTGTCTTCGACTCACTTATACACTCGATTTTTCTGAGCAGAGAGAAATTTCTCGATTCTCGTTCGTTGGGTCTTTTTTTGTCGTTCGCAGTTGTTCCATATCTCATTCATATATTTTTATTTTACATTTTCTCTGTACATGTAGTTTTGTTTTTTACTAACAAAATAACATCAAGCTATATGAAAACCGGCAAAAAATTTCGCCGATTAAAATGAACAATAATATGAAATTTTCTTCTATTCACGTCTAGTTGAGTTGAGTAGACTAGACGTAGAAACGAGAGTAGCAAAATGAGGAAAATAGCAAATGAATGAAACTTTTCACTGCCGAACTTCTTATGTGGGAGAGAAAAAAAAGTCGATAGAATCAATTGTTTTTATGAATCATATTGTTTTATGCAGTCAATCAGTTATTAATGCTCATTTGTTGAATTGAATTAAAACAAAAGATGATATCGAATGGCAAAAAAAAAATGCCATAAACCATTTAAATACAGAATCAAATGGCAGAAATAAGAGATTTCTATAGCACAACGTATCAATTGCACACAAAAATGAAACGAGTAATGTTAATGACAAGAAAAAAAATTCCGTAAAGGAAATGTACTACGCAAAAGTTGCTCATTTAATGAAATGGATTGCTTACAAGATATGTGGATGCTTTAATATTATAAAATCTTAATACATTTTCATATTTTTCTTTTCTTCTTCTTTTGCAAATATTTCGTGTTTCTTTCTGTGCCAAACCTTTCTTTCGTATTTTTTTTTCGCACTTTTGTTCCTCTTACATGCGTAATTTCAAACTGATCCAAGTCTGTAACATTTTTTAAGTGCCGTCATAAAGAAAAAGACGTAAAAATTTAGATAATTTGAGCAAGAATAACACACAAGGTCGCAATTTTGTACAGATTGTGCGATAGCTCTCATTATTTATTTATTTATGAATGAACTTGTAGTTTTTTGTGCGCTTCACTCACGTAAAAAAATTATTGATTTCACGAACTAAGAATAGAAAAATCATTTGAAAAATTCATTCGATAAAGAAGAAAGAACTAATTCCCATAGAAGCAAAACCAAGCATGCAAATCTTGGCAAATTTAGGTTTCAAAGAGAGAAATAATTTCACATTGAGTTTTATTGTTTGGCCATTATCTCTTCGTGTACCTTATCAAATTGCGGCATCACAATATAAACATATATACCAAACAAGCTATTTCAAAACAATTGAAATAACAGAAGCGTCAAAATGTGAAAAACTACTCATTACCTATATTTATATATATATATATATTATTTATTTTTTGTTGTGATTTGTGCCGTGTGTGGAAATTTCCGAGAAAGGTAGTCGGTAGAAAAAACAGTCCGATAGAGAGAATGGGGGAATGGAAAAATATTTCAGGTTATGTGTCTGTCTCGAGAGCCAAAAAAAGGAACATCAAGAAATGTCTCTAAATTTGGTGTGCTTTGTTCTTAATCATTGAAATTTCATTTAACGTACTGCCTATTTTTAGAACGCAAAATGCGTTGATGAAATATCGAAGTGAATTTTCACATTAGATGAAGAAAAAATTTTTTCGTATTCAAGATTTTGCGAGAAAAAATTCAAATTGATTTTTAAGATTAAATAATATCAACTTACATTCTAAATTTATAGTTTAATGAATATTCTTGATCGCTTTCTTTGATTTCAAGCACTTTCCACTGGTGCAAATTTGATTTATTAATTAATTTCACTTAAAAATTAAGACCTTAAAATTTTATAAAACGTGACTTCTTCGGTCGATTGTTTTTTACCGAGTGGATTTATCATCTCAATGTGTTCCGAGATGAGCAAATGTTTTTACAATTTTTTAAAAAATAAAAACAAACTTTTTATCAACAAATAATATTTGTTCTTAACTATGTTAAATAGATTTAGATTAATAAGCTTTAAAAATCACCTTAGAAGATGCTATTCAACTCAAAGGAAAACAGATGGACAGGAGTCAATACGAAATATTGGAATTTTAGCTCATATTGATGCTGGTAATAAGATTCAATCAAAAAATTTTACAATTTATTATAAGTTTATTTGACAGGCAAAACGACAACAACAGAGAGAATGCTGTTTTATTCTGGAAAGATTAAGACATTAGGAGAAGTTCATCATGGAACGACTTTAACAGACTTTTTAGCACAAGAGCGAGAAAGAGGAATAACTATTTGCTCCTCTGCTGTATCCTTCAAATGGAAAGATTTTCGAATAAATCTCTTAGACACTCCAGGACATATTGATTTTACAATGGAAGTTGAGCAGTCATTGGGTGCTGTTGATTCAAGTGTTATTATCTTGGATGGATCTGCCGGAGTTGAAGCACAAACTATTACTGTATGGTCGCAATCGGATCGTTATGAACTTCCAAAAATAATTTTTGTCAATAAGATGGACAGACAAGATGCTGATTTTTACGAGTGTGTTGCAGATGTTCAAACAAAGTTGCATGCTCTACCTCTAGAACTACAAATGCCTTTTAAGGAGAAGAATAATTTTAAAGGTTGCGTTTGTAATAATGTCACTAACTCAGCTAAGCTCAATCAAATGTTTTCTTATTTTAGGCGTGATTGATTTGCTGAGTTTGAAAAGAATAGTTTGGGATCAAAAACATCAGGGACAAATTTATAAAGTCGAAGAGATATCGGATGAGAAAATGCTTAAAGAAGCAAAAGAAAAGAGGATGCAAATGATTGATACTCTTTCAGGACATGACGATAACTTGGCAGAAGCAATTATAGCTAGTGAGAGTCTTGAGAATATCGACGTTAATTTAATTTTGAATGCAATTCGTCGATTAACTTTGAAAAGAACTATAGTTCCGATTGTTATGGGATCAGCCTACAAAAATGTCGGTGTTCAGTTACTAATTGATTCAGTAATAAATTATCTGCCAGCACCAAATGAAAGAAACGCAATGTATGACTGCTTTAATGATGATTTTGTTGCTAAAGTCTTTAAAGTAACGCACGATAAACAACGAGGACCTTTAAGTTTAATTAGAATATATCGAGGAGAATTAAAAAGAGGAGCTCGTATTATGACATCATCAGGCATTGCTGAACACGTTCAAAGAATTTATGAACCGTTAGCTGATGAATTTAGGGAAATAGAACACGTTTCCGCTGGAAATGTTTGCGTGTGTACTTTAAAATCGACAAAAACTGGAGACCTTTTAATTTCAAACATGACATCACTTAAGAATGCTCAAAAACGTTCCAAGAAATATAGTGTTTGCAGTGATGATGAGGAAAATGATACTTCATTTTTGTTAGAAGCCAAAATTCCTGATGCTGTTTATTTCTGTTCAATTGAACCACCAAGTATAAGTTATCAATCAGCCTTAGACTCTGCAATTATGCAAATCCAAAGAGAGGACCCAAGTTTGCGTGTAAGATATGATGAAACAACCATGCAGACTGTTTTAGGAGGAATGGGAGAACTTCATTTAGAAATAATCAAGTCACGCTTATTAACAGAATATAAGATAGATGCTGATTTAGGTCCTTTACAAATTGCATATAAGGAAACTCTTGAAAATAGACATAGAAGTTCATTGAAGAGTGAGAAAGAGATAGCTGGCTCGAAACAAAGTGTAGAAATAGAACTAACTGTTGATGTCCTGAGAGAAGGTGAAGAGATATTTCGAGTAGATAATTCTCCCGAAGGACTTGAAAACTTGAAAATGATTCGTCCAAAATTTATTTATCTAGTTAAGAAAGCTGCAGTTAATGCCTTAGATCGAGGTCCTAAAATTGGTGGACAAATAGTGAACGTAAAAATCATTCTTCATAAACTAGTAATTGGAAGAGGAACAGTCGATTCTTTTATTGCTGCTGTTACTGCGCAGTGTATTCAAAAAATATTAATAGAAGCTGATTCGAAATTAATGGAACCAATGATGGCGATACAAATAGTTCTTCCAAGCGATAAAGTGTCTCAAGTCATAACAGATTTAGCTAGACGACGTTCACAGATTATAGACATTTCTATGAGAGGCGAAGATAATAAAATCATAGAAGTAATAGCACCTCTAGCAGAATTAAGTGGATATTCTAGTGTTCTTCGAACAATTACTTCTGGAACGGCTAGTGTTTCAATGCAACCGCACTGTTATTCACTTCTATCGTCAGTAGACGAGAATTTAGCAATCAGACGTGCTCAAGGATTAGAATAAAAAAATAGTTTAATATAAGGGGCCGTTCACTTATTACGTTACGCAAAAAACGACTTTTTTCACGGCTTTTTAGTTTAATCTTTTCTTAACATTAATTGAATTAAACTCCTCAACTGCAAATCAACCGCAAACCATTTGCAAAATAAATTTTTTTGATCAACTGCAAACCACCTCCAAAAATAATTTTTTTGATCAACTGCAAACCTCTTGCAAACCACCTCCAAAAATAATTTTTTTTGATCAACTGCAAACCACCTGCAAAAATAAATTTTATTGATCAACTGCAAACCACCTGCAAAAATAAAATTTTTTGATCAACTGCAAACCTCCTGCAAAAATAAATTTTTTTAATCAACTGCAAACCACCTGCAAAAATAAAATATTTTAATCAACTGCAAACCACCTGCAAAAATAAAACTTCTCAACTGCAACCCATTTTCAAAAACAAATTTTTTTGATCAACTGCAAACTTCCTGCAAACCACCTGCAAAAATAATTTTTTTTGACCAACTGCAAACCACCTGCAAAAATAAAATATTTTGATCAACTGCAAACCACCTGCAAAAATAAAACTTCTCAACTGCAAATCAACTGCAACAATAAAACTTCTCAACTGCAAATCAACTGCAACCCATTTGAAAAAATAAATTTTTTTGATCAACTGCAAACCTCCTGCTAACCACCTGCAAAAATAAAATTTTTTGATCAACTGCAAACCTCCTGCAAAAATAAAACTTCTCAACTGCAAAAATAAATTTTTTTGATCAAGGAGGTTTGCACTCCTGCAAAAACAAAATTTTTTGATCAACTGCAAAACTCCTGCAAAAATAATTTTTTTTGATCAACTGCAAACCACATGCAAAAATAAAATTTTTTGGTCAACTGCAAACCTCCTGCAAACCACCTGCAAAAATAAAACTTCTCAATTGCAACCCATTTGCAAACATAAATTTTTTTGATCAACTGCAAACCACCTGCAAAAATAAAATTTTTTGATCAACTGCAAACCTCCTGCAAAAATAATTTTTTTGATCAACTGCAAACCTCCTGCAAAAATAAAACTTATCAACTGCAACCCATTTTCAAAAACAAATTTTTTTGATCAACTGCAAACTTCCTGCAAACCACCTGCAAAAATAAAACTTCTCAACTGCAAACTACCTGCAAAAATAAATTTTTTTGATCAACTGCAAACCACCTGCAAAAATAAAACTTCTCAACTGCAAATCAACTGCAACCCATTTGCAAAAATAAAATTTTTTGACCAACTGCAAACCTGCAAAAATAAAATTTTTTGATCAACTGCAAATCTCCTGCAAAAATAAAACTTCTCAACTGCAAACCACCTGCAAAAATAAATTTTTTTGATCAACTGCAAACCATCTGCAAAAATAAATTTTTTTGATCAACTGCAAAACTCCTGCAAAAATAAATTAACTGCAAACCTCCTGCAAATCAACTGCAAAAAAATTTTTGTTCCAAATGTGTTTTTATAAATGTACACATTTAAAGCAATAAGAAGACACTTTTAAAATCAAAAATAAAAGGGTGCCCCATCTCGTACAGTGTACTTTTTTTTTGAAAGACAGACTACAGTTAGAACGTTGCATACTTCTTGACCCCCCCCCCCCCCCCCCCCTAAAATGCGAACGTAATAAGTGCGTGCCTCTAATTTAATGGACTCTTTTTTTATTAACTCGAATTTTTTCTTTCTTTTCCTTTTCAGCTTTGTCAGCTATAATAATTTTTTGAAACAATACATTTGAATCAAGACTTACAAGTGAACGATTTATTTTGGCAAGATTTAATTTTGTATCTTTCCAAAATCGAAGTTCTTTTGAAACATTAAGTCTGTCTAAAAGTTTACTACTATAATTTGGAACTATGGGCTGCATTACTATTCCACAAATTCTCAAACATTCTAATGTTATACTAATTATAGTATCTAATTTTGCCATGTCTGAGTGTTCATTACTATTTTTAAACTCCCATGGCTTTGCAGATTCGAAAAATCCATTTGCAGCATGTAAAGTTGACATTACTGAATCGACAACCAGATGAAAACTATATTCTGTATAAAATTTACGTGCTATATCAGGTAGCTCTGTCATTTTTTCAAATAAGATTTTACAAGACTCATTCTTTATAAGCTCATTCATTTGTTCTGGATCAATTTTTGGGATTATTTGCTCTGGATTTAACGACTTTGCACATGCTCGCGAAAACAAATTTCCCAGGGTATTAGCAAGCTCGGCATTTAATATTTTAATAATTTTTTCGTCACTATAATTTCCGTCACTATGCTGTACACCTTCTCTCAGTAGAAAATATCTTATTCCTTCGAATGAATAAAGTTTCGATCTTTCCATTGGATCAATTACATTTCCTTTACTTTTCGACATTTTCTGTCCATCCACAGTCCAATGAGAATGAACAAGTAATTGCTCTGGAGGTTCTAAATTTGCAGCAATTAAAAACGCAGGCCAATAAATTCCATGAAATTTAAGAATGTCTTTTCCAATCACTTGAACATTTGGAGGCCATATTTTCATTTCATTTGGGTATCCAGCAACTGTCAAATAATTGGTCAATGCGTCTAACCAAACATAAATGTTTTGACTACTATCGTTAGGTACTGGAACTCCCCAAGTCATTCTGGAACTAGGTCTTGAAATTGAGAGATCTGGTAACCTTTCATTATGAAGCATGTCAAGCAAAATTTTATTAAACTTATTCGGAACCACTCGATTTTCATGTTTTGCCCAATATATAACATCTTCTTGATAATCAGTCAATTTAAACATGTAATTCTCCTCCTCTGACCATTCAACAGGATGTCCACTTTCTATTGATGTCTTTTTTCCAGTTATTGGATCAGTATTTAGTTGGGATTCACTCAAAAATGTTTCATCTTGTAAGCAATAATATCCGCTATATTTATCTTTATAAATTGCATTTTGTGCTTTAAGCTTGTTCCACAAATCAGTAACAGCTATTTTATGTTGATCATCAGTTGTTCTGATGAAATTCGAATATTCTATGCCGCTCTCTTTAAACAGATTTTTGTACTGACTTGATATACTTTTACAGTAATTTTCTATTGATACGTTATGCTTTTGAGCTGATTGAAGTACTTTCATGCCATGTTCATCAGTGCCAGTGCTAAATAATATATTCCGATGAAATGATGTTAAATTCTCAAAACGATTGATCGTATCAGCAATTAATGAAGAATATAAATGTCCCAAGTGCGGTGCTAAAAAGATGAATTTAATTAAATTGATTAATTTTAAAAACAAGCAATAGAATGTGTTACCAGCATTTGCATAATAAATTGGTGTAGTTATGAAAAATCCATTAGAAAATGATGAAAACTTTCTAGTCTGTCTAAGCATGATTATTCTTTGATTAATATAATAATAACAAACCGAGGAGACTAAATTCATGTAAAATTGGATCAACACTTTACAAAATTTTGTGAAATTAAAAGTTTAATTAACATGTATTTATTATTCGTTATTAGCCTATTGTCCTTTCTGATAGCATTTACAAAGAGCATCGTTCAACCTGTAAGTAGCTCATACATAATTAAGTGTTTTAATCAATATTTGAAGAAATAATTTTTTATAGATCCAGCGAATTTTGTTGAAAGACTCCAAACATGTTAGTTCTTTAAAACAAGAACTAGTAAAATTGAAAAAAGAACTGAAATTAATATCAATGAAAGATGATTACATTGCATATGTCAGAATTGAAAGACAAATAACCAAATTGGAGATAGAACTTAGAGAGAATATTGAAGCACAGTCAATGCATAAAAATTTAATCAACTACGGTCTTAATTATGGATTGAAGTTCATTCTTGGATTTGCCTTATTTATCATAGTTGTTATGAACAGAAGTGAGCCTGTCATTATCTTTTCGGATCGATTTAATTTTGCACCTTTTTCGAGTATCATGTCATTAGCTTCAAAGTTTGATAATTCTATATCTACACCTTTCTGGATCTTTATCAATAATTATGTATTTAGGCAGCTTGCTAGTGAGATAAAGTAGACATATGGATAATGTAGTATATAAGAGTTTTTGTTTTATTGAGCGCATTAAAGGCACAATACATTTTGTTTATGTACAACAATCTAAGCCTATATATTTCTACGAACGGACGGAAGATTAAAAAAAATAGAATAGAGCTGATTTTTTGTAAAAATAATTAATATCGGAAGAATAATTTTTCTCATAAGAAACCTTATGATTTTAAAAAGTCTTTGATCTTATCTTTAAAATTTCGTTTTTTCTGCTTAGTTGATTTCATTAGCATCGCAATATTCTTTTTCTGCTGGTTATCACTTAATGTTGCTGACTTCTCTAAAATCTTAATATTAAAAAGTTCAAAATAACTTTCACTGGATTGTCCTTTTTCACGCAACTTTTCATCATTCTGCTTCTTAGATAAAAACTCCTTAAACATAATCGTATCTAGGAAGTACTCAAGAAAATATCGTATGGCTTGATCATTATGCGATTGAATGAACATAGACTTGCTGTATGAATCCGAATCTAATTTTGCAAAAAGTTTAATGAAATACTGCAGAAATGCTTCTGCTATCAATACGTTCTTTAATTTCTTGCCTTTGTCAATAGCATCTACAATTTTCAACGATAGCAGCATACTTTTTCTCAGAGTTTCAGGAATTAATGTCGCTTCATCTCCACACTTCCTTATTAAACTTTTTACCTCTAAATCAACAACAATTCCATCCTCAATTTCTAAATGATCTATACTAATCGAATTCTTCAAGACTCCAGCAAAAAATGGAAATGGAGCTTGTAAAAGGTCCGTTAATTGATCGGGAATGATTGTTATGATAATATGATGCCATTGAAACGGATACAGCAGAGAGTAGAGAGCTGATATACAGGATGTTATTTGAGTGATATTATTGCCCAGAAAAATAACTTTCCTTTCTATTAATAAAGTTCCAAAAATCATGACTAAAAGCTCATTTGTTAGACTCTCGTATAGGACAGATAACTCCTGATTTTCCAGTCTAACATCATTACTACGCTTAATAATGATCTCATCGGACTTTTTGATGCTTTCTGTTTTACTTCGAACAATTCCCTCGTGACTCTTATGCAATAATGTCGATGTTTCAGACCGTAGCCAATCAGGAGACTCCAAACTAAGTCTTTTTGCGAGATATTTGTGCGATGACTTTTGAATTGCTTCTGGTTTTTTCGCTATTTCCGGTAATTTTCTCAAGTGAGACGATTCAAACAATTTAACATGAAGAATTTTTCCATTTTTGGGAAGCTCTTGATTTTGAAGCGATCGCATCATGTATGAAAATTGTGCTTCAGGATAGCCATGTCTTGATTCAATCTCTTTTAGTAGATTAAAATAGAATCCAGACGCATTGTACTTTGTTATAATGCAGTAGGTTAATGGCAAGCATTTTTCTTCAAATCCTTCAGCAATAATTTGTCGGCAATATCCAAACAAGTTATTTCCATTTATGTCCGTTAGAATCAATGTAAAATTTTGATTCTCTTTTGTCATTAAGTCACTAGCATATTTGCAGCTTGGGTATATAAATTGTTCGAGCATTGGAAGTGCCTTTTCATTTTTTGGATATGTTGATTTTATATATCCTTTCTGGTTCAACATGTCAAATCCAACGAGTAATAGCATTTTGAATAACACATTATCATCTATCTTTTTCTTTATTGAATGCTCTCCACCGTCATGGCAATCGATAATTCTTTGAAATTGCGAAATAATTGATGACGCTGATGGGGCTACATTGTTTGATTTCGAGGAATTTAGATCTTTCGAGCTGACTGTTTCAGTCATTCGACGTACATAATTTTTTCGCTTTTCAGTTAATGACCGTGTAACCTTTGGTATCGGAGACTTCCTTGAATCCAAATCCGATGAGCCCGAACTTTCATCGATTATTACATCACGATGCTTTTCATCATAGGCAACATCCATGAGTATATTAATCTATAAGTAAATAATAAGAAACATTGTATGGAAATGTTAGAAAGCTATTAAACAACAAAGTATGCAAATAAGCCTGACTTTTCTTCTCTTTTTTTTTGTCTTGTTAAATGAATATCAAATTAAGTGAATGCAAAAATATTAATACAGAGGAAAATAAAGAAATGTATTTAGTAAAGCATGCAAAAAATAATTTTTGCCAATCTACCTTCTCATAGCTTTCTATATCAGATGAGTCTTTATTACTATCTAGAAAGCTTCTATCAATATCAATAGGGCTGATCGACGTATTATTGTTAGTCTGATCATCAATTAAATTAGTACACAAATAATGAAGTTCAGTCTTATTATTCGGATCTGTAGAATTTTTCATATGCTGTAAATGCTCATAAGGTTCCATGTAAATATCTTCATTCTCCATAGAATTCAGTTTCCTTTCATGCTTTATCTGTTCATAGTAAATTGGGTCAATAGAACATGGTGAAATTATGCAATTCAAGAAAGAGCTAATGCCTTTCTTATCGTCTTTCTTGTCAATCGTTTTCGGAAGTGTTCTGGTTCTTCTATCAAAGTTATTGACTGATATTTGGATACTATTCGAATTGAATTGATTTGTGAGTTTTTCTATATCACTTAACAAGTTATTATCGTCATTAATTGGAGATGTTTTTGGTGATTCCGCAAAAGTTCGAGGAGGTTTTTTAGGCGCAGGTCCTTTGGGCAAAGGCTGCTTTAAAGCCTTTTTGATTGTCTCCGAGCTTGAAAGATATTGTAGCTCTTCAAATTGTGTTTTATTAGGGCTGAAATTATACTTGATTGCATTTTGTCTTCTCAACTTTGATGTTGAAGTTGGCGAGGCAGATTTTGCCAAATTAGGCTTGTCTACATCTAGTCTAAATGCTTGACTTCTTCTAACACTTTTATATGATGAATTACTATTATTGCTATGCTGACGTTGAAAACTAAATGGCTTGTCCTTTTGCTGTATTTCAGGACTTGTTTGAAATTCCCGATTTCTTGATGAACTGAATTCTATTAATGTTGCTGATCGTTTAAATAATTCGCTTGGTCTATTTGCTTTATCACGGAGCGGTGTAAAATCCACGAGTGAATCAATCTCGCTATTTAAATTTAAATCCTCAAATCTCTTTCTTATCATTTGAACATGATTCATATTATTTATCTATTTCGGCACACAAAAGACACTTTTTCATATTAAAATTATATTTCTAAATCTTACATTTTGCGGGAATTCTCGGACGATAACTTTCACTCGTTTAATTTTGCTCTTTTAGCTTTAAATGCCTTAATTTTATTAAATTTATTAACAATAGAATTTTATAAACAACAAGTTATCCGAGATGACGCAATCAAATTTTCTACCTACCTTTCCTTGCTGTTGCTATTCCTTATTTGTCTGTGAGACCACGCATTTTATCATTCCTCTCCTTAGACTTATATAGACTTATACTTAGTCTATTATATAGACTTATATACTTTTATCTAGTTAATATCATGCTCAAATTAAAAATGCGCCTTTATGTAGCATTTATAGAAACATTTCTTACTGATTTATTTAAATTTTTGAATAAAATACGTTAATTTCGAAAAGTTTCCAAAAATTCGAAAGCGCAATTTTCACAGATATAAACAACAACATTACAACATTTCATTAAATTATCACATTATTTAAACTATAATAAAGAATTAAAGTATTCAGAAAAGAGAATAAGTATGCCTTCAACATTAGAATCATGCAAAACCTTCTTTGGAACCACAGATTTGTACGCAATTTTTGAGATTGAAAAGAAAGCACCCGTTTCTGAAAGTAAGTTTTTCTCCAATAAATGGCTTTATAGCTTAACTAATGATACTATTTTTGTTACAGTTAAGAAAGCATATTATAAACAAGCTTTAAAAGTACATCCAGATCGAGTTGCTGATGAGGAGAAAGAAAAAGCCACAGAATCATTTAAAATATTGGCCAAAGTTCATGAAGTATTGTCTGATGATAATAAACGAGCCTTATATGATCAGCAAGGAATAGTAGATGATGATGATGACGAGAAGTTTGGAAACTCTTGGCTAGAAACTTTCAAGAATCTCTTTAAACCAATCAGTGAGTCTGATATTGATAATTATCGTAAGGAATACGTAGGCTCAGAACTTGAAAAGAATGACTTAAAGAAGGCATATGTAAATGGAAAAGGCTGTATTAATTTTATCATGTCACATGTTCCTTTTATGGGAGTTGAAGATGAACCAAGATTTCATGAAATCGTAAATGAATGGATAAAAAGTAACGAAGTGCCTGAATTCAAGGCATTTACGGATGAGCCTAAATCTAAAAGAGATCGTCGTCATAAGAAATATGCAAGAGAGGCTAAAGAAGCTGAAAAAATGCTGGATAAAATGAATGAACAAAAGAATGATGAAGACGAATTGACTAAAATAATTGCTAAACGTCAACAAAATAGGCAAGGAGGTTTCAGTTCTTTCCTAGACAGTTTAGCACAAAGGTACGGTGATAATGATGAGAATGATTCAGATGAGCTTGATGAGGAGAGCGTTAAAAAGTTTGGTAGAAAATTGCAAAATTCTCAAAGGAAAAAAACTGAAAAATCTGGTAAGGCAAAAAAGGAGACTCCAGTTAAATCTGGACGTGTTACAAAGAAGAAGTAAAAATTTGTATGTTCTTTAAAGAATTTTGAGTTCAATAAAAATAACGTATTTTTTAAGTTTTGAAAACAAAGTCAGACATATAGACATTAAATGACAAAACAATAGATTACAGATTTTTCCTTAGCATAGTCATTCCAAAATTATAAAATAATTAAATTTAGCTCAAAATGACGATACATAATTTATACATCTTCGATAAAGCTGGAACTCTTCTTTATTATGGCGAATGGAATCGAATAAAACAATCTGGAATCACCAGAGATGAGGTAAAAATTAACAACAAAAAATAAATAGACATAAAATTCTTTTAATTAATCCACATTTAGGAAGCTAAGTTAATGTATGGATCTCTTTATTCAATAAAATCGTTCGTAAACAAAATATCACCAATTGATTCCAAGGAAGGATTTCTATTTTATAAGACCGACAAATATTCACTGCATTACTTTGAAACTGCTTCCAGTTTAAGATTTGTTATTACCACAGATACATTATCAACGGGAGTAAAGGAACTTCTACAGCAATTATATGCAAAAATATTTGTTGAATATGCCGTCAGAAATCCATTATGGACACCTGGATCTCCAATTACTAGTTTACTCTTTAAAACGAAATTAGATGAATTTATTAAAAATTCACCAATCTTTGGATTAAAAAATATTTAATAAAGTATCATTAATTCCAATAAAAGTTCTTTAAAATTGCATGCATTACCGGTGTTGAAAACCCTATTCTGACGCATAAATTTTACATTCCATCTCTGGAATGCAAACTCACACATCAAACGACAGTTGCACAATGATTCAGATTTGCAAAAAGTGTTTAAAAATTCCTTGTGCACAATATTTTTTCTGACACATTAGAAAATTGAAAGTTTTTGTTAATTTCTTTTGATTTGATGCTTTAAGGATCTTCTACATAATGTTTTCATTAATTGCTCAAAAACTCAGTCCATAATATAAAGGATAAACATGATTTTTTAGCAAAAGTATGTAAAAAAACTAGTGTATCGGGTAGAAACCCAATGCGGATTATATTCACACCGTACTTTCATAAGTCTTATGGATAGACCAAGATTTGCCCATCATAAGTATGAAGGTATGAAGCTTGATAAGTCAACTGAGCTTCGCTCAGCATACGTTTGAAGTTATAAATCATCATTTAAAAAATTCGTAAGAAAAGAAAGTTTTTTGCTATTTCTGAAGCAACGGCTGTTCCTACCTTGCCCAAAAACAATACAACTCTTCTATAGAGCAGCACGGATCAAATGTAAAAACTAGAAGTCTCTAGGGGCCGTTCACTTATTACGTTACGCAAAAAAAACGACTTTTTTCACCCCCCCCCCCCCCCCCATCCCCCCTTGTTACAATATGTTACAACTCACAACCCCCCCCCCCCCCCCCCCTGAACGTTCATATTTTATTTGATCATTAATAAGGTAGAAAATTTAAAAAAAATGTTTTTGGTGTGAATTTGTAAACAAATTTTTTTCGTGAACTTTCTTTAAAAGACAGACGACAGTTAGAACATTACATACTTCTTGACCCCCCTCCCCCTTATGTTACATTTTGTTACAATTTTTCAAACCCCCCTCCTCCTAAAATGCGAACGTAATAAGTGAACGGCCCCCTACGATGTCTCGTTATTGAGATTTTTTTGCTGATTAACTTGCTTGCTTGCTTGTTTGCTTACAGAAAGCGTATTTTGCGATTTTCTCAGCAATGCCACAACCAATTTGAAATCTGTTTTTTTGAAAATGATGTAAAATTTCAGGCACAAACTTTTCTTCTTGACCTTTTATAACCAATTTTGCTTTGTTTTCTCACAAAATGCGAAAAACTGATTTTTCAATCTGAACAAAACCAATAGATTCACACGTGAAAACTGTGTGAATATAATTATCAAAAAATATTGTGCATGTCCAAATTTTGTATGAAAATTTATGTAAATAATAATGTGTGAAGGGCCCAGCCTTTCAGCTGGAGGCACTGCGACTCAGAATCTATTGTACCACACCCTTTAGACCTACAGTTTATAGTGGGATCCGAACCACTTGCAAGCTCTGCACATTGCAAAGACACGAGTTCGTCATAAGACCTGATGTACCCTGCAATGAACCTAGTCACGATTCGTGTACGCAAGATGGCGTAAGGAAGTCATCCAGATGCTAGTATATCCTTGTATACCTAGCAAAGGAGGCAGATTCTGTGCCAAAGACCTCAAAACTACACCCAGCACACGAACCGAGCTTCGTAACTAGAACGGTCAAATGGAAAAAGAGCTTCGAAATTAGACATGGCCTGGGATTGATCCCAGGACCTTTGGCACAGAAGGCCAACGCTCTACCATTTAGGCGTTGAACCATACAGTGAATAGAAAATGGAGGAGTCTTAGGATTGTTTCTTCGCCATTTTGTCCACTGAATAGTATCTCATCCACAGATTTGAATAGGAAGCCAAGCACTTACTTACTAGGTATAAAGGATTATCTTACAGCCCTACAAATCCGATACTCTGAACATCTACTTGAATATCTGCTTGAGTAATTTTAGAATATCCGAAACCTCCTCCTCCCTAAATTACGAACGTAATAAGTAAACGAACCTTTAGGGGTAATCCTGAAACATCAGTAAACTATAAATAAAAAGCATGGGAAAAACAAGAATAGAATAAATAATACTCTTTTTAATAAAAATTCCTTAATTTATTTTGACGAAAATTTCAAAATAGGTAATTCTAAAATTTTATTTATTGATCCATTAATTTTCTCTAATTAATTCCTTACTTTTAATGAAAAATTTGTCCATAAAATGTTTAAAAGATTATATATTTTTGTATGTACCTTTGACAATACATTTATTATAATACAATGGAATATAATTATACTGAGCACATAGAAAAATCGAATGGATGTGTTAAAATATTTTAATATTACAGACATTATAAAAATATATTAAGGCATAATTAAGGCACAAAATGTTTAGAAAAAATTTTCAATTTACAAAAAATAATAAGTTTTTACAGTTGTTATGAAAGTCTTACATTCCATAATTAACCCAATTTGCACCATATGTAGCATAGGGTGATGAAATTGATGCTGAAGAGTTTGGACAATTTTCAGCATAATTATCATTTCCATATATTGTATTTGATTGTGTAACATCAAGTGGTGAAGCATGCATTAAATTTTCACCATCAAGTTGTTTCATCATCATCGATTGATGCTGATAATTTCCCGATAAACTGTGGGCTCCTGCAGTCGTATTTATTGGAGTCAATTCAGTAAGGGAATTTTCGGGTTTTAAGTAGCAAACTTTACGATATTTTCCACTATCTAAATATTGATCCATTTCGTCTACGTCTACATCCGTATCAATTGCCTGTGGATAAGTTTGATAAGGATAATTAATTGAACTAGCAGATGTAGATGGCAGACTCACAGATCCCTGTGGTGAAGTAGGTAATGAATAATGGTAATGATGATGATGGTGTAATTGGTGCGAATAGATGCGGTATGATTCTTGATTATATTTTGAGATTAAATTTAAGTCTTTATTGTTTGATGGCATCATGGTTGTAGATGTTGGCTCGATAGTATTTGTTGCAGGACGATAAGGACAATCGTTTGCTGCATAATCTTCTTTCATAATTGAATGAGATGCAATAAGGGATGGTGACAATTCACGGAAATTTCCATTAGGCGACATTGAACGTGCAATTGTAGCAGATGCAGCAGAGGAGGAAATTGTTGAGGAAATTGAAGTTTCTGGTGGCGTTATTGAGTGCTCTTCCGTCGTTGTAGATGAATGAGGTGAATCAACATTTTTGTTGTTCTGTAAACTTTGCTCATATTTTCGTTGCTGTACTGCTGCTGCATTATAAAAATCATTATAATTATTTTGGTATGAATTTATGCCATCTTGAGAGGAACTTGTTGTTGTAGGTGACATATATGATGAAAAGACTGGGTAACTTGGTATTACATTTGCACGGTTATCATAATTGGTTGCATAATTCATGCATCCCATTTTATATTCATCTTTATCAGAATCATTATCATCAATTTCCTCACTTTCAACATGCTTCTTTGATCGTCTGCCTGATTTTCTCGGCAGTTGTGGTATTTGTTGCTTATCTTCAATTACACTAATTCCATTTCCATTAATTGATTTCATTTTTTTCCTTCTCGGTTGATATTTATAGTCAGGATGGTCCATCTTATGATTCAACCGTAGATTTTCAGCAAATTCTATAAAGGGACGCTTATCGGAATCATTTAAATCCCTAAACAGAAGAAAATAAGAAAATAATAAATAGAATTAATATCCTTTTAAAAATATGTATATATTGTAGGAATCATGCATGCTGTTAGATATGAATTACAACCAGACATTTATGCAGAATTGTAGGAATAACATTTGAATATACACATGATATCTTACAAATATAAAATATCTATTTAAGGATCTTTTTTCCACATTCTTTACAGATGAATTTTTGTCTGTTATATGATGCGCAATTGAATGAAAACGATAACAGCAGAAAAGACAAGATGCTAAAATTCTAATGTTAACATAGAAGCTTCATCTTTTAAATTTATTTTTCTTAAAAAATGGTGAAGGAAAATTCACATATTTTTCTGTCAGTTTCTGCTCAATTACCTTGGGGTTAAAAAAAATCTATGTAAAAGAGCAGTTGAATTTGTATGTTGCTGCACAATATTTCTTATACGTACTCAAGCATATTTGCAAGTAATGACGAAGAATGTTAAATTATTCATTTAACATGAAATGCTTAAAATTCCAAGATGGAGTATATAAAAATTCTTTAGGGAATCTTAAACCCTTTCGTTACATGAGAATTTAAAAATGTAGCATTTCAATGAAGTGTATACATGTACACATCCTTCCTCCCACCAACAAGTACTACCTTAAAAAACATGATCCATTTTCGGTTATAAAAACATTGAATTCATTTTCATCGCATTTCTTGTATTTACAGAGAGAAATAGAAACCTTGAAATTTAACAAGCGGCATGAAAGTAAGCAATGTACAAGAGCTTCCGCATAAATATTTGGACGTTAAACTAGATTTTTGTTTGTGTGTATTATACACATGGGTTAGCAAAACAAATTTACAATAGAGACAAAGCAAACTGACTTAGTCAAGTGGAAATGCCTCGTGAGAATATATGTATGCCTTGCATGTAAAAATTCGTGGAAAACAAAAGAATCGTATCTTGTTGCTTATTTTCTATAAATTTATACTTAATGATAAAAGCTTAATACTGGATAATTGATGCAAATTGATAATAGATGGATAATAAATAAAGTGCATTTAAAAAACAGAATTGTACGCAATACTACAAAATAGAAAATAAACATTTGAATATAAAATCAATAAGAACACATTAAAAGGTAAAAAAAAAACAAGAAATTCTCATCTGAATTTGGAAAGCAAAAAAAACTTTTGAAGATGTCGGGTATGAGCTTGCAAAAGTAAAAGGCTTTATGTACCTACGTTTGAATCAGAAGAGCTTAAATGTCAGCACAATTCATACAATAAATCCCAAATGTCTCTTTATCAAATAAACAAATTATTCATAATACAATTCACATTGAAGGTAGAGCATGTAAGATGAGAAAAATACCAATCGATATACAGCGATTTCATTTGAAAGAGTTGTCTGCTCTTTTCCATACTCTTTTTATCAGCAAAGTCGTGCGTTTTTGTATGAATACAATGTAGGTAGATAAAGCTATTTGGATGATATATGATGCACAAGAGAAGAAGATTAAGGCACGTCTATCATATCCGTTTGTTGATACTGCATTGTATAAATTGTACGTTGTACAATGCTTTTATACCCGAGGTAACTTTTCTATCAATCAAGCACACATATTCACAAGTCAAACTTTAATGCTGAATTTAGTTTTTCTTTTCTCATTTCATCTACCAAAACTGATGAAACTAAATAAGGATATATTTGGGCAAATGATATTAATCCTACAAACTTTTGTTCATTGTTCACTTAATCACATCCACTTTATCTTAATGATATGATATGATGAGTAATTATGTACGAAAGTGAGAATAAACAGGTAATTTATGTTTCAGGTCAAACATTTAACATTATTAAGCATGGAATTTGTCACGAAAAAGTAAAATAAATTCAAGGAGGAAGTGAATGCAGACTCGTGGTACCTATTAAATAAATATAAAGCGGAAGTAATAAGTTGCTCAAAGTTTAAAACTTTTTTATTGATCAAATAATAATTTACAAAAAAACCCCTGAAAGTCATTTATAAAATCCATACTAAAGTAAATATCTATAGAAATATTTGACAAAGTTATGTGTGTCGGGAAAACCTCTTTGCCATTTACGTTAGCTTGAAATCAATAACTTTTATTATAAAAGGTATTGCGGATCGATAAACGAAAATAATGTTCCATTTTCGAATTGATTGGTTTTTTTCCTAACACTCCTCATTCCTTCGATAAAAGTGTTTAGGTGTTTATGTAAATTCCAATGAGATGCAATGATACGATTGAATTTTTGTAAGTGAAAATCATTCATTTTTATTAGATATAAAATAAATTTTTGTAATTGAACAATTTTTTACATGATTGTAGTGCGATGTAGCATAAATAATTTGAAACTTACTTTCATCAATGCAAGGCATAAACTAATCTTTAAAGCCTTTAACGGATTTGTCTATAGTGGTTTCTGAAAATAGACATTGATAGACAAATTTTCTGACTGGAAATGATTTTTAACCTTTTAAAAAACCCATTCAAACCATAAACTAAAGCAGAAATCAGGTTTAAAGCCTTCAAAACCAACGATTTTAGTAAGTCTTGCTAATGTGGTTGCGTACCAATTTTAAGGTACTAAAGTACAATATTACTGCATCTTCCAGTTTAGCAACTTACAGATTTTGATTCAGTATGATTTTCAAAGTTCTAAAATTTTATAATGATTTTTATTTTCTCAGCTGAATAACTTTAAACATTTTGGTAGCGCTAAATTTGCAGACAGTAAATAAGATGCTTAAAAATTATGTATAAAAGTATTTTGTTTATTCACAGTAAATAATTTTTTTACATACTGACTTTCTACAAATTTACGCAAATACAAATATATTCATATCATTACTCAAACATTATTTCTATACATATGTTTGAGCGTACGTACTGAAATTCTAAGGGATTTTTTTCCAAAAGTTTTATACCGCACGTGGATATGTTTTTAAATATGCAGAAATATTCGGTTCTATCTACTTTTATGTAAGCTTTAATATCCGCTTTAGTTATAAGTATAAATAAAACCTTAATAACTGTAGAGAGAAAAGGAAACATACAGGATGGTAAAGTTAGGAACAAAGCAGACAACATGAAAGAATAATGAAAAATTACATAAAGTATCTTACAGCAGTATTCTACCATTAATAAGGAATTTTGTATGTGAATGAGATGAAAATGTATGCAGTTATTTTAAATGACAAATGAAAAAAGTATGAGATGCCTAATAAAATGAAAACGAGGAAAAGAACTTTTCAATTAGAATTGTGTAAATTTTTTCCCTTGATTAAAATTCATCAACAGCCAACGCGAGAAAAATAAAATTTTCAATTCAAGCTCAAACAATATTCGTCGAAATAAAATGAAATGAATGGGCTAAATGGATGAATACATTGTAAATGAAAAATTTTAAAAAGTAAGCTATAGCGACTGGATCTGAAAGCATAGCAGATGGAAGATTTATGCCAGCCGTTTCAGCACATATGTGTGTAAATATTTTAAATCGCGGATAGGTAAAGTTTACTTTATTAACAAAGAAATATTCCACACGTGAGCATACAAAAAAAGTAGATTGCGATAAGACATAAAAAGCATAAAAAAATTAAACACTTGGTTGATATCATAGAATTTTCAAATGACATGAAAATTTGTCTTCAGTTCATTTCCCATTTTTTGAATACGGTTCGTTAGTGAATGACGAGAATTTATCAGTTCCCCCCTAATTTTATTACTTTTATTCGAAGATAATTCACTTTTATTCAAATATTTAAGTAATTTGTTTTATTAAATGGAAACATCTTGATGGAAATACTGAGTCTTAAAGTTTTAAACCAACAGAACTTGACCTTGTAGATGCCATAAATGGTGAAATGAATTTCAAACGGATACAATTTTGTTTATAACAATATGCGATTAGGGTTTTAAAAAGTTTTGTCATTCTAAAGATTTGATATTAAAAAATAATAATATTAACATGTTCATTATGTTAAGTGATCTATTAAAAAATATTAAAATCATCACCTTATTACATTAATATATGAAAAACTTGAAGATTAAGGATGAAAAATTTCATCAAAACCTATCCTACATCTTTATTTGTATTCACGTAATTAGCACTAAGATTTTATACAATAGAAAATGTTACCAAGAAAAGTAGAATAAATGAATGAATAAAAGAAAGGAAATTCTTTTGAACATAAAAAATCCTCTTGACATTTTTTTCCTTTCAAGTTTTTACAAGATGAATGTTTTATTATATTTTTTGTACAATTTTCTCTTCTTCTTTTTGTAGTCTACAGAGTCTTCATTGCAGTTTTTGACAATAAATTAATCTTCATTCCGATTAAATGACTAGTCTTAAATTATTTTTGAAAGACTGAACAGTAATTTCAAAATAAAGGTTACTGAAAATATGCAGGAGGATTTTATGAAATCTTAGCTAGGTTTAAAGATTGGACAAGTTAAGGAGACTTGAAAAAAAAAAGCCATAAAATATTTAAACAAAGATTTTTTTTTTGAGATTGTCAAACAGTTCAAACCCCGTTTACTCCAAGACTACAGACTCATAATTTTTGTACTCGTTTTCTCCCCTCAAATGATGGACGTCATTAGTAAATGACAGCTTAAGTCAGTCAAGAACAAATTTAATAAAAACTTTTTAAAAAAATAACAATTTGTTCTAAAAATGCTCTCTACTCTAATACTTGAGTGATTTTCGTACAAATTTCCTTTTCGTGGTTAAACATAAATTTAAATCAATTCAGAAACTTTAAAAAGAATTTTCCTCATTTTATCTTGAGATCCTCAACATAGAATATTTTCATCTACAAATTTCTTCTTCTTTTCTTAAATCTGAAATCTAATATATTTTACTAAGTTGATTTGCGAATAGTTTGCAGATGCTCTAAAAGCAATGAAGTAAAGCAGAACTTTAAATTAATTTTAGATTACAAAACATCAATTACGTTATGTAATTTAAAGTG